GAGTGCAAAGTTGTGCTACTGTGACTAAGATTAGCTATTATTATTACATATTTAAAGGATGCTTTATCATCATACCCAACACTAAAGAGGTTCTTACTCGCATACACATTTGAGTCAATCAAATCAAGAGGTTCGTACTCACATGATGTCACTCGACGTCAGTCAAAATCCCGGCGGTGCCCAGACACCAACCGACAGAAGCACAGCACCTCCTCGCTGTTTGAATATAAATATACTTGTTATTGTCGATGCCATCTGTTGAGAATCTTTTCCTCCTATTATAACATGCAGGCAATCGGAACACCGAGTGATACTATATGACACGTCAATTCGGACGAGTGGATATAATAAATTACCTACAATCCAGGTCCGACCTAGCATGGTATCTTTTTTCTTATCCTGTCTGTCTTATCAAATCCGTGAGGATGGGGCAGAGGTCGGAGACCGGCATTTATCACAACCTTCCGTATTTGGTTGTGGATTTTCACCCTAGTCCTTATAGATATAGTCTCCATCGATTCCAAATGTGTTTAGACGATGCTACACAAAAGAAATCTCTTTCGGTTACATGAGCTTTGGATTTTGGGTGGCAGAAATAGAAACACGCGTGTTGATCATTGGCACCCCAAGGGAAGCTGTGAAGATATATTAGCTAAGGGCTGGTTGGAGAAATCTAGAGGGTGAGTCTAATTACCATAAGGATAAGCTGATACATGCTACGGCTACACCCATGTTAATTCTAAGTTCCAATACTTTGGTGTGGCCTCCCCTTCTACCTACATCCTTTGATCTTCACCAATTTCTCATGTACTACATGTATGTATGCGTGAAAGCTAGTATAAACGGACTATATCAATCAAAGAAGGCATGCATACAGTTGAGGTCGGAGGCAAGGAGTCCTTTGTAGCCAACGCTAAGACTCGGGCCGCAGTACCCTTGACGAATCTTAAGATCTTGCGGCGCTAGAATCATGCCTACAAGTACAAGTATGTAGGTATCGTCGGTAGTGTTGGGCACGAGCCGAGCTGACTCAAGCTTTGAGCTCGAGCTTTAGGCTCGAATGCCTCAAGCTCTCTTTCCTACGAGCCCAAGCCAGCTCGGTCCAACATTGGGAAAGCTCGAGTCTAGGCTCGAGCCTTATCAATTATTAGTGATGGGTTGATTGCAACATCATAATAATGAAAAATGGGATAGCATAATAAAATAGATCCCCAAAGTTGGTGTTTAATAATGGAAGTTATATCGAGATGACCATTTTTAGTATAATACTGGAAGCTCGTGCCTGGGCTCGAGACTAGGTCCTGAGCTCGAACACCTCGAGTCTTTATTGCGACAATCCAAGCCAGCTCGAGCTCTAAGCCAGGCTCGTCTCGAACAGGCTCGTGCCCAACACTAATCGTCGGCTTCTGGCAGTGTTTGTGGCCTTTGAGAATTCCAGGTCAGTGGTACAAATTGAGCGTTTGGACTCAGATCTGTCTCTCACTCAGATCTCTCTCTAACCTACTCCTAAGCTCTGTGAGCTTCTCGTCATTGAAGGCTAGAGGTTTGCTGTGATTGATGCTGGAAATGAGTAGACAGATATTGTTGTACAGCTCTTTATTCAGTTTATCACCTGCCTCAATCTCTTCCAGCGAGTGAGAAGCGTATAAACTAGCTATAACCAGTTCCCAAGAGTTCATGATACCCGCTTAGAAGTTATTGTCGTTGACGACGGTAAAGATATATTATAAACTTGCTGACTTATGAAGCAAATCTTGAAGCTCCCATGAATCAAAGATGAAAATAAACAGTGGAGTTACGAGGTGGTGGGAAAAAGATATGCACTTTAAATCTTACCGTGGTCTAAATACGGCCATTGATTCAACTGAATTTCCATCCGAAAACTCATTCTTAGCTTCTTTGAGGTATTTAAAGGCATCGGTATAAAAACGACCACAAATAACTTATACAAAACATTGTGCCGAAGAAGACATAAAAGGGTCTAATGGTTGAACCTCTTAAACATTGTCCACAACAACGGCTCTTTAGGGTATTGGTAACCTCGAAATCAGAACGTCGTGTGCCGTACAAGGATTGTGCTACACGGTATACCGGCATAGATGATATACTATAGAGATACATGCAGTTCCACAAAGAAATGACTCAACACACAGGATTTTCAGAAATGACATCTAAGATATAGCCATATAAGTGCTAAAGACTGATAGTGAGCTCCCAGTGACTTGCGCACGAACCATTAATGCTCATAGTGATGGCTTCTAGACTAGACAAACAAGGGAAGAAAGGGAATATAGGTAGCCAGATAGCATTATGAGACATTACCAAAGAGCTCCCAAAAGATAAAGAATAAACAAAGAGAATCTGTCAGCCAGTTTCTAGCCTCCAATTTTGAGTATTTCCTCTAGTTGTAGAGCGCCGCAAGTGCAAAACTAGCCCCAAAAGATGCCCTTCACAAACCACATCAGTGAATATTAGTTTTAAAAACCGAATTTTGAGGGGTGATATGTTACATCAAGGGCACATACTTGAACGCCATATTCTTCGTTACCAGTCCTTTCACGTCCACTTTATTTGTGAGCTTTTGCAGCCATCTGTATGGGACTACATGCAGCCCCCTTGAAGCCAGAAACTGTTGTCCTTAGTCATTAGGATACTGCCCATTAAAAACACAACCGTATAGAGTACTCATACCTCAATTAGTAGTAGCAAACTCCCGAGGACAAGCCCAATGCTTTTGCTAAACTTTCCTACCGCAAATCCTGCCACGAGCCCTAGAAAGGATCCGGTTGAAACCTGCCTATAAAGCATCGGCGAAAACGTCGATTGCTGCGTTTGTGTTGCTGTTGCCCCTCCCCGTGCTCGTTCATATGGCTCTGGCTGGGGTTTGCTAGATCCTAGTCCTACGCTGGCGAGGGAGGGCCATGCGGTGACGGTTTCACAGCGCATTGTGTGGATAAAGAGGGGCCTCTTGGGGTGGGAGAGATCATAGGATACAATACCAATAGCGGTGATAGAGGGAATAATAAAACGATAGGCCATGGTTTCTTTTCTCTTTGTTTTTAATTTAATTGACGGGAGAGGGTGTTCGTGATATGGAGTCTCTGGAGGGGTTGAGAGGGGCCTATGAATGACGTCGTTAGTTGCAGGGGTAGAGTTAAGGTATCATCACGATCAATTGCTTAGGTCGGACCTAAAGAGCTCGCATATTTTTGAATAGAGCTACATGTAGTCCTAGATGATCCTCAAAGCTCAAGCTCAAGGTGAACGGAGCCGAGCTGCCATTTCACTCTGAATAACAAAGCACCAGTCTGTCTAGATATCCATAGAGAATTACCTACTCTATACGCACTTGTGAATGCTTTTTCTTCAAACTAAGTGCTTGGTAGTTATTAGAAAGGAAATATCCCACAAGAACATTTCTTATCGCCCGGGTTCAAATAGATAGGAGCCAGGCGTTAGATTCCACAATTGTCGCTTTCCGAAGAAATTCATCCCGTCAAATCCCCTTCCCCGATCTACAAATGTTAGATACCCACCTGTTCCGCTTGCGGCCTCCACGCTTCTAAGGCTGGATGCGGAAAGAAATGTCGCTTCACCACGGCCAGTCATTGAAGATATTAGATATCATGTTCACTGGCTCTCCTTCTTTCTCCATTTTGAGTTGGAAATCTTTCCGCGCTTTGGATCTTATTTAAATACCTCTCCGAACCAGATTAAAGATATATATATTCATACGAGGTCATGAAACCCCATGATTCTGATGAATTTGGTACAAATAAAACCTCGCCAAGTTAATATGGATAGAGTTTGTAACTTCAAAATGACCCCTTCTGGCTTGCTTGGAGAAGTTGTCCTCTGATTCGAATCTAATATGTACTGCCCTTAATTCTTTCGCAGGTTCGAGGCCTCTGATTGGTCGAGAGCGGAAACCCTGACCCTGACCTCTGCGTGGCAATAGGCTCACCGCGGCACTATTATCAAAATAAAAAAGACCCCAAGCGATACGTTTTGGGTGGTTATAGTATCTCTTCTTTCATACAAAAAAAGAACAAAAAGTACTGTGCGGTTCCGGGACGAACTGGCACTACTCCCACCCCTGGGTCGAACCCTGGCCTTCTGTGATCGAAAGCAGGGCTAAACCTCGCGGTGTTCTTTGGCGAGGGTTAACCGTTAGACCACTCGCCCATGTGTGTTAATGGCTAGAAATGATATTTGTGCACCAAGGATGGTTGGCTAGTGGTAATGTACCTACGCAATGATTATTGAGGCCAATGACGTATTACCTTTTGTAAACAGTATATCACTCCAGAGGAAACATTTCGGTATGTAAGCACAAACATTGTTCTCCAACTGGAATCTTCAAGTACATCATTGTAGACACATGTAGTATGCAATTCATTACCGCCAAAGAGACTGCAGGGTTTGGTTACAGGGATGAGGCCCACCACTACACAGACGAACTTTCACTCGTGTGAGGATTTTGCGGATAGGCTCTGATGGAAATTTTATCTGGCAGGCACTGGTCATACTGATCTGAAAATAAAGTTCCTGTGATAATTGTATTGTTTGGAACTTCGATCAGACGTCACGGGCCCTCCATGGAATGAAAAAGATTGAGAGGAGGGGTTGCCCCCGCCGCTTTGTGCGCAACTTTTCCCCCACACACGCACGCACAAATCCTCGTCTTTTCCACACTGAACTTTTTTTCCCGCACACAACACAAAACAACAGTCTCATCAGCAGCAGTCACGGTAAACCCTCACCACCTTCGCTCGGGGCCGAAAATACCATAGTAAGTGAACCCTCGAGATGATTAAATGTATACTATTGAAGAGGCATCCCGTCCAAATCAGCCCAACACCCATGCCATATTATTCGTGTTCGATTTTATTTCAACAGCCAATAATTAAATTCAGTTCCGCTGACAAAATGCTGTCGTCTTTGTCGTTCATCTCGCTTGGCGGGAGGGCGGCATTGACATTTACTTCGGGTATTTACAGATGAACGAAGAAGAAGTCCGCCTACTGCAGGCTGCTGCAGGCTTTGAAGGCGATGTAAAAGAGTCTGTGCCTGCCGTTGTAGGTGACATCGAGGCAGGACAATTATCAGTTGACGATCTCTCTGTCGAACAAATCAACCATGCCTTACAATCTTTGGTTGGTGTCATGGGGGAGGCTGGAACTGAAGTGATTAATCAAAACCTCGAACAACACTCCCAGCAATCATCCAAACCACAGCCAGAAGTCAACTTTTCCGTATCCGGTACCGCTAATAATGGTGTGGTAAACTTTGGCGCGGACCCCAAGACAACCAAGGAATTTGAAGGGCTTTGGGAGATCGAAGATCAGAATGCTGAAGGTGACACTGGAGTCGGAGGCATAGAAGACGGATCCGATATCGACTATGAAGTCCAGCTTAGAGAATTGCAGAAAAGTCTTGCAGAGCTATCTCGTGCATGCGCGAGAGCGAGCACGCCGCCCCCCTCGACTCCACAGACCGCAATGTCTTCAGAAATGGTCGTCAGATCTGACCAGAACCGACAAATCAGTGCGACAGCCGAACAGTCTGTCCAGTTTACTGCGAATTGGATTATCAACAATCTCCAATCTACTACCAGTACCAGAGCTACCCCATCTTCCCCTGAGGATTCCAATGGGAAAGGTCGCGGCAGGCGGCTCTCTATAATTGACCCGTCCGAGGATCCTTTGAAGGCTGCGGAGCGGGAGCGGATACGAGTAGAAAACAGGGAGCGAAAGAAAAAATGGAGGAATCAAAATCAAGAACGAAGTAAGAAATTTTCTTCTAAATACAAATATAAATCTTTAACACCGAGTTAGATAAGGACAATGACCTTCGATGTCGTGTCACTAAACGCGCCCTTCACCTTTTCGGAGCCGAGATGAGCATTGAAAAATCCAACTGGATCGAACGTGAATTCAACCGTCGGCGCTCAAAGCGCGTAACCCGTACCAAGATCCGCGATAATGATCCTGCTAGTGGTGATCCCAACATCGGCTCATCCAGTGTATTCCCAGCTTTCAACCAGTCCGGTTCATCTAGCTACCAGGTGAGCTCTGGGGAACTGGTTCTTCGGAATCAACTCATAAACAATCCCGCATTATTCGAAAAAAACGCGGAGTTTGTTATTATGGAGCTCATCACGCTGATGTCAACCGAGCCTACGCTACTTCCATACATGGTTGACATCCTGAACAACATGAAGGCAGAGGGGCGAGGACCAATGATTCAGAACAGCAACTATCAGATCACTCATGACATTGATAACCGGATTACTGATGTTTCCGATCACCTTCATTCAGAAAACGATGATGGAACCGGTTATGGCAGACATGGTTCAGGACTTGGCTTGATTGAAGATGGCTCGAATACTGGCTGGTCAACAGGATCCCAGACACCGGTTCCCGAAGGACTTGACGGCATCACTGGCGAATTCGAAAGCCTTGATCGAATCACAGCTGGATTCGAAACTCTTGTTGCCAATTTGGAAAAATCTTTGACAGATTCCGAAATCCAGAACAACACCGATGGAACAACCAACCCTACGCCCGAGAGAAACGACCAGCTTAAGCCTAACACGGTGCCTGTTTCGAATAGTTCTTCAGATCGTGTCCCTTCACTCGACGAGATACCACTAGACATGGATTTCAGCCACGGAAATATACCAGGCCCTGACAATCTTGACCAAGCTCTCGAAGATCTCATGCGCGAACAGTCTCAGGCAATGGCGACCAGCAGCAATGGTGGAGACGCAGAGCCCCAGTTTGACGAAGAGGCCTTAGAAAGGTTGATTGCGGAGGGTGGGGTTGATGTTGCTGAGTTGATGAAAGCTCTGGAATCCGAACAGGCGACTGGAAGGCACCAAGATCAGCAGGTCAAGGCACTTGATGATTTCTCAGTGAGGATTGATATGAATGATAGGATGGAGCTTGCTCAACAACTAGGACAAGCTGAGGACCCTCCAACATCCGATGCGAGTGAACGGTCGCAATCCAATTGCGGAGATGAGGTTTCTCTTGAAGCCTCTGAATTGACCCTCGAGGAGATCAACAGCCTGATCGCTGATCTCAGCAATGGTTCAGAGTCGATCCCGGTGGACTTGAACGGGCAGTCCAAAGAATCAGCCCCGCTACCTCCACCTCCAGTCGCTCCTCCGCCAGCCTTCAATACCGACCACGATACTTCTGATGTATACACTCCCGAGAATGTTGTGGCAATTTTGAAAACTCTTATCGAACTAGCTGTAACCCCAGAAAACTATGAAGCCTCCTCAACCCCAGCCCATAATCCCCGAGGAACAAAACGTTCTTCGCCTGATTCTTGCCTAAACCCATCGGTGAACAAGCGGCCATGCGCTCGTGCGCCTAATAACACAGCAGCGATGCACGCGGTTTCCAAGACGGCACTCAATCAACTCAATGGGATATTGATATCAAACGGCTACCCCCCAACTCCCTCCTCGTCGAGCTATCAGAATCATGCCCCATCCGCCTATCATTCACCCCAAACAACTGGTACAAGTGGAAACTTACAGTCTCCGGCATATATTGCAAGCTTCGGTACAACTGATGGCATGAATAAGAAACTTATGGCGATGAAACCTCCCCCATATCGGCCAGCAGGTGGAATTAGCAGCGGAGGAGCAGGCATAAATGGAAACGGGGGGTTAGCAGGGGTAACTGCCAAGAGAAAGACTGGGGACGAAGAGAAGAAAGTCAGAGCTATGGGCTTCCCACCCTTGATGGCTGGGTTGAAGCCTAAATCAGTGTGACCGACCTATTTGGACCTTGATTTTTGGACGCTTTCAGTATATATATGCCTGGAGTGGAGGGATACACTCTCATGAGACTTTCATTTCTCTAGGGTGCCCCATTTGTCTAACGTCTGCATTATTTATATTCGCTACCATTCCCCAAAATAATTTCCCCCCAAAATTTCGTATGTATACTTCTGGAGTTTTAACCAGGTTCCGTATCTATTGGTGTTCAAAAAGTGTTGGTTAGAGGGTTATTTTTATCTTTTTTCTTTTGGTATCTGTGGAGGGTGTCTGTGGTTTTACCTTGTTTGATTTCTGTTTTTTTTTTTTGTTTATTTAAATCTTTCCTTTGGGAGGTCTAGTCTGCGGTTTTTTCTCTGGGTTTCTTTCTTCAGTCTGTCGGCAGAACTAGCCAGCATATAGTGCTGCACATGTGTGGTCATGTTCAAAACAAAACCAAAATAACACTATTTACAGCATTCTTTTTCTTTGTATAAATCAAAAGTTTGGGACGGATTCTTTCCTCGTTTTTTTTCTTTTCCGCTCTTTTCTTTTCTTTTCTTTTTTCTTTTTTTTTTTTTTGGAACTAGGGTATGTTAGGACGTCACGAAGTTCAGGTTCATTCATCTATAATCACGGGAAGTTACAGTGGCTTTTCCCTTTTCCCCCACTTTTATGTCGGCTTTCAGGCTGTTGCGTTTCTTTCTTGATGTTATTCGCAAGGCAAAGCAAAGCTGAGTCCAGCCCGGGGCTCCTTCCTCCTTCCCTCGCAGAACTACATATAGGTTACAGTTTAAGTTCAAGATGAGTACCTTGTGGGGCCAGTATCAGCCTAGGCCTGAATAGACTTAAAGAAACTGGTAACCCCCACTCAGCATAGGGTTTGGTTTTTCGATCATCAAATATCACTCGTGCGTGCCGATGAGTTCAAAGGACGGTATCTTGGCCTGCTACCTCCCACTCGGTTTAACCGGGTAAGTAAAAAAATAATACCGCCGAGCACACAAGCCGAAGCCACACGACCTAGCTCTCCATTTGAACTCACAGCCACGGTTACCTCTCAAGCAAAAGTTGTATTCAGAGCAACTCCAGAGTTCGATGCTCTTTGTATCTCTACTTGTAGGCGCCAACTTTCGGAACTTCGTGGCCGGGTCGGGGTAGCAGCGACGAGTGATAACCTATGATGCCCCACCCGACACCTAAAAGCCCGCGCGCGACCGGAACATAGCTTTTGGGGAGAAAAGGGAGGAACGATATCAATTCTATTACTATCGTCGATACGCTCCCACACACACTACCACTACCATCACCACCGCTGCTAGCTAGCTCCTCCAAACCTACCGAGTGAACATCTGTGAGTCTAATTCCAGCAATTCCAGCTACGTCGGCTTCCCGCAAAGATGGAGTATTGCAGCCTATAAATCAGCACTCCTTGGCATTGCGTTACGAGCCCGCGGGCAGTCTTACAGCACAGGTCTATTCAGGATTTAGTGCGTGCATAAGCGCATGGTACCTAGGAGCGTTTTTATATCAGCGGGGGGAAGAACCTTACTTTCACGGAAGATCTAGATATGATCTATATGCAGGGCAAAGAGCTGCGTATTACCAGGCAGTGTCGATCCACAAACACAGATATCTATATATTGATGTCCTTAACCTGGGAACGACTATACCTACAGGGCGTGGGAGTTATAGTTTTAGGAATACCCTTGAAAGCGTTGTGCTATATAGAAATGTTCCCGGATAAATAGTGGATATTTGTGGATCGACTAGGAATAAGCACCGCTCAGCTGGGAGCCAAAGATTTCTAGCTGGTTTATTACTAGTACTAGGAGTGACATAACGAGTATCCCTAGGTCGCTATCTTTACTTAGGAAGAAATGTTGACGCAGGGCCTTATTAGGAGCGAGTGCGAAACTGTGTTTCAGTGCTACTAGTAGTGTGAATCCACAAATCAATTGCTACACTATTAGCTGTTATAGAGATTAGTAGTATCCCCTGCATTGTGGTTGGTTGATTTGACTAACTCGAGTCAGTGAATTATAATTCACAGTATTTATGCAATATTGCTAACTACATTGACACAATATCTGAGAAGAGCCCTATGAGTATGAGAACAGGGTATAGAAATCAAACCCTTCTGTATGCAATTGATTTGTAGGCGCAGCCAAATTCGTTGTTTCACTAATTACAGTATTTTGAGACTTGCCAGATTTCACTGACTCCAGTCAGGCAAAACCTACGATCCAGGGGATAGTATACTACAGATCTAGCAATCGCTATTCCCCCCCCCCCCCCCCCCCCACATCACCACTACAGCGTCCACGCCTACATCCATTATGAGAATTACAGACATTACAGATATCGATCACCCTACAGCTATGGCTATGGCCACTACATCATTAAGAGCCAGGAACGCATCTCAAAGCATAAAACCCAGATCAAGAGACTAAAAGAAAACGAAAATCAAATATTCCATAAAAAAAAAAAGGAAAAGATGGAAAATAGATTTACAAACTCCTCCCAAACCCCAACCTCTAACCTGTCCAACACTCCCACTTCCCCCCGTGCACCCCTCCACACACGCACCCCACGAGACCACTACTCAAACCTCGCATGCCTCCCCCCCTCCCTCACCACGCCCAGCGCTTGCCCCGTACTCCCAATCCACTCCTTCACACTGCCAAACACCATCTTCGCCATCCCCACCTTCTTCTTATTCTCATTCATCATGCCCACGGTACCGCCAGCAGCGCCACCGCCAATCTCGGAGGACGGAAGCACATTTTCGCCGGCGCTCAGCGACACAAACAGCGAGAACGGGACAAGCCACACACAGATGCCAAAGAATGCGCTGATCTCTGTGAACGACGGGAAGCGCGGGTCGGTGCGTGATGGCTCGTAAGGGCTGCCCGAGCTGCCGCCGCGGCGCACGGTGGGGTAGGTCGTGGGGTAGGCGGGGAGCGGCGGGTTCGAGAAGTGCTTAAACCACAGAAAGTGGTTCCCAAGTACGAGCACTATATGTTATGTCTGCTGTCAGTCACCGGAGGTTAGGGGGGGTGGGATGCGGGCGCGCAACGTACGGCAGCTGAGGATAAAGACCCCATCGGTGAGCTTGACCATGGGGAAGGTACGGGTGATGTTCATGAGGTAGACGACATGGCTTGCGGCGGAGAAGGCCGTGAGGAGGAAGGGGAAGCCGTCGAGTACCAGTAGGAGGGCGTGGATGGCGATGATTGATTGGATCAGTCTGGTCAGGAGCTTCTTGCAGAAGACTGTGTGCTCCTCGACGAGCTCGGAGAGGTAGTAGAGCCCCGATGCTAAAGTTGTTCTGGAGTGTTAGAGAGGTGCGCTTCTCGGTATGGGTAGTGGGGAGAGGGGTGGGATATACCGATTGCGAGCGTCAAGAAGGAGAAGCCGAATACCATGCCCACATATCCGAGGAATGGGAGGACCCACATTGTTGGTTTGGTGGCGGTGGAACTTGACAGGTGAGTATTACTGACTCTCTATTAATTAAGGCTAATAAAATCCCGGATAGTTAGGAGTTAGGGGTTATCGTAATGTCGTGGGGTTCTTTGAGTGGTTTCCTTTCCGTGAGATATGGAACACTCGAAGTATGAGATATATCGAGTCTTTGTATCAAGTCGAAGATGATGCCAAAGTGTTCAGAGTGTTTCTGGGCGGCGAAGATGTCATCACTGCCACTTCCGTCCCGTGCTCTGAGAGGCTTAAAACACTTGGCGTTCCTCTTCCGGAGCAGGGTTACACAGAGAATGGTCGAACCTGGAGAAGGCGTTTTGTTCCTTATTGCACAGGAAAGTGCGATTCTGGAGCATGCAAGGGGTGCATAAGTCGATCTTCTACAGCTGGAAACGCTTTCGGGATGAACACATTTATGGGCAGAACACATGTGTTAATGACTTTGGACACATGGAGATGTGTGTGTACCTGTATCTGTACCAGCACCGGATTCCCGGTGTTGGATTGGAGGGGCACTGCACTATCTGTGTGCTTGCTTACACTTCGATTTATGCCAACAGCGGTTTCTTGCTAGTAATTCCTAATGGTTTCTCGGGAGTGGTGGGTGACATTGCTACCTCGTTGGACAGCATGTCTTTGGGTTGCGATAATTCGGATTTCTTATTCAATGTCGCACCATTGATTGCGCAAACCACATCGCCTTTTCTATGCACTATATGTCCGTGGTTGGGTACCTGCGAGCAATACGGTTGGGCCTGCTGGTATCTGGAGTCCAGTAAACGTCCAAACTCCCATAAATGGCTATATTTTTGATTTGCGCAATAAATACAGCTTAACCTCTCCTCTCCAGCGTATTGAAGCGCCTTGCAGTCGCAACTTGCTTCTTCGTCTTCTGTCCTCTCACCGGCAGACCCTACACACACCCCATTAGCACCCACATGCCCACAAACCCGACCCGCATACATACCTGAGCATGTCGCCTCCCCCTGTATGTCCCTAGCTCCCTCAACCTACCGATGTTGTCTCTCAGCTCCTTCCTTAGATCGTTCTCCAGCGTCATCTTTGCCATGTCTGCCTGGAGCTCGTTCAGCTTCGGTGTCTGCAGGGACGCGAGCTTGGCCATGGGGTGGATTGAGTGCTTTGCGCAGAGACGGGCGCAGACATTGGGGCCGATGCCGTAGAACGAGGTCAACGCTTTCTGTGTTGGAAATGTGGGTTAGACGAATCTAGCAGCGGTATGGTGGTGGTGGTGGGGGAAGGCGTACATACCGTGACCATCGTGGCTTCGGGAATGCTGACACCGAGAAGGAAAACCATTGTGGGTAGCTGCTGTCTGTACTGTGCTGTGGCTGGCTGGCTGGCTAGCTGTGGTGGACTCGAACTCGAATTGCACTCTGGGGTGGGTGGCCGGCTCAGGTAGTAGTGGGGGTAGTGATTGTTTCTCTAGGATCAATGTTTCTTTCTGCAGCGATTGCACTGTTACCCTGCCTGCCCACCTACTCTCCCCTGCCGGCCCCTAACAGGCATTGCTCGCTGATCGTCCCGGCATGATTCAGGAGAAGTGCAACTAATCGAATAACTATCCCTAATCCCTAATACCTGTATCTACGCATGTTGACAGCTTCCTAAATACCCACCCAATCCATACTTGTTGCAACACCCCCGAAAGCTGCCCCCCAGTTAAGACCACCTAAACGTTTATTTGCTGCTTTTCGTCCACACCGGCGCGGTGAACATTGAACCGTTAACGGTGTTATTGCTACTGCCCAGTCCCTTCTTAATTCCTTAATTCTTTAATTGCCAGTTCTTGAACATACATTATACATACATAATCCCCACATGACATATTAGCTACGTACACACACACCGCATAGTACAACATAGTAGTTTCCAGTGCATAGTTGCGATCGAATGAACAACCTCCGTGATCCCTTCAGCCTGCGCAACAAGCCTGCAACCTTCCATCTGCTGCACCAGAACCTCCGAGCAGCCTCCCTAACAATCAGCACAGAGGTCACCACAGTCACAAGAACAAAAACACGTGCTCTGCAGCAGGCTGCGCTACCAGCCATCGAGACGGCCGTCGAGAAACTAGAGGAGGCCATGTCCGGTTTCTCAATCCCAAAGAACGTGCCCTCGTTCACGTCCCCCAACCGCGAGTTCGAGGACGTGGCCTGGGCCGCCGCAACGTCAAAGAACGGCGGCGGAAACAGTCCGAGAACCCCCCGGAGCGCAATGGCTGGCATTGCCGAGGGTATGTTTGGGAGGGACAGGGACCTCCCGCTGTATAAGGATAAGCCCTACTACCACCATAACGCGCGACAGAGGAGAAAGTGGTTGAGGAAGAGGGTGCTGGGCATTGTCGCGGTGGTGGGCCTGGCACTGTGGTGGTTTGGCCTGTTCGCGGGGGTTCCTGGAATGATCCCCATGCGTGGACAAGGGGCGGTAGGGGGAAAGAAGAGTAGTAGTGGTGGTAGTGGTGGGAAGATAGATTGGGAGGAGAGGAGGGAGGCGGTCAAGGGCGCGTTCGTGCAGAGTTGGGAGGCGTATGAGAAACATGCATGGGGTAATGATTACCTCACTTGATTTTTTTCTTTTTGACACTGTCACTCGCATCACAGACTATCACTCATACTAACTAACGGACCACTTAGGCTACGACGAATTCCACCCACTCTCCAAGAAGGGCAGGCAAATGGTTCCGAAGGGCATGGGCTGGATCATCATTGATTCTCTTGACACCCTCATGCTCATGAACCTGACCACGCCACTCTCCCACGCAGTTGAATGGCTTAGCTCGTCCCACACGTTCGACCAGGACCATGAAGTCAACACCTTCGAGACTACGATCCGTATTCTCGGTGGTCTCCTCTCTGCCCATTACCTCCAGAACGATTTGCACATTGTGCCTCCGGCCCCAGGATCCGACGCGGACATTTTCCTTGAGAAGGCGACCGACCTCGCAGACCGCCTCCTCGGCGCATATGACTCTCCTAGCGGAATCCCCTACGCGTCGGTCAATCTACACCACATGAAAGGTGTTCCCTCGCACGCTGACGGTGGTGCCTCTTCAACCGCCGAGGCAGCTACCCTCCAGTTGGAGATGAAGTACCTCTCTAATCTCACCGGCGAAGCCATCCACTGGGCCAAAGCCGAATCCGTCATTGCTGCCATTGACTCTCTTAACGCCGAGGACGGTCTCGTTCCCATCTTCATCTACGCTGACGACGGTACCTTCCGCGGCAAAGAAATCCGCCTCGGTAGCCGTGGTGACAGCTATTACGAGTACCTCCTCAAGCAATACCTTCAGACCAGCAAGGGTGAGCCCCTCTACCGCGATATGTACGACGAGGCCATGGCCGGTGTCAAGAAGCACCTCATTGCAAAGTCACACCCCAGCCACCTAACCTTCATCGGCGAGCTTCCCGGCGGTATTGGCGGTGAATTCTCACCCAAAATGGACCATCTTGTCTGCTTCATGGCAGGCTCCTTTGCCCTCGGTGCCACCGAAGGACTCCCGCTATCCGTCGCCCGCAAGACCGCAACATGGGGCGCGCGACAAGAAGAGGATATGCGTCTTGCGCGCGAGCTCATGCGCACGTGCTATGAGATGTACGCGGTGACGCCAACGGGGTTGGCCCCAGAGATCATCTGGTTCAATATGCGCCACGATAAAGACGGCGTGACGGGAGAGCTCGAGGAGGAGGACACCAGTAAGGATATTCAGATCAAGCCACGTGACGCGCATAATCTGCAGCGTCCCGAGACAGTGGAGTCGCTGTTCCTGATGTGGCGCATCACCGGCGACCAGGTGTATCGTGAGTGGGGATGGGAGATCTTTGAGGCTTTTGTGAAGCATGCCTCGGTGGAGGGGGGTGAGGGCGGCTTCACGAGTCTGGACACGGTGATGGAGGTGCCGCCGAGGATGAGGGATAACATGGAGAGTTTCTGGCTGGTAAGTTTTCTTTCGTTTTTCCGGGGGTGGTTGGGTTGGGCGGTGTGTCGTTGCTGGGTGGGCGTTGTGTTGTGTCGAGCCCGCACAGCGAGAATATACAACCCGAGCCATGACTGCCACCACCATAAGTTCTTCACTTACAGACTGGCTGACATTTGTAACCTGACAGGCCGAGACACTGAAATACTTGTACCTCCTCTTCTCCCCAACCGACATCCTCCCGCTCGACCAGATCGTGTGGAACACGGAGGCGCATCCTATGCCAAGATTTGAGATGGGGAGACTACTGAAGACGGGATGGGAGAGGAAGTTGAAGACGCAGGCATGAGTGCGGGGGACATGAGAGGGTGAAGGGTGACTTTTGTATATCACTTTTTTTTCTTTCTTTTTCTATTTTTCGTTGTGCCTTTTCTTTTTTCCTCAGCTGCGGACTTTTTTGTTTCTGTCAATTGCGGATTTTGGCTCGACTCCACTAGTAGGGCGTGGGTTAGAAAAATTAATTATGTGTTTGCTGTAGTTGTTGCTGTTGGATGTAGACGTTGATGTTGGCTATTTGGCGGGGGTGGGATGGCTGTATTGTGGTGTCTTGATGTGTGTTGTGCGTTGTGTGATGTTGAATGATAATGAACGTCATGAAGTTATCGGAAAAGAAAACCGGAGCTGTAGGTGGGAACCAAGTAGTTGTTGCATCACAGATTCTCACTCGCCATTCTATTCTAGCACCGTCTCTGAGAGGATCGGGTGGTGTATTCAATCGCAGGAAGAAAACGCGATGATTAGAGCGGGGAATTAAGGCGCGGGCCAGCGATAGCACTCGGTAGGTGTGGTGGAGGTGAGGGGAGATGGCGGGGGGTGACGATCCCTTCATCTGTATCGACGATAGGTGACTTTACCCTTTACCTGTCCCCTTCGACAGCCCTTTACCTCTAGCGAACCTAACCCGCGCTTCGTGAAGAATTTTAGCCTACAAATCACCCTTTGTGGCCTCCATCTTCCCTTTCTAGCCCCACCAACTTCTTCTCGTAGCTAGAATCTTACACATCGCTATTGTGAATTGAGAGCACAGACGAAGGGATAAAGGGTTGAACGGGGACTGCTATTTTTATCTGTGGGTGGATGGGGCATCAAGAGCCACAATAACTTTCTACCATACGTAAATCTAGGTAAGGTAGGAAGTATTACGGTCACTGCTCATATTTATTTCTTTCTTTCATACACAAAAAGAGCAAAAGGTACTGCAGATATGGATATATCTACTACCCCCACCCCTGGGTTGAACCATGGACCTTCTATAGACGTTCAAAGATCAGGTACAACCACTCGGTGTTCCGGGAGGCGAGTGTTAACCGCTAGGCCACTCGCCCATGTGTGTTCGTCGTCCCAAGTGCTATTTGAATGCCAAGGTTGATGCAGGCGCCAAGGTTCGCTGGCTGTTAAGACATCAGCCGGAGGTGTTTCTCTTCTTCATCAATCCCAAATCCTGACATGTAGTCGGGGAAAAAAGAGGGGGAAAGCGTGGATATTACTAGAAATAATTCACTTGGTAGGATGTCAATAACAAGAACAAAAGGTACTGCAGATGTGGTTACATCTACTACCCCCACCCCTGGGTTGAACCATCGACCTTCTATAGACGTTCAAAGGTCAGGCACAACCACTCGGTGTTCCGGAAGGCGAGTGTCAACCGCTAGGCCACTCGCCCATGTGTGCTATGGGCCGGGACTAATATTTGAGCGCGAAAATTGATTGCTTGCACGTGACTAACACTATCAATGGGTGAGCACGAAGTAGACTCTTTCGCTGGGCAATGGCCAGCACGGGGGATATGGTCAATCTCCAATATACGCCGGAGTGATAAATGATACACAAAGGGTCGATCGGCTACCTTTTGGAATTGACTATACCCCCGTGAAGGCGTATACTGAAGAAAAACCACATCTACCCCCGAACCACGAAGAGTCCATGGGTGGTAGGGCATGCAGTCTCTCTCTCCCTCCCAGTCATATCCACGCCAGGTAGCTGCAGTATCGTACCCGTCCTTCATTAAACACCCCACCCTGCACGAAGTGTCTGCAGTGTCTTTTTCGGGCCGGCCATATTACATTACTTGACGAGTATGGCTGGTGAACATGTTGATCTGTGTCTCGGTGCCTCCGTGCACGTGTATGTACATCATACCCAGCGGGGATGGATGCCTCTTCATCATGCACCGGCTGAGCTGTCGTTTACTTCATCCTACAGCTTCATTTCTTTCGGGGTGGGCTAATCTAATCACAAGCCATCACTCGTTCTTGGCAAGCACTCCACGCTCCAAGCTGAGTTTCAATATCTACGACTATTTGACTACACTACTGGGACCTTTCTGGAGCGGCGATATATTTAATCTTGGATCAAAACACTACTTTGTGTAGTACTGTACGTGGTAAGGCAAAAGCGCTATATGGATCAAGGTCGTCCCTCAAACAAAGCTGAAGGAGAGGAGATATTGCTGCTCAAACTAAAATCTCTGCGCTTTATATTATTTCTAGCATCACGTAGGAGGGATGTGCGTTATTGTTGTTGAATAAACCCATTCTAAACTACATTTAACTTTATAGATCCAACTAACTGCTTTGGAAAACATTATTCCGAAGCTGAGCTCGGATACGGTCAACTGTAACTGTATATTCTAATGTCTTTCCGCGGGGGTTAAAGAGGGCTAGAAAGCAATATATGAAATGTGCTTCGATGTTAAGAACACCTCAGGCAGCGTTAGTGATGGTGGCAGACCGGGGGAACCTTAGCTGGTCCCAACAAACTACTCAATCAATCAATCAATCAGGCGTAGCTGGTCCGGCCACTTGTGCCTCCAGCTCCAGCAATATACGTAGCCAACACGAGCCCGCAATACCCAGGGCCACATCTCCATAGCTGCTATATCCAAACCCCCTCCATAACAGCCATAAGCTTATACCTATAATATCAATTAACGAATCACCTACTCCCCCAACTATCTCCCCGCATCGCGAGGAAGTTCTACAAGACCATCACATGCACTTCCCCACCACCCTCCCCCCCACGTCCGGCAGCCCCGCCGCAAAGCTCAGCCTCGAGGGCAGCCGCTCCCCCCACCCCGAGACATTCGACGGCCCCCTGCCCCCCGCACCGAGTGACTTCCCACGCACAAACCTCCCGCTGCGTCCGCGCCCCACAATACCCCCACGGCCCATAGGGCGGGCTGCTAAGCCAGCGACGTCTAGCCAGCCCGCAGCAGCAGCGAGGGTGCCGTACAGCTCGCTGGCGACGGCGAAGCTAAAGGCGAGTAAGAGCGTGCCGGCAGAGAAGCTGCTGGAGGCGCGCAACTCGTGGAAGCGGAAGCGGAAGGCGAGGCTGCAGGGCGCGGTCAAGTCCGAGTCTGACATTCTACGGAGGAACCCCGAGTATGGTGGCGGGGATGCAGGGGTTGAGGATTCGGGGAAAGGTGGTGGTGGTGGTGGTGGTGGTGGTGGTGGTGGGAGCTCGTTGATCTCGGCCAAGTCGAAGAATCGGTTGAAGAAGATGTTTGGGATCGAGCCCGAGGAGGAGGACGAGGGGGTGCCCGTGGAGGAGTTTCTGCAGAAGAAGAAGCCTGCAGTGGTTCGGAGACCTGAGGGAGGAGGGGGTGTTTCTTCGGGTTCGAGAAGCGGCGCGGATCGTTCGGCGAACCTGTATGATAAGATGGGGTTGACGGTGCATAGGGAGAGGTATATGGCTTCTCGTGCGTCGCGGGAGGAGGACAAGGAGGATTTTGACGGGCAGTCGCTCTTGCATGGACTGGGAAGTGAGAGACGCAGGCTGAGCACCCATGCCAAAAAGCTCACCTTGTCTGAGCTTCAAAGCCGTTATGATGCCTATCGTGAGCGTAAGAGTTCTGAGAAGGAGGCAGAGATCGTCAGGGTCCACACAGCACCTGAAGAACTCTACAAGCTGAATCACCACCATAAGGACCACCACAGGCTCACAGACGCTGCGAGGCGTGGAATGAAATCTGCAAAAGAGGAGATGAATGTGTACAAATACACTAGGCGGAAAGAAAGAGACGACTCTGAAGAAAAAGCTGGGGCCCGCATTGTCAACGCCATGAGAACAGCAAAGTCCCGGTTTGAAAATAGGGATGCGGAGCGAGAGGCAAGGAGACAGGCCGCCTCGAGGCCAAAACCGCGTGCCATCCAGCCCGGTGCGTGGTCTCGATCGTATTCCGCCCCCCATGTCCCGGTGTTCTCGTCCCCGTCTTATACACAGCCGGACCAGCCGTATCTTGAGGCAGATAATATCCAATCCCCAAAGGCTTTGGGCCCGCAGTTGCCTGCTGAGCCTGTAGAGAGGAGTCGGGCCTATTCGCAGGTTTTCCCGGCAAGACCGTCTCCTATGTATCGTCCTACTCTTTCTCCTGTGTACTCAAAGTCGCCAAGATATACAAGCCCGCTTGTTTCGAGCTCTTCGGGCGAGAGGAAGAAGGCGGAGGCGGCTGTATCTGCATCCACCTCTACAGACATGCAGAATGATATGGTGACGGCGAATTCTTTTCTTGATCCGCCCAAGTCTGCATCAAGCACTGCTCCGCCAATTCCTGAGAGATCGGAAGCTAGGCTTCAGAGCGTACCAAAAGACCTATCACCGTTAACTAGTTCGACCGTGAAACAGGAGAAGGTTCTTCAATCCGCAAGTGAGATTGCCACTCTAAGGCAAAAGCGCTCACCCAGCGGGCACCGACGATCATTGACCGCCGACGACGAAATACCGCCACTAGAGCTCCCCCCACCAGATGCCAACCCCACAGCTACAAGAGAAATACCCCCTCCCGGATCGCGCCATTTCAAAGCAATCCCCCCACCCCGAAACTCCCCAGCCAGCTCCCGCATATCACCCGACGCTCGCAGCCCCCACCACCACCACTACGCCGCGCACCACAATATCGACATCTCCAAAACGCCCACCTCCTCCGCCCTCGAGTTCTGGGCCGCCGCCGACGCATCCCTCGCCCCCTCCGAGTCGGCCTCCGCGCAGCCCGCAACCCGCCGCAAGGGCGAGCCGCCGCCAGATATATGGCGCGACGCAGACCGCTCCCTGAACCTGCGCAAGGGCGGGCCTACGATGGAGGAGTGGATCGCGAGCCTTCCGGGCCTCGGGTTGCATCTGGGCCCATGGGGCGACGATGCGGGACTGGATGCGAGGGTGCTGGAGGACCTGAGGACGAGGAGTCCGCAGTCGTCGACGATGCGCGGGAATGGGGTGTTGAGGGCGGAGCTGGTCGAGAGGATTAGGGAGATGGATGAGGCGGCGCCGGAGCCGGAGCTGGAGCCGGAGATGGTTGAGGAGGAGGAGGATGAGATGGCGCCGGAGGTCGTTGAGGAGCTTGTTCCGGAGGATGGGGAGAGCTCTGACGACGATGATGGTGGTGAGGAGGCGGAGGCGAATGTACCGCCGGCAGTGGTGGACCCCGCGCTGCTACACCCAAAATATGTTCCTGGCCCGTCGCAGGGCAGGGGCAGAGGGGGAGCGCTGACAATGGCGAAGGCGCGCATGCCGAGGACGGCGTTCAAGGAGATGGATTTGGCGGGGGATGTGACGGAGAGGCTGGAGGCGCTGGAGAGGTATTGGGATGAGCAGGGGATGATGGTGGGGTCGGTGCTGAAGCGGATGTTGTGGATTGTGGATAGTATTATCGTGAAGGAGAGGGAGGATGCGCAGCGGGTGGTGAGGCGGATGGAGATGGGGTGGGGGGAGAGTGATGAGGAGGAGGATGAGGAGGAGGAGGAGGAGGAGGAGGAGGAGGAGGAGGAGGAGGAGGAGGAGGAGGAGGAGGAGGGGGAATATGAAGAGTATGAAGAGGAGGAATATGAAGAAGAGGAAGAGGAGGAGGAAGCAGAAGAAGAGGGTGAGTGATGGGCTGTGATTGGGGCCTGTACTTAGCTGCGTGTAGCTAGCTTGCCCGACGGGATTTGTGCATGTAGAATCGAGTATGCGCCAGCGACAGAGCGAACCAGAGCTCAGACGCTTCCTTTTCCCATGCCCGTTTTTCTGTCCACTATCGGACCGGCGCTCTCGTCCCGTGTGCCTGGGTCTGGCACGTACATGTATGTATATAAACCCCCCAGCTCTCGAGCTCATGAGACCGATCGCGCACATGAGCCCTTCTAGAAGAACCAATGCAGACAGAGACGCCTCATCACGTCGAGCACATACACCCAGCCAAAGCACCCCAAGCCCCGCCCGAAGCCCGAGACCCCGGCCAAGCGTCCACGACCCAACACCGGCGCGCCCGCACGGAAGAAAACCGAGTCGAGTCTGAGACCGAGTCATATCCCATGACGCAGCACACGCGGGAGGTGCGGGAATTTGTGCTGCTCGAGATTGTGGTTGGAGGTTGGAGGTTAATTGATGATTGGATTGGTGATTGGAGAGTGGTGATTGGGCGGGAGAATTAAAGGCATGATGGGATGGATGGGATAAGGGTGGGTTTATGCGTGCGCTATCTTATCGATATGCCCTTCCTTGGGTGAGCCTTGTGGTGAGCGTGAGCGTGAGCGCTTAGTAGTAGATACTGGCCCGGATCGATGTGGTTGTGGGTGGGTTGGGCAGATGGATGGATGGGCAGATGGATGGATGGGCAGATGGATGGATGGATGGATGGATGATGGATGGATGAGCAGTTACACCCGGGGAGTTGCCTTGCTTGGTTCAGGGCGGACGCCAAAGTGCACATTTCACATCACATGTATTCTATCAGCAGGGAAGTGTAATTAGTGGGTGGGCGAGGGAGTGAGATATCAGGCTCATTATGCCCGCAGCCCGCAGATGGAGCTGGGGGGAGATTGTGCAACGGACAAAGGAATGCAATGCGGATGGGATGGGATGCCTTTGTTGGTTTTGGGTTATGGGTTATGGGTTATGGGTTTTGAGTTTAGGTTTGGGCTCACATCATCTCCGATTGCTTGCTTGATTGCCTAGAGGGAGTGCAGAGAGAGTGATGTGATGTGATGTGAGGCGAGAGGTGAGGTGAGGTGAGTGGTGGAGAACTAGTGCTTGGCGGGCACGGGCACAGACACTCACTCTCGGCGTAACTATATCCAGAACATCTACATCTCTGTAGGTACTTTAGATATCAGGGAACAAACTCGACGACGAGACCCGTACCCGCTCTACTACACCACCACTTGAATCCAATACCGGCCACTTGCAATTGAACCGCAGGCAGGCAGGATCGGGCCCCATAACATCACGGCCACCCGATGGAGCGCGGGAATCAAAGCGGGATAATGTGACGGCTAAGGCTGAGGGGGAGATTTAAGGATTGTACTTCAGAAAAGGAGAGGAGAGTACTGGAGGTATATGCAATCTCTGGCCGTCGGGTACTGCCAGACTGCCTGGTACCTGCATGTAGCATTAGCATGGCAATTACATATGTACATATGTAGTTGCCCAGTGGTGGAAAAGGTAGAGGTGGAGGACGAGTGATCGTGATGCATCGCTCTCATCACCGACTAGTGTCACGACGAGTTAAGTACCTGGATCGTGCCTGTCTTTCTGCAGCCCACATCCATATCCATACCCATATCCATACATGTATCCATACCCAAATTGTACCTACCTACATGTACCTACATGTAGGTAAATACTCGACCATTGGTACATACGTTGACTGACATAAAAACGACACAGCCCCCCCCCCCCCCCCCCTTCTTTCCATCCATGGGTCCAACACTCCCTATGTACGAACGAACCTTGAAATTTCCGAAGAGAGGAGGACGTCATGTGTCAATGGGAACAAAAACATTAAAAAAAAAAGCTACACCGAGGCTTCGGGTGAATGGACCGCTCCCCCCCCCCCTTTTTTTGTGGAGGGAGATGGGGAGTTGCGAATTGGATAACTCTAAACCAACCACGAGGCGGTGTTTGGTTTTTTATAACCGTGGGTAGGAAGATGGGTATACGTACTCTGCGTGTATGTAGACGTTACTAGTGCATAGTGCACTGTGCCCGTGGGCCAATCACACGAGTGTAAAGCAGTTGTTGTTAAAACTCGGCGGTGGTATTGCCATGGTGATGGTGGAAAACATGGGAGATAAACAATTTTATGCACTATGCATACTCTAGAGACACTCTGCATACTCTAGAGACACTCTGCATACTCTAGAGACACTCTGCATATATCTGCCAATTCAGCCCTCTAACGCGCATAAAAAAACAAGCGTTCCCACAACCTCCCGAAGCAGGGCCACCAAAAACAAAAAAAAAAAAAAAAAACCCTCAGCCCAGAATTAACCCGTGACCTGGATACCTGTACCTACATAAGCGAAAAGGCGGGGATCCCCTCCCCGGCCTTCCTTCCTTCCTTTTCACACACCACCCCCCCTTCCCCTTCCCCTTCCCCCGCCGCCGCTACTGCTCTACATACATACATACCCGTTGAAAATGACACACATTGTAGCGGTACATGACGCGCCTGTTGTCACATACATATACTTGCAGCCTGACCTTTGTCCCGCGCGCGTTTCATGGGGTGGATGGGGTGGATGGGTAGAGTACCTACATACTGCAGGACTGCAGGACTGACAGGACATATATTCAGGTACCGTATGTAGGTACCTTTTCAATTGCAATCAAATAGGATATAAGGTAGGTACACACTTTGTAGGCGTGGGGGTGAGGTAGGTACGGTACGGTACATGTAGAGTAGATTGAATCTTTCGGTACTACATGCAATTCAAGATTAAAAAACCGATTTCCACTGTCCTCTCCTCCCCGGAAGCACGAGAGCATCCGCATCCGCATCCGAACGGACCGACATACCGGCATCGCCATCAGATCATGCAAGGAACCGGCCGCGGGCAAAGCAGGCAGGGCAGAGCTTTTTTAAAATTTCAGCATCTGGTTTTTTTTTTTTTTTTTTTTGTCGCTTTCGATCTCTTCTGGTATCCAAACCCGACATGACCATTATATTGCAGTAGCTATTGCAGGTTGCAGAGCAGGGCAGTGCAGTGCAGTGCAGCGAGGAAAGGTTTTCCAACAACATACCAACCCTTCGCGATATTGGGTGATTGTCTCATCTCACACTCGCTCACTGGTGATCACTCGGTTGGTTGGTGCCGAGTGAGTAGTTAACTACATGCAGAAACACTCCGGCCGCCGTATCGTGTCTACTTCCTTAGTACTACTCTACCCTCTGTCTAAGCAGCAAGCAGATTACTCACATACTCTAGCATTCCTCTCAAGATAACGTGGCCAGCTAGAGATGTAACATCATCCCACAACACACACCCACACACACACGCACACACGCAATCGATTCCCGATGACGATGGGGGGGGGGGGGGGGGGGGGTGGGATGGGATTTATTTTCAGCAACAATTGCAAGACCCTCTAACTCTCTGTCTCCCCGCAACAGCCAACCAAAGCAGCTGTACCGGGGTGCGAGCAAATGGAAGATCAACCAACTGGAACCTCGAGGACTAACCAACCAGCTGCCCTCAACAGCCGCCTTCTGCTCGGAGGCAATTGGGCAAAAGAGTGAAAAACTCCAATGAAAATCCCTTTTATTTTTTTTTTCTGCTTTTGCTTTCTTATGCGTCCAACTAGAGTAGCTGCGGATCATCTGGGAATCATATGGATCTTTCTTTTCTTTTCTGCGGCGCCACTAGCTGGCGAGGATTTGATAAGGCCGTGGATGATCATGGGCGTTTAAATACACACTACACGGTTACGTCTCTAGTTGGGATTACTACTTAATCGGAGGAATGAGTATTGGGATGTTCTAACTCAAACATGGACAATTTCCATTTGCCCACTACTGGAAACACAAAATATATGGTTACAATTCAGGACGCCAGAGGCGGGAGTGTCTTAATAAAAAAAACGATATGGCGCTTTTTGTTGTGATTAGAAAATTTAAATGTGAAAGAGGAGGAAGGGAGGCGTACCTGACTGACTGACATGGGTAAAACGCATTATTTGAGGTTCCAACAGCGATATTTTACCGGTCTACAGATGTCACAGCAGCCAGCCTATCTATCTGGCCTTTTTTGGTGTTCCACACACAGTACATACAGCTCCTATCTCATCTTTAGGGGGAGGGGGGTGAGTTCGCCTCGAGAAGAGTCAGTCGGATATGAAAGAAGGGATCGGTGGGTCTGGCCAGGCTCATGGTACTCTCGGATAATTATCCTAATACCTCGCCTATTTCGAAATCGGAAGCGGCGTAAACGAGGTTGATCAATGGCTGGGGGGTGGGGAGGAAGGTTACTCAGTGAGGAGGAGGACTAGGAGGGTTCACAAACATCAGCTTCTTCTTCTTCCCCGCATTGAAGGGCGTCACGGGGCAGTTCCCCCCATATGAGGAGGACGAGGAAGGCATAAACCCTATTCTTAAATATATCACTTTAGGATGCAGGTCGAGGCATTGAGTATGATTCTGGCCTTGATTATGCGGTGTCAACCATGCAAATACTGGAAATATGATAATTCATGGAGATGAACCCCATTGATTGATATGCAGCCCTGGAAGATGTTCCTTTGACGAAAGATGAACCCGTGAGTACGTTGCGGATAGCATGAATTTCAAACAAAAGAAAAAGGATGCTCATATCTGCATGCCCCCCCATGTCCATGAACGCGCGACAGGGGTGCCACAAGCAAAGCACAAGTCAAAACCCGGCCGCTTTGATCACTCGTTTTACTGACACACGCTAAAGCCCCTGATCCGCACCGCGCACCCTCTCTCGCTCACTTGTCATTTGTGAACGCCACCACGAGGAATGGGAAAGAAAAAGCAAAGAGGCTGAGAGGTTTGGGGAATTGGCCGAGGAGAGACGATGAGTGGATGGTAGGAAGACAGCTCATCAGGCGTCCTGGGCCCTGTATTTCAGAAAAATGAGAATCATGAAATGTGGTAAAGCATCTGGATTTTTCGTGTTCGAGCTCTCCTTCTCTCTTTTGCATTCTCTTTTTCCCCCGCTTCGTGGGAGTGTTTTTTTTGTACCTGCATATACACCGTCCTGCAGAGTATCTTTTTTCCCTTCACTCAAAATAACGAAGCGCCCCCATCACCCCCATCCCATCCCATCCCCATCCCATCGAACGTGTCAGTGCTGGGCTGGCTGGTACATACATTACCGTCCCGGGCCTAACTCGATCAGGGTTCAGTTGATAAGCTTAAGGATCGGAAACCGTTTTTTTGATGATCAAGTCAACCACAACTACATTTGAATCTGTAATTCATTGTTCTCTCTCTGTTTTGTATATGGGCCGGGCCCGGGGCTGACCTTGTATTTTCTTGACGCTGGTGGGGTTCTCGGAAGTGTAGTTTTTCTTATTTTTATTTTTTTCTTCCTTGCTCGAGGCGTAAGCTTGATTGAGACTGATTAATATTGTTCCACTGCTGGTACAGTTGGAGGGATCAAGTGAGTTTTTGGTAAAAAGCAAGGAAAGGAATTAAGCAAGAGGTGACGAAACAAAAGCAGTATTGGATTAGAAAGAAAGAAGAACACGAAGAAGAAGGGTGTACAAAGTAGAAATCAGTTCGTCTTTGTATACGTACTCCTCCTACGGCGTCTGCCTTGCATTACGTCTCATTCCATCATATACCTACAGCAGAAGCAGCTGGCAGCTCACGATATCGATTCTCCATCTCATATCTGGAGAAAAAGTAACACTCACCCGCAGCTGCCGCCCTTGCAACCCGGTCTCATCTGGTCTTGGAACTCGGACGTTCTGTCTCCATACATCTCTAGCCAGGTAACTAGATAGGTACTCTAGCTAGGAGACACTGCATAATATTCTTCCATAACTCGATCTTTCTCTGCGCAGCAGCAGGCAGCATCACATCAGCAGCACCAGCAGCAGTTGGAATTCCCATTATCACGCCAGTCTTTTAAGATAGTCTAAATTTAAACAAAAGCTAGCTAGCTACATACAGAGATCTACTCACTTTTGCTTGTCAACTGTCACATATCTATCCGGCGGCTCATCAATCATTGCTTTTTTCTTCTTAAGTCGATTTAGTTGTATGGTTGTTCTTCCTCCCCCTCCTCTCCACCCCTTCTCACCTTTCTCCTTCGTTGTGGGAAGAAAAAACAACTGGGCTCATCTTTTTACTTCATGCTACGATACTGACCAGCAGATAGAGTGCAGTGGTAGATCTTGGTTAATTCTGCTGCTTCTCCCCCTCCCCACCCCCCACCACCCCCTGGCAGGGCCCTACATACCATACCTCTACATACAGCACCCTACCTACTACTACCTGCTACTACTACTGCAGTATCCGGCAAGCAGGCAGGCAAGCAAGCTTCTGCAAGCACGCACGCGCTCTCTTCCATACAGTACTCTACCTCTACCAGCAAGCAAGCAAGCATCAATCAATCAATCAATCTATACTATCGGCCCCCCCCCCCCTTCCCTTCCCCATACATCCACACCCCTTGAAATAATTGCTCCAAAAGAATATCAATTCTGGAAAAATAATTAAATAGTTAAATAAAAAAAAAAATACTCGGGGGACAAAGAAGGATAACGGGGGATTAAAAATATATATTCAAGGGCACATTAAGGCAAGGCAAGCTAGGCCTAGGGGAGACGGAGAAGGAGAGAGAGAGAGAGAATTCTACATACCCACCACGCCCTAGAATGTCGCACCGGCCCCAAACGATGCCACCAGCCTCTGGTCGCGGCGGTGGAGGTGTTAAGGGAGGAGGTGGTGGAGGTGGCCGGGGGCAGGAATTGCAGCAACTGGAACACCAGGATCGGCTGCGGGACCTGAACGCTACCAGACAGCAGCAGCAGCAACACCAGCAGCAGCAGCAGTATTACTACAACCCACACCCGCCGCACCCACCACACCCTCAGTTTTACTACCAGCAGCAGCAGCAGCAGCAGCACCAACCTCAAGCTTTGAATTCGCGGGTGCTGAACAGGAGTAATTATAGCAGAGAAGCAGACGCAGAAGCAGCAGCAGCACTAGAACAAGAACAAGAAGGATTAAGAGTGGAACAGGCACGGAAGGAATTACTGGCTGCTGCTAATACAACAACTAGTGCAAGACTACTGCCCCAACAGTCACCGCGCTTCCCACCACCGTCGCCTGCACGCGCTCGCGAACCACAACCGCAGAGACACACTCAACCATTACTACAACCACCACCACCACTGCTGCACGATTATAGAGAAGGAGGAGCTGGTAGGACTACGGGAACGGGACCTGCTACGGAGTATTATAATAACAATAATACTTCTGCTCTTACCGCAAATACGAATACAGGAGGAGGTGGAGGTGGAGGCTTGATCACAATTACTACGCCTGCAAGATCTACATTCAACCACCGGCAGCAGCCACAGCCAGGTACGCCCACCACCACAAGTGTTTCTGTTTCCCAGCACCAGAACCAACTTGAGAGGTTAGCGGCGGAGGCTTCCCATATTGCCGGTGTGCTCTCAGGGACGTATCCCTTGAAGAATAGTAATAATAACTCTCCCACTGCTGCTTCTATTGCTGCTTCCACTGCCACAGAGCACTATAATCCTCACCATAACCACCAGCACCAAACCCCCAGCACTCCCTCGACACTCACATACCCCTCGGTTCCAAAATCCCTTTCCAACAACATCAATACCAACACCAACACCAATACCAACACCAACAACAGCAGTGGTAAGCCGCAACAGCAGCAACAGCAACACCTTTCGGTTCCAGAGGTCCTGCTGTCGACCGCCGCAACATCCCCAATGCCGCCCTCACAATTCACGAACCGCCCCCCGCCGCGCACCTCCTCCATCGACTCGGCCATCTCAACAGTCTCCCGTCACTCCGCTGATGGAAACAACGCCAGCGGCAGCGGCAGCAGCAGCTCCGCCCCTACACACGCAGATATCCAGACGCTGATTGAGACAGCAGGATCAGCAGAGGCCCTGATCGGCTATATGCTAAAGGAGAAGGCGTCGGCGGCGACGCAGAATGCACAGCTGTGGAAGCTGGTGGATAAGCAACGGGCCATGATCCTGGGACTCAACAAGGATCTCGAGCAGGCGCTCAAGGACAAGGACCGGTATCGCAAGAAGCTGAAGGAGCAGCTAGGAGTCGTCCCGCCAGTGCCGAGTTCTTCGGCGGCGATCATGGCGGCGAGGGCCGCGGCGGCGGCGGAGAGCGCGGAGGAACACGAGGACTCACCGGTGGAGAGCTTCTCGCTAGTTAGGTCCGAGTCGATGCCGCTGCCGGAGCGAGGGGGGGTGTTCGGTGGCGGGCTCGAGATTTCGTATCCGGAGGCTATGGAGACACTGGAGGAGGGGCCGTCGTCGCCGACTGCGACTCGCAACGGAGCGTTAACGCCAGAGAGTGTCAGGACACCGCTGGGCAGCCAACACTCCGACTCGACGAGCTTGAAGGAGGGGAGTGGTTTTGCGCCGCTGTCGCCGAGGGCTCAGGAGATGTACGTGCCAAAGGATGAGTCAGGAAACGCTGACAATGCTCCATTCCAGTACCCGGTGAGTTCTGCAAAGATCGCGTCGAGGGCTCATCATTTGATGAAGTTGGGTATCTCGACAAACGTCGCGCCTGCATCCGGACTTGGGAAATCACCAATTAGAAAAGCTCCGCCAGCACCGCTGGCACTGGCTTCACCTCTAAGTGAAACCAGGTCCCAGCTTCATACAGATGATGAGGAGGACGATGAGTACGAGGACGATAATGTGTCGATTGAAGAGATACCGGGGTATCAGCAGCGGGCAGAGACAGAAGGAGAGGTTATCGTAACGCAGGATCACAACGATGAGAGCGTGAGCATTGAGAGGATGCCCGTCTATGATAGACGCACCAGCTGGACGCACACACCTATAGACAAGAAGGGCCCGCCAAGTCTAGCGCTTCTCCCGAGTGTAAATATACCACATGCCGCGCCGACCCCGCGCTTCCAGGACCGTCAGGCAATGTCACTTGCGCCGCCAATGGTCCACAACGGAAAGCCGTTTTCTCCTGGCCTCGCCGCCGACGGCTCGGGCATCCGACAGCAGTTTGCGAGAGCCCCGTTGCCGAGTCCTGGGCTGCCAAGTTCCCCAAGACCGATTGACAGGCCTATGAACTCACCCAAGCCCAAGCAGCGACCCCAGTCTCCCGGCTCTCCCAGGACCAGCCCGTTGTCGCCGCGTCTTGGTGTCGCCCCGGTGCCGTTTCAGCCTAGTACGCCGCGCGGGCTTATGCCACAAAGCTTGAATGCGCCGTTGCGCTCGCCGCTCCCCAGAGGCCATGAGAAGAGCGACTCGACGACCAGCCAGGGCTCGCTAGAGGACCAGGTAATTAACCTAATTATCCAGCCCAGCGCCATCAATTCCGTCGACTGCCGAGTAGTGTCCTCGCGCATGCGCCCCTCCCGAGCTAGTATGCTCCCCGGTAGCAAGCCAAGAGTGTCCGAAAATGATTCCGTATTCACGCTCGGCGTATTTGCGCGGGGAACTGGCGGCGAGATTCTACGTGTTGAGAAGGATGTCGGCGCGCTCCCGGCACTGGACGCAGTCCTCCGCAAATTCATTACCTTCAACGCCAAGCTCCCGGACCGCGCGCTATTTACAGGTCACGCCCCGGCAAGGATCGACTCGAGGAGGGCAGCTGTGGATGAGTATTTTGCGGGAGTCCTGGGAGCGACTATGGATGAGCGTGCGGCGCTGGCGCTGTGCCAGTTTTTCTCGACTGACGTCGTAGATCACATACCCAGCGCCGACGTCGCAGGGTCCTTTAAGGATGGCAGCAGCATTGCCAGTGGTGTGCAAGGGAAGCCGCAGAAAGAAGGATATCTCACCAAGCGCGGCAAGAATTTTGGCGGTTGGAAGGCACGCTACTTTGTGCTCAACGGACCGGTGCTGAAATACTACGAGGCTCCCGGCGGTGCGCACTTAGGCCAGATCAAGCTTCAGAGCGCGCAGATTGGGCGGCAGTCACAGAGCCAGAAGGTAAAGGAGCCTTTGGAGGGCGAGACCGACACGGAGAGCCAGTACCGCCATGCATTCCTGATTCTGGAGCCGAAGCGGAAGGATTCATCAACGCTTGTGCGACATGTGCTATGTGCAGAGAGTGATGCCGAGAGGGACGAATGGGTCGAGGCCCTGATGCAGTATGTAGATAAGCCAGATCCGTCAGAGGATGCGTCGAGCAAGGAAGGCAGGGAAAAGAAGAAGCGCTATGGGCCAAAGCACAAGGACAGCAAGGACTCGCAGACCATTGAACAGGATAAGCTACATGCACTGGGATACGAGCAGACCACACCTGGTCCTGAGCCTGCGCGAGGCCCTACACCGGAAGAGCTCCAGAGGATGCGGAACACCCCGTCGCCCCAGAACTCAATCTCGTCAATCATCGCCACGCAGTCCTCCTCGACCATTACAGCGCCGACACTCCAGCCCGCCCCGGAGCGCACAGCACAGGTAAAGCAGATCTCGGCGCCAACTAACGGATCTGTAATTTCGGATTTGGCAGCATGGGGTGCGAAACTGACACACAGCGAGCAGAAGGCGGCGAAGAAGCGCAGCATCTGGGGATTCAGACAGAGGTCATCGTCGGATCTGGATAATCATCATTTGGGAGGTACGCCATATCATCAGATTGGAGAAAGGCTCAACAGGAGTGTCTTTGGTGCGACGTTGGAGGAGGCTGTTCATCTTAGTAAGCCGTTTGGCGTTACGGTGTCACTGCCGGCTGTCGTGTATCGATGCATTGAGTACTTGGAGGCCAAGGATGCGGCGAGTGAGGAGGGTATCTTTAGGCTGAGCGGCTCGAATGTGGTTATCAAGGGCTTGAGAGAGAGGTTCAATACTGGTAAGTGGCCCCCCACCCCCCGAGTTTGTAGGTGAGATGATGCTGACTAGGTGTAGAATCGGATTACAATCTCTTGAATAATGACGAGTACTACGATGTGCATGCGGTTGCGGGACTTCTGAAGCTCTATTTGAGGGAGCTGCCGACAAACGTTCTCACCACGGAGCGAAGGGAGGAATTCGTCAAGGTTACGGAGATGGATGATAAGGCAACCAAGATTACGGCTTTGAATGAGCTTGTCCATAGCCTGCCAATTGAGAATTTTGAGCTCTTGAGAGCTCTATCAGGACACCTTCTGAGGATCGTAGAGAACTCTGACGTCAACAAGATGACAATCAGGAATGGTATGTTGAAGTCATATATATACGCGTTTGTCACTTTTGGAGCGCTAATGTTCTTATTATACAGTTGGTATAGTGTTTTCTCCGACACTCAACATCCCCGCCCAGGTCTTCTCCATGTTCCTCCACGAGTACCGCCACATCTTTGTACGCCCCGAGGAGCAATACCCCTCGGAGCGTGATCTCCCACAATCCCCCTCCCGTGAGGCCCACGACAATCGACCCACGATCACCGGTCCGATGCAGCAATCTGCGCAGCCGCCCCAGCAGCAACTCCAGCAGCAAACTCAACAGCAACCCCAGCAACAACCCTCTACTCAGCAGCAGCAGCAACAGCAGCAACAGCTGATCCACGTTCCTGGTACACCAGGGCTTCCACTCAAGACGCCGCTCCCAAACCTAGTGCAGGAGCCGCAAACACCGAGGACAGTTGCGGCGAGCTACGAGCCCGACTATTCACAAATGTTTACACCATCACAGTCGGAGTTCCCCAGGAGCCCGCTGCCAGTCGAAGTCACACAGGGAGAGTCGGCGAATGGGCTGTCGCTGCCCGAGAAAGGGGGTAGGCAGAGGAGGAGAGAGAGCTCCATGATGTTCATGATGGGGGGCATGAGGAATAAGAATACGTTTGTGGTACCGAAAGGTTAGTAAATTCGACTTGAGGCTTTTTTTAGAAGACGAATGCTGATTGATGATGTGGTTGTATAGCGATGGTAATGGAGGATAGTGTGTATGAATGATTTTTTTTTTTTCATTCATCCATTTATTCGTTCATTTTCATTACCTCTTCGCCAAAGTTGAAGAAAAAGTTTTTTTTTTTTTAATCATAATGGGAAACACGGGCACTTGTTCTTTTCTTTTTGCTGGAGTTCTTTCGTTTTTGTTTCTTTTTTTGCGTGTTTCCTTGCGTTCTTTTTTTCCAGGTCCAGGGGCTCGAGGCTATTTTCTTGCCATTTACTTTTTTTTCCCTTTTCTTACTTTCTTCCTTTTGGTTTTCTCTCTGATCTATACCCACCCTCTTTCTATATCTCTTTTCTTTTCTTTTTTTTGCTCAAAAATACCTTGCTTTGGGGGTTGGGGGGATACGCGTATGTGGTAATATTTACATTACCTATGGTGTAGCTACGCATGAGGGCCAAGTATGGGCTTTCGAATAGTGGGGAACGGTTATCTGGTTAACTGGTTGGTATGTATGTTACTACTCTTTTTCTTCTCCCTTCCCATTCGCTTTTCTTTGAAAGGGGAGGGGGGGATGGATAACCCTTCTTCTTCACTGATCTTATCTTCTTGATGTGTTATTATTTTTTTCTCTTCTTCTTTCTTGTGGGGGTATATTCCATCACACACACCACACGTACATTGTTGTAAACAAGTCTTTTCTTCTTTTTTTTTGGAAGCTGGGCTGGTGGCTAGTCGGATAGATTGAGCTTTTAAGCTTTCCACCTTTTTTTTTCCTTTCTTTCTTTTCTAGCTTTTTTTTTGGTGGTGGTGGTGGAATATGAGAGGGAATGAAAAAGAGTATCTATATGGGCCGGATATTGTGCCACAGGCTTTTTTGATCGATGTTTTGGTGTTTTGGCGTTTTGTTGTGGTGTGTTTTGTTGAGGGCGGTGAAGGTTCTGTGGTGCGAGTGCTTGCCAAGAACGAGTGATGGCGTGTGAACAGTCCCGCCCCGCCCCGCCCTGTCCAACCCAACCCAGCCCAGCCCAGCAACGTAGTAATGTAGTATAGCATAGCCCAGAAATATGTATGAAGACTGGATACAATAACATCCTAAAAATGGCAGTACTGCACTGTAGTATATGCAGTTAGACCTTTCTCGTTGTTTGGTCTGGTGCGGCCGTCACCCCATGGTACATGCACATATGTATCTACGATCCCGAGAACAAGGCTTTGCCATTTGGACGAAAGGGTTGGCTGAAATACTTGTAAGTGTTAGTGCACAATACTCGTTGTGGGTTAGGTGTGGTTTCTTCAGTACTTCACCTATTAGTGTTAGTCACGCGCAAGCAATAAACTTTAGCGTGGCGCTCAAATATCACTTGCAGCCAACAACACGCATGGGCGAGTGGCCTAGCGGTTGACACTCGCCTTCCGGAACACCGAGTGGTTGTGCCTGACCTTTGAACGTCTATAGAAGGTCAATGGTTCAACCCAGGGGTGGGGGTAGTAGATATAACCATATCTACAGTACCTTTTGTTCTTTTTATAGACATCCTACCAAGTGAATTATTCCTGCTAATATCAACGCTTCTTTTTTCTTTCTTTTCTCCCGATTGATGAAGAAGAGAAGCACATCCGGCTGATATCTTACCAGCCAGCGAATCTTGGCACCTGCATCAACCTTGGCATTCAAATAGCACTTGGGACGAGAAACACACATGGGCGAGTGGCTTAACGGTTAACTCGCCCCCGGACGGACACCGAGAGGTTGTGCCTTGCCTTCGATTGCAGAAGGTCCAGGGTTCAATCCAGGGGTGGGAGTAGTAGATATGGCTGGACCATCAATGCTACTTTTTGTTCTTTTTGTTTTATGAAAGCAAAAAAATCTAACCGTAATCAACTCGACTTGATGCCCCGGGTTATTATAAAATATCATTCTCTCCCAAGATAAAATACTAGTGCCCGTTCGCTAAATCTTTTTTTTTCTTTTTTTTTTTTATTAAACTTCCCCCATTACTTCTCGCACCTGAGTTAGCATCGGGAGCATGCGGAATCGTCAACCGCCCGACTCCCCATCGCAATAAAGGAGGCCAGTCTACAGGTACATAGTTATAGGACCGGCGCATGTTGTCATTACGATATGTGGCTTAGTATCGAGAGTTCTCCTTCTCTCACCCCACCAACACAAGTCTTGTTTGCAAGTACATTTCATCTCCTTGCACACCTCCCTACACCTACACATGCCTATGCCTGTCTGGAGCCCCATTGTAATCCCCACGATTAAATACACCACCTGGTCCCCCCCCACCCCCACGACGATTGTTCGAAGTTGCGCGCACATGATTAAATGGCCGAGTGATATTTCGTGAAGGGTCATAATCACATGATTAACAAACATACATGATCAAGGTAATTACTATTCCGGGATTTCTCTATATACAGCCGGTATTCATACAGCCGCCCCCCAAACATGTCTGTGACGGAGGGGCTGGCTAAATCAGAACCACAAAGCTATATCCACCGGCAGCAAAGAGAGAATGACAAAAAACAGTCGGAAACGACCTACACTCACAAAAAAACTCACCCTACTGTCGTTATGACTCTAGAACTCCAAGCTACAAGCATGACAGCGGCAAAAAGGCTCTACACAAGCCCACGGTGCCCACATACCAGCCCATCTCAAAGTCTCTCCCCAGGTTCTGTGACCTGCCACTGACACCGCCATACTCCACGGCTTCGCCCTCGCCATTCAAAAATAGTAGAAACCACTCGTGGTCCCCGTATTTATCCTTGTCGCCAGTAAATACGGCGAGTGGGGACTTAAAATTCTACGTAGAACGGCAGTTAATAGTTAGCAGCAGGCACCATCACCACTCACAAAATCCCGCTGAAAAGCGAGTGCCTCAACAGGCCTAGTTCCAGACATCACAACAGTCAAAGACCGGGAGATAAACTCACAAGCACCGCCAAATCCCCCGCCATCCTCGCACCAACCACATACCGCTCAAACAGCCTATACCCCCTCTGCGCCAGCACCCTCTCATACTCCGACACCTTCCATGGCATCCTGCATACCACAACGACTCCCACGGCCTCTTCCTCATGATCCGCCGGTCTGAAATCTAGCCCCCTCACCCCCCTCTCAAGCTCCTCCACACCGCCGCCGCTCCTCCCCGCAGTCCCGCGCCGCTCGCACCCCAGCACGATAAACTCCTCTATATCCGCTGCCACCGCCGCCCACGACAATGTCGTCCTTGGACGCACAAGCCTGCGTGTGCTGCTGTTGCTGTTGCGTCGGATACCGCAGGCGGGGCCGGTCCGTGGGATGCGCCGCTGGGGCTTCGGCTTCGGCTTTGGCTTTAGCTTTGGTGGCTGCGCGTGGGTGGTGGGTGGATCTGGCATGGTTCGGCAGTGGTGAGTGAGTACTGGCTTGCGGATGAACTGATTGTGTTGTAGGTATATATATATCCAGGAGGGTCCATTCTGGAAAGTTCTTCATGGAGTATCACTCGCATGGTTGGTTGCTTGCTGCTAGTGTCTCGCGATATGCGGGCCCGGGGAATGTGGTGGAAAGTAGTCGGCTTCTGGAATAACAAAGGGGGGGTGTTTTCCGCTTTCTTCCCCTAACCTATTGATGTGATGTGACTCAACTAGGTGTGTAGAGAGAGTAAAGGGTCGAACAAAAGCTTCAGTTGTTTTGCGAAATAGGAAATGTCTACCTTTCTCGCGATCCCCGGGTTCTAGAACAACTATAGTTTCAGCGCCGGCATTCTAGAACTAACTTTCACTATGTCTGCTATCTAACTACAGCTTACAACCTGGTCAAGTCACGGGCATAGTTCCAGCCTTGCTGTGTGTGCACAGCACTAGATGCCAATTCCAAAAACTATGTACCTACCACCTTCTTCTTCCTCCTGAGCTGAGTCCATATAGAAATCTACTATACTATAAAAGAATATGGTTTAAGAAAAGTTTTGCTAAACCGGCCCAATCCTACATCCGGCCCTGAGAGGGAGACCAAGTTATGAGCGAGAAGCTAAGATAATCAAGCTGGCAATAAACCTTTGAAAAATAAAATTTTACGAAAAGTGATGCTGTGGCCATATACCCTTCGCGGGGGTATGGGCTCAATTCGCGGACTGTTGTGATCAACTGTCCGGTATATTGTGCTCCGAATTTCCCGGTATATAATATACACCCCACAGTAATACTCCCACCCCCGGAATTGAATCTATGACCTACTGATGGTTATGGGGACTTAACCCACTTGGTGTAGCAAGACGAGCTGTCTACGCTCGCCCACACAACTGTCAGTGGCCCGGAAGTAATACTTAACGGGGCGGGACAAGAGGACCTAGGGAAACCTAACCCTGCCATGACGATCTACCACGACGAAGTACAGCATGACCTCTTGTATATATATAGTACGTCCAGTACTTCCCAAATTGCATTATTTTTGCTTTGAGCATTTAGACAACATCTCTTCGCCCCTTCTAGAACCACCTCGTTTACGGAGGTATTCCCCTGCTGTGTCATAACCCAGAACACTTTCCAAACCACCATGCGTACGTGTCCGACTCTATTAGTTTCTGCTAGCCAGTCAAGACAAGACGACGTAACCGTATATGTGTGGCGTAATTCATGATTCTATGAATAGGTGGCGGGGGTGGTGATCTGACTGGCTGGTAGCTTGAATGAGGTTCTGATATAAACCCAAACTTAACCACACTTTTATCACAAGCTCTCTGGAGCTTTGTCGCTGTCTGATACATGTGCTGTACCGCGCGCGCGTGGAGAACCTATCGTTTCTAGAAGGTTTCATCGTTGTGCAAGAACTCGTACATTTGGTGTTTCAGAATCGGTGTATTGTATGTGTAAGCATTGTTCTATTATTGACTAAACTCTTCTTCCCCCAAAAAATGATTTTGGGATTAGTGCCCTGGGGAGGATTGGGTTATGGTTCTGGCGCCTACTGTCCATGGAAGGTGTAGGTTTCGGTTCATGTGGTTGGTTTTGGACGGCGAAGGGAGTGGGAAGTAGGCAGATAAATGGGCGACGACTTTCATTCCTTTAGTTGGTTGCGTATGTCATGGCTTGAAGTATGGGCTTTTCTGCTGAGGATTGTTTATATGAAGTAGATTGGTATATAAGATGATTTTATTGCGGGTTAACAAGATTCCATGTTAGGACCAAGGATCCCCACCCCTATTAATTCTTAGTGTTAACTGTATTTTTCTTATCTATCTGGACGCCTGGGTAAAACGCCTTTCTTCTGGCATGCTATGTACGTGCGACGAAGGACTAATATTGGGTAAACTGATTTGAAGAGCATTCAGTACTGAAAAGGGCAATTAAATTCCGGCTTCTGGCGGTGCGGTTTTGTATGATAACGCCGGGTTGACTGCAAATACTGGCAGAGAATTGTATACTGTATTCCAACAGTCTCCTATTGGATACGCTCGCAAGCTTTACCCAAATTTATGGTATTGTGTATTCATTCTAACTCCAATTCCACTGTTTTTTTTTTTTATATATAATTTTCCACGGGCAGAAGACGTTCTCATTGAAGGATACATGTAGTGACATGGAACTAAAGTATCTTCAAACCCCATACGTCACATGTTAGCTCAGTCGTAGCAGTAGTAAGGGAAGCTGAGCGACATATAGAGAACCAACCCTGCCCTAGAAATAGTCATCCTACCCATCGCTTTCCGCGTCAATCTCGGCCTCCAACCTTTGCTGCTTTTTCTTTTCCTCAAGCTCACGCCTTTTTTTCTCTCTTTCCTGATGCTTCTGCTTCCAGACCTCGGACTCACCGTTACTGTAGTTAAGATAGCCGTTCTGGTTCCTGCAGATGAAGCACGCCTTCTTCCTACACGCCTTTGGCACTGTAAACTTTGGAAAAACTCTCTCAGAGTCGATCTGGAGTCTTAGCCTCTCGGGGATGGTCTCGGTGGTGTCGACCCTCCACTTTTCAGTGGTCATGAAGAGAGTGTGCTCGTACCAATGCAAAGCATCAAGAGTGATCAGATCGAGAAGCTCAGGAACCCTTGCCTATGTAGATAGATAGATTAATGAATGCGTCAGTAATTAACAAGATAAACAGCTTACGAAATTTGGGGGGGGGGGGGGGGAGGAGGTGGAGGAGGAGGAGCTTGGTTTTGGCTTAACATACGAGATGGGCTTTGCCGTTGTCGAAGACCATATGGTAAAGGTGGGCACCAGCATCTGTGTGAAACTTTGTCATCCTAACTACAGCCATGAATGCTCTATTATGCAGTAGTGGCGGATCCTTCTTGGTGTTACGGGAGGAGGAAGTGATGGTGGTGGTTGCAGCCTGGGACCCCCGCTGGTTCCTGACTTGGACTCTCTTGGCTGCTCTGGCAGCCCGGGTTTCTCGAGTTTTGAACTCTTTCATGGAGGCTGGAGGGGAACCAGATTCAACTTCCATTAGCATTTTGTATGTCCGTACTAAAAGATCGTAGGTAGAAGGACTAGGGTGAGAACTTACAGTTCATTTTGAGTTTGGGGTGCAGGAGAGGTGAACCAAATGTATTTTTGATGATTATAGAGTTGAGCACTCTTTGGAAACTGGTTCGTTCAGTTTTTTCTCTCCCTTTTCTTCGATGAGTAGCGGAAGTATAACGATACCAGAGACGAGGATTTATATTAGAAGGAAAAATTAAGGTTTAAGCCGTCTCTATCAATCCTTAGCATTAGTCGCCAAAGAAGACTATTCACCTTTAAGCCACGTCAAGATTTCCTTCAAAAGCTACGATAGAATGTTGTTAGAGTTATTTCTATTGGGATTATGAATCCTCTTCGAAGCCTCACTTAAATTTTAATTGGAACTTAATCAAGAAAACTGGAGTGGATGTGTGATACGGAATAAAGAGGGAAAGTGTGAATCATGAAGTATCACTCGCCGACTAGTTGTATGTCACGTGGTTACACCGAGCTTGGGTTAGCTCCTGCCCCACTGCTGCTCGTAGCACATGAAAAATTTCGGCAGAGCCTCAACCACTAGTCGAGAAATTGTACCCTACATATTGGCGATACCACCATCAATCTACCATTCTTCACCTTATTCCCATCTGCAAGAAAGCAGCTATTCACAATGTCTCGCCCCGAAGATACCCTGTGAGTTCCATAACTCTTACATTTGTCACCTATGTTAAAAAAAAGGAAACCTCCTAACATATCGAGCACAGTCCCCCAGACCTATTCTACAATGACGTCGAATCGCACAAATACACAACCTCCTCCCGAATCCAGTCCATCCAGTCCTCCATGACCCAGCGTGCACTGCAGCTTCTCGCCCTAAACTCGCCCTCCATGATCCTCGATATCGGCTGTGGCTCCGGCCTCTCCGGCGAGCACCTCACAAGCTCCGGCCACATCTGGGTCGGGATGGACATCTCTGCGTCTATGCTCGCGATAGCACTCGATCGTGACACGGAGGGCGACCTCCTACTTGCAGACATGGGGCAGGGAGTCCCCTTCCGGCCGGGAACATTTGATGCAGCGATCTCGATCTCTGCGATCCAGTGGCTATGCAACGCCGACAGTTCGGACGTCTCTGCGAGTGGGAGGCTTTCAAGGTTTTTCGACGGCCTATACAGCTCGTTGAAAAGAGGGGGAAAGGCTGTGCTACAGTTTTACCCAAAGAACGAGACACAGAGAACCATGATTACTTCGGCAGCAATCAGATCTGGCTTTGGCGCTGGTCTGCTTGAAGATGATCCAGACACAAAGAACAAGAAGCTGTATCTTGTTTTGACAGTCGGCGCAGGACGTGATGAGGTTGTCGGCGATGCTGTCGCAGGACGTGACGTCACCGAAGTTGTAAAGGGCCTGGAGGGTGTTGATGTTATTGATGAGCGGAGAAAGGGAGGGAAGAGTGGGAAAGGCAAGGAATTAAAAGGTTCAAAATCGTGGATCCTTCGGAAAAAAGAACAGAATAGGAATAAGGGTAAATCAGTGAAGGCAGACTCTAAATATACCGGGAGGAAGAGGCGAGTTGCGTTCTAGAGGTACAGCACATTTATCACTATTTTTTTTCTCTTTCGTCCTTTCTTCCTTTTTCCATCATGAGATATGAGAATATTACGACAAATAAATTTGTGGTAGATGGAAACCAGTTTGTCAGTTTGAAGGCGTTTTGGCGTCGAATTGAAATGTATTTAGTCAAAAAGAAAAACAAACCCCTCGTTAGTTATATAAAAAGGAGAAGACCAAAGAAAAGATTGCAATGGTATTCAAACCCCCTCCGCGAACCTCTAATCTAATGTGTGCACAGCATTATAGTCCTCCCTTTCTACCGAGCCACTTAAATTTGTTCCATCTTGTGCAACACAGCATTGGTGAACTCGTGAGTCTTGCTGTCGCCGCCCATATCTCTGGTTCGAACCTTTCTGTAGAATAATTCAGCATAGTGTTCCCAAATTCCAGGATACAATAAGGATTTCTTACCCTTCAGCAACAACGCTGTAAACAGCCTCTGAGATTCTGGTAGCGTGGTCATCAAGTCCCAAATGTCTCAGCATCATAGTTGCCGACAGAATCAGCGCTGTTGGGTTTGCCTGATCCTGCCCTTTGATATCCAGACCAACGTGTCTGCAGCCAGGCTCAAAAACAGCATATTCCCTACCCATGTTGCATCCCGGAACAATACCGGGACCACCAACCAATGCGGCACCGATGTTGGAGAGAATGGATCCGTACAAGTTTGGCATGACAAGGACATCAAACTGTTGAGGTCTAGAGACAGCTTGCATGGAGGCGTTGTCGACAATCATATCATTGACCTCAAGCTGGGGGTAATCCTTGGCAACTTCCAGGAAGGTATTTCTGAAAAGACCGTCGGCAAGCTTCATGATGTTCGCCTTGTGAATAACAGTGACCTTCTTCCTTTGGTTCGCAGTTGCGAAGGAAAATGCAAACTTGCTAATACGCTCCGACTTCATCCTAGTGACGATTTTAAGAGACTCGACGACGCCAGGAACAGATTGATGCTCCAGGCCGGAGTATTCACCCTCAGTGTTCTCACGGATGATACACATGTCGACGTTGGAATGACGAGTAATGTATCCAGGCATGTTTTTAATCAAAACAACTGAGGCATAGATGTCAAGCTCCTGACGGAGGGCAACGTTGAAGGACTGATGGCCAGAGCGCTCGACGGGGGTGTACAGAATACCTAAATATTTTACAAAACAAGTTAGGAACATTTTTCCAAACCAAATTCGGTAATCAAAAACACAAGAAAGCACTCGTTCGAAGGGTATTCGTTTCAGGTTAGTTTTCCTCTCATTAAGACCACTAAGCGTTGTAAATTGGCGAAGTCATTCGAAGAGCTGGGTTATTAGTTCGAGCGCTATGGCTCTTATTCGTCATAAAAATGCCCTTGGAAACAGATCGCGGTACGAAGAATCTAAAGAAATGAGTTCTGTACCCTTAAGACCAACTTTGTTTCTCTTCAAAGAGGCAACCGACTGGCGGTAAAGATGCTCAGAGTGCATGTTTCCAGTGACAACACCAGTGACGTCTACTTGATCCCACTCGACTGGGACGTTCTCATGCTTGAAGATAGTCTTGACGGCGTCCGTTACTTCGGCACCGATACCATCACCTAGAAAATACTCCCTCAGCAAGGTGCCACAGCATGCAACCATGTAACATAAAGCGAGCAAAGACACGCACCAGGAATCAAGGTGACTGTGAATTTTCCGCCGTACTTGGTGGGCTTAACCAGGTCTGAGGCTACAGTAGCCATAGCTATATTCCAGATGGTGCATCAGCATCATGCAGGTCCCATTCTTCCGAGATGCCAGACATTGCCAGCTACAGGAGTAAAGAGCGTACATCTGGTGACGGGTGATACGGCATTCTTGGTGTGGACAGCGTTTGCTGCACGGAAGAGAGACTGGAGATAATTCGAAGTTGAGAAGGGGTCAGTTCCTGGATGTAAAAATTTACACGTATGTAGAGAGAGAAGAAAAGATACGTCAAGCCTGCATAAGAGCGCGCACGTGATAACGGCGGTCCGTGCAGGAAGAAAGGAATGAAGGGAAGGAAAGACACACTTTGGAGAGGGTTCGGGTGGACAACATGGCTGAGACTTGGAGAACGAGGCGGAGAGAGGAGAAGAGCAGAGACTAGCTGTCTAGTAAAGGATGATGGAGAAAGGAAGAGCACCAACGGAATAGGAAAATTAAGCAGGAAAAACCTGGAGAGGAAGAGGAGGGGCGACGAGCCTCCTCCACCTGCCCGCACTGCCGTTGCAGCGCGCTAAGTTTCGGATGCGCGCCTGGCTTGTTTCCCTATGGACTTGCTCGAGTAGGTATCTAGGTAATACAACATCTAATCTGATCGAGAAGGGGCCAATGACAAGGACTACGGTACCTATTTCGATTAATCCAAAGTGATCGAGTGAGAGGGGAAAGTGGGGGAACGATAGATAGACCAAGATAAACTCTTCGATAAAAAAGGATTTATTCAACACAAGCTGCCAGTTGTGTGTGTCTCAAAAGACTTTCCAGAAGAACGGCGGAACATACATGTACTTTACATGAATTACTATTTGCATCTACATGTATTATCGAAATTCCCAACTGGGCATTCATCTGGCTACATGTAGGTACTTTACCTAGGATTACATGTACCTACATTTACATGTATTCCTAGAAGCCTGAGTCCCTCTGGTAGAAACCATAAACTCTTAAGGAATCCAACAGCTACATGTATGATATATCCAAGTAGAGTATTCCATTTACTACATACGTATGCGTGGCCGTATGTACCTACTGTACTCTACAGCATGTGTTGCTGGCTCAGGCATTGCTGACGAGTTGACTCCCGCCCCCCGAAGTACCCCGTCGAACTACAGCAGCCACATCCTCATCCAAATCGTGGTTGCTTTTTTTTGCCGCTGGCCATGTGGTGGTTGGCCAGTTGTTCACGAAGCAGGAATCCGCAAATTTTCGTCCAATTTTTGCCTTCGTTGAGGCTCCGTTAGTCAGCTCGTTTGCCGTTTCGCGGTCATAATAGTTTTTTTTCTTGTCCTCGCCCACCCTTTTCTTCGCTTGCCTGAAGTAATCGTCCTCCCTTCCTCTTCCCTCTCCTCTCTCCTACACTCTCAACATCTCCCCTCCTCCCCCCATTCCTCTAAGGAAGAAAAAAAAAACACTACTACTTCTCTTTCCCCTTCCCTTTTCAGTTCATCTGTCAAAAGAGCAGGATAATTCACCAAGCGGTCCTTCTTTTTCATCTCGAGTTCTGTTTCTCTTTTTGTTCCATCGTTCCTTCTTTTAAGACGTTACGAATCATCTATTTGGACGGAAGGACAGATAAAAGATCCATCTTTTTCTTTCCCCGACATACACAGGAGTCTGGAGCCGTCTTTTCTCCTGATCTTTGCTACCATCTCAGAACAAACACGGAAACACGATAAAACCCAAGTTTTACATCAAATACGTGCCAAATCATTACTCCCGTAATTATGGCAGCTGATCTTAATCAACGCATGCAAGGTTTAGGCATGAACGAATCTGTTCACGCTGAAGCCGCACCTTCTTCGGGGGCCTCTAACCATTCCTCTGGAAGTGGCGAACAGAAGAGGGCCGCCTATATTCCTCCACACATGAGGAACGCTCATAGAGCACCAGCTGCTGCTCCCCCTTCTGGGCCTCCTGCAGTGCAAAACGGCGCTGCTAATGGTGTCCAGGGATCAAGATGGAGTGCTGAGTATGTTTTTACATTTCTTATTCGATATTTTTTGTTTGCCACTCTTGGGCATTGTATTTTGTCTCATCGAGATTTCTCTTGTAATGAGACAAACATACAGAATTACAGTGTTGTAATTTGCCCTCTTAAAAAAACGGGTTTCTTGCTCTCGATTCGTTAATCATTGTGATGTTATCCGTTATTATTCAATCTCGAATTTGCTTTGCCAAAAATATAGTACGAAATTATATATGTGGATTATGCTGATTACTCTAATAGTTCCCCTGCTGCTCGAGCTCCTCAAGCTAATGGCTGGGCCAACGCACCCACTTTCACTCCCAGTGCCGCCGCTTCTACTGGTGGTAGCGGATGGGATGTTCCCCCGCCTCGTCCTCAACGTTCTTTCGACCCGAATGGATATGGTGCCCCGACCGGAAGGAGCGGTGGCTCCGGAGACGGGCGCTGGGTCGATGGAAAACACATTCCTGGCCCTGCAAACCAACGTTTAGAACGGGAACTGTTCGGTGTACCCAACGACCCGACCAAACAGAATATTGGGATCAATTTCGAAAAGTACGATGACATTCCTGTAGAAGCATCTGGTCACGATGTTCCCGAGCCGGTTACTACATTTACAAGTCCCCCGCTAGATACCCACCTCTTAGGCAATATTGATTTGGCGCACTACAAGAACCCTACTCCTGTGCAGAAGTATTCAATTCCTATTGTCATGGGTGGTAGAGATTTAATGGCTTGTGCTCAAACTGGTAAGTTCCTCATGCTATATCTGATAGTACTGGAGAGCTTATGTGCTGACTGTTCATAGGTTCTGGAAAGACTGGTGGTTTCTTGTTCCCTATCCTTTCGCAATCCTTTTTGCAAGGTCCGTCGGCTCCCCCGGCCAACGCCGCTGCCTACGGTGGTGGTTATGGACGCCAGCGTAAAGCCTACCCCACAGCGCTTATCTTAGCGCCGACCCGCGAGCTTGTCTCTCAAATCTACGAAGAATCCCGCAAGTTTGCCTACCGTTCATGGGTTAGACCCTGTGTCGTCTATGGTGGTGCCGACATCGTCTCCCAATTACGATTGATTGAGCGCGGCTGTGATCTCCTTGTCGCAACCCCTGGCCGTCTTGTTGACTTGATTGAACGTGGACGTATCTCGCTCGCCAATATTAAATATCTCGTGCTTGACGAGGCTGATCGTATGTTGGATATGGGTTTCGAACCCCAAATTCGTCGTATCGTTGAGGGCGAGGACATGCCTAAGACAGATGCTCGCCAAACTCTCATGTTTTCTGCCACTTTCCCAAGGGATATCCAGATGCTTGCCAGAGATTTCTTGAAGGATTACATCTTCCTTTCGGTCGGTCGTGTCGGTTCAACCTCCGAAAATATCACCCAAAAGGTTGAGTATGTTGAAGACCAGGACAAGCGTTCTGTTCTTTTGGACATTCTTCACACCCACAGCGGTGGCCTCACCCTTATTTTTGTAGAGACTAAGCGTATGGCCGATTCTTTGAGCGATTTCCTACTTAACCAGAATTTCCCGGCAACTTCCATTCACGGAGACCGCACTCAACGCGAACGTGAGCGTGCTCTGGAGATGTTCCGAACTGGTCGCTGCCCAGTACTGGTTGCCACTGCCGTTGCCGCCAGAGGTCTCGATATTCCCAATGTCACCCACGTTGTTAACTATGATCTCCCCACCGATATCGACGATTATGTCCACCGCATTGGTCGTACTGGTCGTGCCGGTAACACCGGTATTTCCACCGCGTTCTTCAACCGTGGCAACCGTGGTGTTGTAAGGGACCTTATCGAGCTCCTAAAGGAGGCCAACCAAGAGGTCCCTTCATTTTTAGAGACCATCGCTCGAGAAAGCGGATTCAGTGGTGGTGGACGTGGCGGCGGTGGAAGGTCTTCCGGTGGTGGCAGGGGAAGGGGTGGTGGTGCTACCCGCGATTTCAGGAAATACGGCGGTGGTGGTTCTGGTGGAGGTTTTGGTGGTTCTGGTGGCCCTCCTAGCGGAGGGTACGGAGGCGGTTTGTTACCCTTTCCATCGGTCGAGGTACATTAGCAATACTAACTCGATTTTCATAGGATACTCTAATGGCGGAGGTGCTAGTGGTGGTGGCGGTGGTGGTTACAGTTCCGGCGGATACGGCGGTGGCGGCGGTGGAGGAGGATACGGAAACCCCAGCGGAGGGAACTCTTGGTGGTAAGCATCTCATCACGGCGTTGCGTATGTTTGGGCCTTTTTTTTCTTCCTAGATCGCGAAAAAAAAAAAGTGAGGTTTGTTCATCTTCTTGCATAAAAAGGAAGGGAGAAACGGAAAGGGTTAAAAACATGGCGCAATATTTCTCGAATTTCATAAAAGGTTTTGCTTTTTTTTCTTTTTTTCTATTTTATCATTAGTTCTCTCATCTTTTACATGGCTGTCTTTGTTTGATCGATTTCCGGGCCATGTGTATTTTTCTTGAATTTCTTGTTTCTTCAGGCCTCCTTGTATCGGCAGGGCATTTACATTACGTGGGTTAGCATGGGGCTTGTTATGCACTACACAAACGGTATAGATGGTCTGTCAACTGGGAGTTTCATTTACACGATTTCATTTTTATTCTCTTCCTAGTTGTGGGGTTTATCTTTATCTACTAGTAATGTGTTCGTGTGTGTGTTCTGCTGAGATTCAAAAAAGCGTTGGCAGTTTTAGGCATGGGGAAATGAGAGGCGCTGACTGTTTTTTGAACGAGAAAAATGGGTGGGAGAGTTGATTTGTTTTTGTCTTGATTTATCATGTTTTCTGTTTTTCTGTTGTTTTTTGCTTTGCTTTTGCTTTTAAATGGGGTTCTCTATGCTGGACCAAGATGCATGGGGCTACGATGTTAAGAGACACGACACATACAAGAGAAGGGAAGGAAAGGTTGTATCAATATCTACCCGGCGTTTTGTTTTCATGATTTCTTTCATGTACGATGATGGTTTTTTTTCCCCCTCTCTATTTCCATTTTACCGGTCTGGGTCTTGGGCACGCTTTTATAACTCGGGGACCGGTGGGCTGGTTTCTATTTTCACGAGAGGAAAGGGAAATTCTGGGCAGATTTTCTAAATTTTTTTTTTTTTTTTTATCCGTACGTGTGTGTCTCGCAGGGGAGCAGTTAGAAGATATGTTGGGCTGGCATGGCTATAGAGAAGTACCTATTTTATCTAATAATTTGCAATCCGAATATTGAGATCAGATTCGAATCACTTTATCGTGTTGCGTGCAAGAGTTTTTGCGAGTAAAGGTACTCTAGTAATTAATTGTGCGCGCAGTTAATTTGATCGTGGGTTGCCTGAAACTGTAGAAAATTCCGAACCAGGTTCTCGGAAATCGACGATCCTCCCAATACGGGCAACCTGAACACAATACCTATTGCGCCCGGCTGGAAAAACAATTATGCGGTGTTCTCATCAGCGCTATCCCCGATGGCTGGTGACAAGGTATGAAGCTTAGTTATTATGTGCCTAGCCAGCCAGTCAGCTAGCAAACTTGAGGGCTTTATAAACGGTTGCGATTCTGATATTTTGGTTGTAGGGGATATTTCGTGGCTTCTGATTGCCTGATTTGCAGTTGGGAAGTTCGATTGTTGTGCTAGCTGCAGATGCGGGAGATCATGTACTATCACTCGCGCGTCAACAGATTCCATGGAGTTGAATAGTGGTTGCGAGTCATTGGTTTGTCCCGACGCCCTCTTTTTCCTAGATAGCCACGAGTGCATGGAATCGAAAAAAGGGCTGACTACATATGAAGTCTAAGTCGACCGTCGGGTATACAATAGCCAACGGCCCAAAGCGGCACATGTCCATCCTGCACAATCACCCGAGGGATGCGTCGTATAAGTGAGGGAGGACGGACAGGAGGACACATACATGCAATCTCCTTACTTTCCCCACTACACAAGGTAAAAAATAATCTCGTTTATCCACTGTATCAGCCAGTACCAATCCCCGATTCTGTTTCTGGAATATCATATTTACCATCCTATCTAGCGGGGGCCCGCTACATTACTGCGTATCCAACGCCTTTTTGGATGGCTGAGGCCTTAAATTTTTCCACTAAGCTCATATGTTTGAAATGTTAAGAGAATAACTCGTTGAAAAAGGGATGGAGTTATGTAGTGGTTCATGATATATCACTCGTAGAAGGTTCGAGGGTGAAGAGTGGGTGCACTCATAAAAAGAACTTCTGTGTAACAATACCGGGGTGATACTAGCGGGGAAACAAGTTTTAACAACGGTCTAACGAACAATATTATGAGAAAGGAGCCTAAGAATAGGATAGGTATCTTATACCTAAAGGTGTTTTCTTGGTAGTCGCTGTGGAATACTGACTAAAATCCTTCTTTTAAAAAGATTGTATGCAGAGGCTATATAAATAAACTCTCCGCGATTTTGATTTTCAATTGCAGTCAAACTTGCAGTGCCGGGGCGCCGAAGTAGTGCTGGCTTCGATGGCGGCGTAGATATCTCCCCAAGCACTTGGGGTATCATACAGTGTTTGCTGAATAGCTTTATCATTACTCAATGAGCTTTAAATTTAGTGACTTAGACAATAAATATGATCTTGAAATACATATCGACATTGAAGCACTGACCTAGTACCTGTGTCGATACTTGACCCCGTATCGTGTTTGATGTATGTACGGACAAAAGCGTCATTTGTGATGATGACAATATAACATTGCAGCATCTGTTGAGAGTTCTCTCAATTCATGAATTGGTATTCTCCATATCAATTATCAGTATAGTGTTCTTGTCGTTGAAATACCCTTCGGGCCGAAGGATATATGTATGTGGATGGACTTGGCGCGAGACCTTCATTTCTCAGCCAACCGTTTTTAAAACATGTATCACCCGTCGAGGAAAGCGGCAGAAAAAGGCTTGCCTAGACCCAGGCCCGTTCACTGCTAGGGCAGGGACTTGGAATGTTGAGTCGATTAATCTTTTGGCGAAGGAACATCAGCGGAATGGAACGAGTTTTCGAGAGGACGAATGGTTAGAGCTCATGCTACAAACTGATAGCACTGGGTTTAATTAATCGCTCAACCAGATGTACTCGAGGAACCCATAACCATGCCCAAAACCTTGAACACCATCTCGAGAACAAAGAAAATTATCTAGTATTGGTTTCTAAGATTGTTGAATATTAAAAACCTGCCATAATTCCTCTTCTCAACGCCAGCCGAATGATGAGATGATGTTCCAGTCCTAGTGTACAGCTCTATGAGCTGCCCCTCTAGCATAGCGCCTAGACTATTGTTTTGGTACATAGTGATCGGTGGGGAATGGTCGACCAGGGGCAGAAGTTTTGGAAGTAGCTGCGATGAGCAGTGCGATGAGCAACAGGCTACTCGTAGGGGGTGGGTACGAGACTATATATACATGTATGTAATGATAGACGTACATCTAGGCTAAGACCGCCAACTTTGGAATGCCATGGTCGTTGTATTCCGTGGCGTTACTTAAGCTTTATGCAACAAGTGCCGTGTTAACCTTAAGCTGAGCTCATGTCATGATCCTGTCTGCATTCTAGATTTCCTCCAGATCCGGCAAAATGTCAACTGATGAACCTGGTATAGGGATATGTACAATAGATAACACATAAGTACATATGAGGACTATTGCGACGCCACAGGAGGCTGGCTGTACTAACGACGGATGAATTTCATGACGTTTCCGAACACGACTGCTATTGTATACCATATAAAAAAGCGCCAAATCCACCTTTTTGTATGTCATGTATTTACATGTATGCATGTGCGAGTACGTGTCAGCATCAAGCAAGTATGAACCGTCAATCATGCAGCTTCTCAAAGTTTTACTCGGCACTCACATGTTATGGGAACTCTGTCTCCTGCACATATATACCAACTGTAGCTGGCTCCGTATGCTATCACAACAAATCCGAGGGTGAAAGTGATGTGGTGAGCAAAGATTCATAATTTAGATCGACCTCAACAGCCATTCCTCACATAATCCACATGCTCATTCCATTACTTACGTAATTACTAGGCTGGGTTATCTGTCATTATAACTACATGTACATGTATTAGTTGTTTTCTCTTGGGCCGTGGAGTTTCCTTTTAAAAAAAAAGCCGTTCAAACCCAGTATTTGGTGGTAGATACAGAATCATAGAAACAGAAAAAAAAATGTCCAAAAAGTAGTTTCGCAATTGATTAGCCCCAGTGATCACGACAGCTTAAACTTTATCTCTTCCGTGACGAGCTGGCCAGCTGGATATATATATAGCTTCGTCTCCTGTCAAAGAACTTCAACGTTCTACATTTAACGCCTTCAAATCCTTCCATGTTCCGGAAAAGAAACAAGAAGAGCCTATATAAAAGATGGTATACTTTGCAAGAAACTACATGTGCTACCATGGGGTCTTACCAGCTCCCTGTATCTAGATATATAAGACAAGGGAAATTATAACTACATGTATGTACATATAGCTACATGTACGTACACATACCCCCCCCACAGAAACGAAACGGGGTAATTTGTCTAGGAGGAACAAGACCATGGTAGAAATGATCAACTGGCGCTTCAAACCGTATACATGTACTTATAGTATATAGTTTCAATAGAAACAACGTTATACTCCTGTATGATTAGGATACAAGTACCGTCGTAGCTACATCGATCCAGGAACAGCTAGAAACAATGGATGAGTAATGAGTAAGGTAAAATCACTCAGGGTAACAACATATACCCGGTAGGAAGGGAACTAAAAGCAGCGTGGGTGATCTGTTCCTGGTCAAATTATGCGGCTCTTTAAAGTATGAAGTGCGGCGGTGCATGGACAAGCAACGGGTCAATTCACACAAAAAAAAACATCAGTAAACAGAACGAACGGTTCAGTGCCATCTCGTGACAAAGAAAGCGTCTCCAATCAGCGCGTGTGCACAATGGAGGGAACGAATTTTTTTCCTAACCAGGGAATCATTCTTTCGAAGCGAAATCCGGCTGAAGGGAGGGGTGGGAATGTGTTGGCAAGATCTTGATGGGTGTAACTTTACGTTTTACTACATACATTCTGTGGTAGCCTTGGAAAAAGTGCGACGAGAAACATCGCGGCCTATCGAGTGGTTTGTTTGGATATTCACGGGGCGTATCTATAACATTTTCCAGTGGGCCATGGAAATAAATGGTCAGACAAGGTAGGCAATTCACGCAAGGCTTTTACTATCAGACTCAAAGAGAGGTTGAGGGTTCTTTGTGATCTTGAGTAGGATGATAGGAGTAATACCTAGGCATCGTATGGGTGTTTCTTCTTCGGTGGTGGTGATGCTCGTTCAAGCTCTCGTGATGATTTAAATTACATATTATTCTTTTCGTGCATCCTCTCCATAGACTCCTAGCTGAGACGCCAACAGCGAAACGCCCATTCCTTTCCTTTAGGCCACGGACACAACAGAATAAGACCCTTCCGCTCAAACTTCCGATCACCCCCTCAACATCTAGATAACTGACGACAGACAGCCCTCACCCTCTCGCAGGATTCATATCACATCCCCAGTACCCCCTCCCCTTCCCCCCTCCTCCCCTTTCCCCTAAATCACCTATCTACCCATCTCTGATCAGGTCTGCTTCCCCCAAGCGATGCCAACACAGCTCCGGAATCAACATATGTACAGCAAGCTTTGCCCTCTCTAGATCAGATTAATTTTCTCCGTTTCCCCTTAAGCTCATAAAATACCGTGAATAATCAATCAATCGCACTAAAGAACAAGCTTGGTTCTAAACATCCGCTCGTTCCTTTCGGCTACATAAATATACGCCTTCTATCGCGTCATTTTCCTCCCTGATAAATCCTCGTTTTCCGAAAATCAAAATCCCACCCCATCGCGCCCTTTCTCGAGAAAAATTATCCACGACAATGACGGAAGTGCCGTCCGAGGTATCGTCGCCCGTCGCATCGGCAACGGGAGGTCTTGCTGCTGGAGATTTGAGCATTATTCCCCACAGGTCAGCCTCGAACAAACTCCCACCACAAAGCTCCATCCACTCGAGCGACAACAAAGACCGTGGAGGTCACGTCCAAGCAGATACTCGCCCTTCTTCGGTTGATGCTGATGAACGTCGCAGCAGCAACGGGCGTGAAGCTTCTCGTGGAGCCGGTGTAAATATTTCGCAGTCTTCAAGCGTCTCCGGGGGAGCCGGGGGTGGCGGCAGTGGAGTTGGAGGAGTTGGGGGGGCAGGAGGTGGTGAAAGAGGTGGGAGCGGCAATCATACCGGCGGACTCGGGCGGAAACAGCAGACAAGCTTCTTCTCGGGGAGCAAGATTAAACACTTGAAGAAGCCCGACGGTGTACCGCTTTGGAGAAAAGATATCCAATTTGAGTTCTTGGAGGCCATATTTACAGACTCGAAGCAGGTCTTTACGAACAGCTATGACGGAAGGAAAGAATGCACTTTTGCGGATGTGTACATTGATGCCATGGCCCGGAGCAGCAAAACTAGTAAGATCTTAAGGGATAAGCTCATGAGTGAAAGGGCCAATGCGTTGAACATGGCCATGGTTTGTTTGTTGGTGAATGTCGGAAGGATGAATACAACGTTGAATTGTGAGTTATTATCCCGATGTCCGGCCGAGAGATCATTGGCATGATAGTTGTTACCATGGACTCATGCCTCAGTGAATAGAGAGTATACAGCTAATATGTTCCTTTGCTGCAGTTTTCCCCGAAATGAAGGCTCAACTGCGAACTTACCATGCCATCCCCTCACTACAGTCATATACTGACGCGCACGCATACAAACAACTTCAAGATGCTCCGCGGTTGAAATCAATTCTTAAGGGCGCATGCGAGGATCGTAAAGAACCATTAACTCTTGAGCAACTAGAAGCAATGAAAGTTCCCCGAACAAACCCAATAAATCTAGTCTTTCTTCTTTCAACATATGCACCAAAGGTTTCGGAGCTGCATTTTCCTGAGTCTAGGGACTTTTACGATCTTATTATGAGGAGTACCCTTTCAAGTAAGAGTAGGGCAAGAGCTTTCCTATGGCTGATGTGGTGGTATCTTGAGGGGGATTTTACGATAAAATCAGCCGAAGACAATCCCTATGGGAAAGGCCAAGAGGCAAAGGATGGCGGGATACCTTGCAGGGTCCCACAGTTTGAACATTTAACTGAAGATCAGGCCGCTATGGAGAACGTCGATGCGGCCCAGGAAATAGAGTTTGGAGAGCGAATGCAAAAAGAGCGAAAGAGTATGTGATTCCTGCCCATGCCTTTTCCATGTTGGAGGTTCCTATACGAGCCGGAAACGTGAATGAACGAAAATATGGGTGGACTTGTGCGTAGGACTGACACACGAGATAGAGTTGATTGAGGATATTGGGAATGCGCCTGCACCATCCGCTGGAAAGAAAGGGAAAAAACGTAAGTAACCGCCTCTTACACAGGCGTTTGCCTTAGTCAGCTCTCTTTATATAAGGGAACTCTCCCATACAGGTTCTAATTGAAGTTCTTTTATAGATATCGCTCCTTCCCCAGAAGACGATACTCAATCACCAGCAGGTTCGCCCCCCTCTAATATGGTTACCCCCGGTGAAAGAAAGGGACAACGTATATTTTCCCACTTTTCACGCAGCAACTCCCACCTCGTTGTCCATTCTTCGCTTGCCTACACAAAAACTAACATAATTTCCAAAGGCTCCATTCGAAATTCTACCCGCACCAACAAAAGCCGCCACTATTCACAGAATGAGCAGTATGAGTACGATTCTGATAATAATCACGATCAAACACGTTCTGTCTCTCCTCAGAACTTGATGACACCTTCTGGCAATGGTAAAAACCTCAGCAGCCGCCGTATTTCAACAGTTACAAAAATCGCCCACATTGTTAATGAGGGACCTGACACACCTACTTCAGAACCACCTCCGAAAAACAAAGGTGGTCGGCCAAAAGGATCTGGAAAACGGAACGCTGACGGCGAAATTAAAGGAACTCCCAGGATCATTCTACGGACCGGCGGTAAACAACTGTCCTCTTCGGATACCCCTGGTCACCTCATGGCCGCGAGATCGATTCAACCGTCAATGTCAGGGGACAAAGGAAGCCCGATGATGGGCTCAGAGAGAGGCCCCAAGCAAAGGCCGCTGACAAGTCACCAAATCGCTGTCCAACAAAATAGAAAGGATAGGGCCGAATACATGATTAATCGCAAACTCAGAAGTCTCGATAGGAAGTCTATGAAGATAAGGTTGAAGGAGGGCGCTATGGTTAGGTGCTGGAGGAGGATTAAGAATCTCCCGGACCCGTTTGACAAGAGTGACGATGAGAGGGATGTCCGGATTGTACGTATCCACGAGGCACCGGCAGTTGTTTCGGGAAAAGAGTCGGATGTTATGGCTGAGGATGGTAATCCATTCGGAAACACAGCTAGCATCCCTGGAACACTTGGGGAAGATGGTGTTTTAATTGAGCCGACCCCAAAGAAAATTAAGCTTGAGCACAACACTCCTCATGATTCTCACCATAGACGCTCTACCAATGGAACCGTTCTTCCTTCTGTAGCTGGATTAATCCCTGTCGAAGAAGAGGAAGATGATTATGGGGAAGAAGCCAGTTCTCTTGCTGCTGCTGTCCGTAGGACGACTAGACGATTGGATAGATGGGAACAGTCGGATAGGCAGCGTGCTGCGCAAGGATTGGCGCCAGCTACTTTCTCCCATCCTACTGGAACCGATGGGCGTCATTCACAGATCACTTCGAAGTTACTAGCAGTCGTCAACCAAGGCGGGAGTGGTGATGAAAGCGCTCCTGGAGGAGGTGGGGGGAGTGCAATCTATGACGAGACACGGGAGCCTAGTTTCGCAGGGGACGAAGATGAGGAGATGATAGATGATGCGGACGCGGACGAAGATGAGGACATGGATGTCGAATGAACAGTGGGAGCCTATGGTATTTAATCTGAGAGGTTTACTCTTTTGGTTTGTTAACTTTCTTTTGGGTTACGCAAGTTGGCTTTTAGACTTGGTTTGATCTCAGTATCACTGTTTTTTTTTCTTACCTATTTCTCCTCTCCTGTGTATTTACTCACCTTCAATTCCCAGTTTTCTTTAGTCATACTATCATCTTGTTTTTCCGTTTGGCCAAGTAGGAGTGTCGTTTCCCTCCCTTCTCCCCCCTTACATACAAAAAGCAAATCCTCTTTGCCAGTAATTAATTCTCTTTTTCTTTCTTTCATTGGGGAAAGGGCCTCATTATCAGATTATGCAGCGGCACATCTTTTTCGTTTCTTCATTTTGTTTCAATAGGGGGGTATTAAATCTAGTGCGTTGGGCGGGGAAGATGTTTTTTTTTTTAGGGATTTGGGTGGGATATGCGAGCTGCGCTTGCTTTTAAGGGATGGGTGTTTACTAGTAGTTTGCTACTTACCGTAAAAGGTTCTGCTCCAGCTGTTTGGTTTAGATTGGCAGGTTTTTTCTCATATCATTATTGCTGGGAATTCAAAATGGTTGCTTTATTCTTTTCTTGTCAAGATCACTTGGACATCTGTGCAATTGTCAAAACGGATGAGCTTAGGTAAACGTTGGTGTAGTATGTATAGTATAGATAATTTTGTTATACCTACATGTATCTTTTGACAGACTTACAGCTTGGTTTGGTACTCGCACGGCTATGCCTGCCTTTGTTCTTCCTTTGTTGATAGGCCATGCATGGGATTACATAAGTTGTTAGTGAAAGAACGAAAACCTAACCCTACACCTCCGATTTTTTAAGCCCTGACAGCGGGTAATTAGATCTTAGCTCCCGGTCCCACCCACTTATTCAGGGGGTTAGGGTTGTATGTTGAGATCTGCAAATAATACATTTTTAGTATCTTTGGAATCATTCTCTGTGGTTATAGATTATGCTATGTCACAATAAATCCTAAAAAACTATTTTTTCCTTCTGTTTTGCGATACTACATGTAGTGAATGATAATTCCGATTACTGTATAAGTACGCTCTATTAAATAATGAGGGGTTTAAATAGCGCGTACAGGTATCCAAGTAGGTGCGGGTGGTTAATTACATGTACATAGTTTCGTCTGTATAAACGGAGATCTGGACCCCCTGGCACATGTAACAGGGGATCCTGATTAAAATTTCGGTCACGGAAATGATTGGCGACGAGTGATATCTTATGAACCATCTCGACCTGACAAGTTTAAATATAGAATTTATATAGTGGCAACTAATGTTCGGGTTCGTCTATGGTTTGGTAGTTTAGAACGATATAGGGTATCGAATAAGTCTTTCCAGTAGAATGCGTATGCAGATTATACAGAGCATTAGGCTTGAAACACACGCCTTGCGTGGATCGATGAGTGTATGTACAACGTGATTTATAGGCCATCCTAGACACAGGTTCGTGTAACCAGCACGGAAGAATCGAGGCATCAATTCGGCACTTATCGATCTACTCACGAGGCCGAGTTCCAACTAACTCACGTGACGCCGATTATTAGCTTTTTTGCTCTGCTCACAGGTCATGTGATTTAGTTGGAACTCGGCCTCGTGAGTAGAAAACGGGGCGCTTGAGAACCTCTATGAATAAACATAAATATACAGTAGATACATGTACTTGAGCATGATAGGTTATATCTGGCATCTTCGACAAGTCAGGGGGTAACATAAATCATTTACTCTCTTCAGTGCATATATCACCTGTATACGACGTACCTAGCCAGCCTCAAATCCATCCCAGGGCGCGGGTGGAGTCTGGAGTCTGGAGAGTGGCATAGAACACCTTCAATTGATCAAGTGATATATATGGCATGGCAGAACCGTCTCAGTTTAGAAAACAATCATCCTCACTGTATGCATCAATTGCCACAGCTGTAAGGCTGCATGCAATTAATGAATTAAAAAAAAAAAAAAAAAAAAAAGCTGTATGCATCATATATCTTTGCACAGTGTGGAAATTATCCTCATAACGCGTGGATCAGGCCTGTTCTGGGAATCTGGTCTCACGCAGCTCCCGGGATGTTGGAAAGCAGCCCGGATCATGGTAAAAAGAGAAGATCACAGTCTTAACTGAAATCACCGGTTCAGCATTTTAGATAGTTTGGTTTCTGCTATCACATGTTATAACTTGCCGTGTTATAACTTCCCCTTGTACGCCATTTGAATAAAGAAAGCATGGGTTTCTATTACGTACAAACGCCAAAGTTGGTTTCTCAGTGTTCAACTTTGATATCACCTGCACATGCAAGAAGGAGTCGTAGCTCACTCGTGTTATTCATTTGGGGAGCTACTACGCTTATAACGCTCGCTCATGCTACGGCGCGGAATTTCCCAAAATTCCTATCAATTCATGAGGGGGCATAGCTTCCGGGCCCCGCAATTAGCCTGGTGTCATGTTGAATCCATTAATTCCGTTATTTCGCCCTCATCGACAACAATATCGCCATTTCTTTGCGAGACCAATTGAGTCACCTTCATCTGGTCTCCAGCGTGGAATGTGGCGTTTGTTTTTTCGAGCTGAAAGACATTAACAAGACCTTCTGCTGAGAAGGTATAGACCGCCATGTTAGGACCACTATCAACTGCTAGATCTATGATCCTTCGAACTGTTCCAATGTAGCAGCCATTAACCGTAACAGGTTTCCAGGGTTCCTCGGAACTTTCGGACAAAGTTCTTGAGTCCTCACTTTCAGGGTATGGAGTGGTATCTGCATTCATACCTTTGTATCTCTGACCATTGTCTCTCATATAGCCAGCAAAAATATCTGACGGAATAGAGAATAGTACGATGTGATCGCCATATGCAGCAACAACCCTTACCCCGAATCTCATGTCTGCTCCAGAAGCATAGACGCTTGGCCTGAAAAATCTACCTATACCTTGATTCTCAGCTTGCCATGCGTTTGCGAGCTCCCCGTGTCTTTTACACCGCATTTCATCTCTCTTACTCAGGTCTGGTGGAGGGATAAACCATATCTTCCTCAATAATTTCGTCGGCCCACTAAGACCCATTCAGAACATATCAGTATGGAGTTCTGTCGTGTGCTTGGGGGCGGTGGCGTGGGGTTATAATATAAGAGCTGGTGGACAGACCCTAACGGCGCATCACTGCCGAGACAAAGCCTACCAGTCTCTGGATCCATGAAAAGTATATGATACCCATCGCTCAATGGCACTGCCTGAAAATGGTCGCTCTGACCTGCTTTTGGCTCCCAAGTTCCCCATGATGCAAGGGATCCTCGAGTTACCCCAAATCGCTTGGTGAGAGGACTTGCCTCTCTGGGATGAACAGCACTAGAGATGAGTCGTAGCTTTTTTGCCGAATCAATCCCTCTACGCGGAGGAAGGAAATAAAGGAAGTCTGATGGTGCAGTGAGTGGAAACCAACGGTTCAAATCCTGTCCAGTCAAGGCGTCCACCCCTACAATCAACGGACTTTTAGCACGATCACGTTCTTGAAAGCTGTTTACTAATAAATCGAAACATACAGTGCAGTTCAATTCCACCATGGCAGCCAAAAGCTACGCATCGCCTCTGAGGGCATATGGCGACACTTCTGGGGACGTCTTCGTCACTGCATAGGTTCCTGTAAGTACTCTTGGCTTCTTGTTCAACAACATCGTGAACAAGTCCCATGCGGCCATCCTAAAGAAAGCGTGCATTTTCAGTCGTCAGGTGCAAGGATTTACAGGGGATTGTGACATAAATCTTTCACATACCAATAGAATTGCAATGGCAAATCTTCTACTGCTGGTATCCATACTTACAGCCAAAACCCTTCTCGGACATATTATCGATACCACAAACTCGATCCGAGCCCCACTCGTCGCCCGAAGTCTATAAACATATACAACACACCCTTCACTCAAAAGAGCGTAGGTTCCACATATTGAGACTGTGAAATTGACAGTCGTGGTGGCTGCGAGCTCAGACATGTCTATAATAGTAGTGTTAACCAAACCTGATAAGCTCGATCCGCCAGCACCCAGTGAAAACTCCCTTGAGAGCCTTGTTGATAGGTAGTAAGGATTGTCAGAATTTTGGATAGTGGGGTCAGTAATGTAGAATCCTAGTGCTTTGAGTTGAGCTTTTAATAGTGATTTTTCAAGGGAAGACAGGTACCAGGCCCGGCAGGTATATCTGGCAGCATTGAACGCTGAGGGGGGGCTGAATCCAAGAATAAGTTGAATGAGTTCAATAGGAAGTCTATAAAATGGAGGAAATCGAAGCGGGTGACTCTGCACGCATGCCTCGAACCATGATCTAGCAACAAGTCGGGCACTAAGTAAGGATCCATGGTCCAGGTATGATATTATCTTGGCAAGAATAGGCCGAAGGACCTCTGGTGCGACTGAACTATCAATATTAGAAGTGGTGCAGATAGATTTTATAGCATGGTATAGGTACCACGTCCGAGATTGGATAGAGATCCATATCCATGAGAAACACCAGTATTCTTTCTATCCCCTGGATTACTTCTCTTAAACCCCTTGACACCCGAACAAGAAACTGGACCTTTATTTCTAGAATTATTATCCAAACATTTGAGAAGAAATTTCTGGAGAGCTTTTACGTCTTATTGAGTGAGCTTGCAATTGGGCGCCAGGACTGATCTCATTCTGGACCGTATTCGGGCAGGAGGAGGCCCGTCCCTTTGATTTGTCCAAACTGGGAAGTGCGAGAGACATTCTTCCTTCTTGGCTGGGCGTTTTCAAATAGCGAGGGCTGTTCTCTTCCTCCTTACTCTGATACGTCGATAGGTGTGTATTCGATGAAGCAACAGCAGGGGAACTCTCAATTGAAGAGTGTAATCGAATACGTGCAGAGACGAGGATCTCTATTGAAGCCACGATTCTCAAACTAAAGCCCAGGTTCGATCTAATCAGGGCTTATGTGCGTGCAAAAAAAAAAAAAAAAAAAAATAAGATTAAAAAGAAAAAAGAAACTAAAGGAAAGGAAAAGAAGCAAGATGGATGAAGCAAGCAAAACAAAACAAAATTATCAGGGACGGGATAAGAAAACGTAAAGGGCAGGAAAGGGAGGAGACTCATAAATATTAGCTCCAAGAATGATTGGAAGAACAGATATTTGTACCTCCATGCATTCACAAGCTTAAGTATGTACCTACATTTAGTACTCTTTTATACCCCCCTTTCATGTGCATACATGTACGTATACCCCCATCTACAATTGGACAACTTACATGTAGTAAATGCATGTGGTCATATCAATCTAATAAGAGCTCTGCACCCCCCATGGCCCAAAGTATCTCCGGAGAGGTAAGCTACACGCAGGCATAAACTTTGGTTGCCCCCATGCTTACTAGAGTAGTTGTGAGACTATCATTGGAATTGAAATTTTCACAGTAACGATTTTTACGACTTTGCCCGTGCTGTTGGCGAATGATTAACAACTTTACAACCTCCAGCCCTGATCTCCATACCTCCCCCGAATACTCTTACCATATGGCCTTCCTTAGCTCAATCCCAACGGGACCGGTGGTATTACTACCAGGATGCCTTTACTCACTGAGCTAAGTCGATAGGGCGGACAATAGGGTGATATGTAGAGTATCTACATACAGTATGCATACAGTACCAGATAGTAATAACAGATGGGCATGGTAATGATTGGTGTTCCCAAGACCTCAATAGTTCTAACCCTAGACAATCAAGTCAAGATTCAAGACACCTGCAACGTTCCGATCAGACCCAAATCATGTTTCGGAAGCCATGATCATCACCGGGGTTATGTTTAAAAGAAAACCAAAGAGGCTACTGTCGTTCACGGGGTATTGGCGGATACTGGGTGATGGCGGACAGGGCAAAAAAGAGACAGCCAAGCCAACTTTTACCTGCAATTCGCCAATACCCAGTATCCGCCAATACCCCGTGAACGACAGTACAGTTCTTTTCAGCTGCATGGGTTTGCACTGGTAGAGTTTCCAAGTGCATGGCCCTGACTTGTTCCTCTTTCGCTTGGCCAGTTGCAATCCACCTCTCTGGGCGCACGTCACCCCAATCCTGCCCCACTATAGACTTCACACCCCCCAAAACACCAACGGCTAAGCCTCCGAGCGTTCCTACTTGAGCACAGCAATGAAAACGTCGTGTTTTTAATGACGATACGGATGAAGAAACTCGATCCTCGCCATCGATTTCTGCCCTGACCACCAACTGCTAAATGCCAAACACATCCGCGTTTCCCACATTTGTGCTGCCCTCATATGTGCTCTATGTAGTTAACCCCTCATTCCCCTCATTCCTTTCTGGTCCCGATCAGCCTCCGATCCGGTTATTGTCGAAGTGGTCGTAGAGTTCTCTAGATAGTTGTGCATACGTACCTTGCCGCTCAAGACCTTCCGAGGCCTTGTGTGTGTTTCTATCTCTCTATTTATCCCTCAGTGTCCCTCAGTTTTATCGGTTTTCCTCTCCATCCATTATCTTCTGCCTGTCCATCCTTTCATTATCATAATTCATTAGCTATGGCTCCTATGGCTCCTCCGTTGGTTTATCTCCTCCCGCTCAATGATGCTGGTGCTCCTGCTATTGCTGGGGATTTTATCAATCTACCTCCTCCACGTACGCCATATGTTCTGCGGTTTTCAATCGAGGGTGCCAGTTCCATCTGTCGTCAAGGCAGCCTTTGGATCAACGTTCCTGAGAAAGATAAGGAATTTGAACGTGAAAATTTCAGAGAATACAAGTTTGTAGCCCACCGAGCTCCATTACCAGTTGCTTTATTTCTATTTTCCCAGTAAAAGAAGACTTTCTCGTCAGTGTTATAAAAGGATTACCTTTCTGTGCACTAGCATGTTTTTATATATATACTTAATGGATATACCTTTGATGAAAATTCCGTGCTATAAATACTAATTTGAATCTGTTTGAACCCTAGGCTATCTCCATCGTTCTCTCGCACTCTACACATCGATGTCCCTATAACACGAGCGGGTACCTTTGGTTATTACTTGACCTATACCCCACTTCCTCCATTCAGTTCAGCGCCTTCGCCTGATAGCTCGACGAAACCGATCAAGACTGATATCCGGTACTTCACCGTTTCTCCGTGCCTCGCAATCAACAACAAGCCCCTTCCTCTCGATGCCCTCTCAATATTCTCTGTTATATCAAAATGGCTCGGACCAGTTGAAAAATGGGACGATCACATGAAGTACATCGCCGACAAGGGATACAACATGGTTCACTTTACCCCAATGATGCATCGGGGTGCTTCGAACTCGCCTTACAGCATTTTCAATCAATTAGCTTACGATCCAGAGGCGTTTCCCAACGGAACTGATGATATCCTTGCTATCGTAAAAACGATGGAAAAGCAACATGGCCTTCTTAGTCTTACTGACGTTGTTTGGAACCACACCGCACACAACTCTGAATGGCTACAAACTAACCCAGAAGCCGGTTATAATCTTGTTACAGCCCCTTGGCTAGAGGCGGCCTATGAACTCGACACAGCACTATTGGATTTTGGTAGTAAACTCGAGCTTCTAGGATACCCGGCCGAGCTTGAGACCAAAGACGATCTACTCAAGGTCATGGAGGGTGTAAAGACCCATGTGATCGGGGCGCTGAGGTTATGGGAGTTCTACGCCCTGGATGTGAAAGCAAACGCAGAAGCAGCTTTAGAGATTTGGACGTCTGGGAAGTCAACCCTCTCAAAGTTTGCAGGACAATCAGACCACTCGAAGGATCTTTCGCTATACGATAAAGCCCAACTTCTTTCTAAGCATGGACTTATCGGTGGAGATAGACTTGGTGAAAGATACCGCCGCAAAATCGACCCCGAGGTCGGAGCAGCGTTCCTCGAGCTAGAATTTGGGAAATCTTCAGGTAAACCCGATGCCGAAGAGATCGAGAAGGTAAAGAGCGAGTATACGAAGGTCCTAGATGAGCTCAACCTTCCTTACTACAAGGAATACGACGAAGATAGCTCCGAAATCCTTGAGCAATTATATAATCGTATTACATACCTCCGCGTCGATGCCCACGGACCCAAGATGGGGAAAATTACCAAAGAAAACCCATTGATAGAGACCTACTTCACCCGGCTCCCCAAGAACGAAAAAACGGCAAAACACGATCCAAAGAGCCTGGCATTGGCTAATAACGGCTGGATTTGGAACAATGTCGCAGACTTTGCAGGTCCCAATTCTAGATCTTATTTACGCCGTGAGGTCATTGTTTGGGGAGACTGCGTGAAACTTAGATTTGGAGAGAAACCTGAGGACAGCCCATTTCTTTGGGATTTTATGGTCAGATATACCAAGCTCATGGCTCAGTGCTTTCATGGGTTCCGTATCGACAATTGTCACTCAACTCCTCTTCATGTTGGGCAGTATCTACTCGATATTGCTAGGCTAGAGAGAAACGACTTATACGTTGTTGCAGAACTTTTCACCGGAAGCGAAGATGAAGATAGAAAATTCGTCGAAAGACTTGGCCTTGGAAGTCTTGTCCGTGAAGCTATGGTTGCATGGGGCCCCGGAGAGTTGTCAAGACTTGTTCATCGCCATGGTGGGAAGCCGATTGGGAGCTTCGAGCAAGAATTCATTATTAGAGGCAGTGAAAAGACAAATGGGGAGGCAAATGGGAATGCCAACGGTGGTCGCGATGGAAGAGAAGTGATCAAGGCAGTTACGGCAAGCCCGATACATGCCCTTTTCATGGACTGTACCCATGACAACGAAACTCCAACCCAGAAGAGAACACCGCAAGATACTCTTCCCAACGGAGCCTTAGTAGGGATGTGTGATTGTGGTATTGGTTCGGTCATGGGTTACGACGAAGTCTATCCGAAGTTGTTGAATTTAGTGACTGAACCAAGAGTTTACTACCCACCACCTGCCCAGCTAGACGAAAAGACTCCAGGTATCGGAAAGGTCAAGGCCCTCATTAACCGTATCCACGAAGAGATGGGCCGAGATGGTTTCACTGAGATGCATGTCCACCATGAGGGGGAGTACGTCACTGTCCATCGGGTACACCCTAAAAGCCATAAGGGTTATTTCCTTGTAGCACATACAGCGTATAACTCAGGAGATGCCCGAGGGGACTTCAACCCGATCGTTCTTAATGGGCCGAAGGTTAAAGTTCTCGGTAGCTGGAAGTTAAAGGTCAACGACGCTGAAGAGGCAAAGGCCACGGTCTTGGAAGATCCAAAGTACCTTATTGGGCTTCCTGCGGAGGTAGTGGACTTAGAAAATCCGGCTATCGAAGAGAAGGGGACTACGACAACAATCACCATCCCGGAAAAATTCCCCCCAGGAAGTATCACTCTACTAGAGACATGGATTCCGGGAATGGAGGGTGAAGCCCTGGATAAGTTTGTAATCAGTGGGGCAGAGGAGGCATTTGCTAATACAAGCTTGGCTGAACTCAACTTTATTCTGTACCGTGCAGAATCCGAGGAGAGGGACTCGAGTGGGAATCAGGACGGTTGCTATAATATCCCTAACTTCGGACCCTTGGTTTATGCTGGGCTTCAAGGTTGGTGGTCCGTATTGAAGGATATAATCAGAAATAACGATCTTGCACATCCCCTTTGCCAACACCTTAGGGAGGGGCAGTGGCCGCTTGACTACATAGTTGCCAGAATGGAAAGGCTAGAGAAGCAGGGTCATAAAGGACTAGCTGGGCCGACACAATGGCTCAAAGAGAGATTCGACAGAATTAGACAGGTCCCTGGATTTCTGCTTCCTCGATACTTTGGATTGGCCATCCAAACGGCATATACCACAGCTGTTGAGAGAGCCACCAATCAATTCACAAATGACATCAACCAAGGCACGGAATTTCTCAAGGGACTGTCATTGGTCTCTTTACAAATGACTGGGTAGGTGCTCATATTCGAGACTTTTATCTTTCTGAATATTTAACCTAATTTGCTCGTTTAGATTCATGAAGTCTACTTCGTTATGGCCAAATAAGGAGGTCGCTTGTATGGCTGCTGGTTTACCTCATTTTTCATACGATTACATGCGTTGTTGGGGTAGAGATATCTTCATCTCAATACGCGGTCTCTATCTCGCAACTGGCCGCTACGAGGATGCAAAAGAACATATCCTGGCTTTCGGCTCCGTACTTAAGCACGGGATGATCCCGAATCTCCTTGATAGCGGACGCAAACCACGATACAATGCTCGTGATAGTATTTGGTTTTACCTCCAAAGTATACAGGATTACATCGAAATGGTTCCGAACGGAGTTGATATCTTGAAGGAATCAGTTAAACGGCGTTTTTTGCCCTATGACGATACTTGGTTCGACTACGATGATGAGCGGGCCTACAGCAGGGAAAGCACAATTGGGGAGATCATCCAGGAGGCACTTGAGAGGCATGCACTGGGTTTTGGCTTCCGTGAAGCAAACGCCGGGCCAGGCTTGGACACACAAATGAAATATGAAGGTTTCTGGGTTGAGGTTAAGACAGACTGGGAAACCGGTTTTGTGAAAGGCGGCAGCCAATGGAACTGCGGAACTTGGATGGACAAGATGGGAGAGAGTGAAAAGGCGGGGAACAAAGGATATCCTGGTGCGCTCTCTTTTACCCTCACATATAAATTCTTGGATTTTTCTAGTCAGTTTAGTCAATACTAACAGGGTAATCCAAACATTAGGTACCCCAAGAGATGGATCAGCAGTTGAAATCATTGGCCTCTTGTACAGCACACTCAAATGGGTCTCAGAGCTCAAAGCCCAGGGGATATACAAGTGGGACAGCGTTAAGACCAGCGATGGGCAAGTGATCACATTCAACGAATGGGCGGATAAAATCAAGAAAAATTTCGAGAGATGCTACTACATTCCGAAAAACGCCGATGATGATAAAAACCATGTTGTCAACCTAGCATGTGTTAATAGAAGAGGTATCTATAAAGATTTATTCGGTGGAGGGAAAGAATATGAAGATTACCAACTCAGGTATGTTTCCGCTGTCCTCACCGAAGCAGGCAGCATACTACTTAGTATCATTTGAAGCTTACTGATAAAATTTCTATAGGCCAAACTTTGCGATCGCTATGGTTGTTGCTCCCGATCTTTTTGACCCTGATCATGCGCTAGGGGCAATCGAGATTGCAGATGAAGCGCTGAGGGGGCCTACTGGTATGGCCACGCTTGAGTGAGTAATAATTCCTCCGTTGCTATGCAGTATAGAAAATTACCGGCTTAGCTAACTCTACTGCTAGTCCTACTGATCGCAACTACCGGCCGTACTACCGTAATTCGGAAGACTCAGGTTTGCATTCTCTATCCAATGACTTATTTTCCTTTAGTGGGAGCGATATAGATGAACTTGAGGCGTAAATGCTGGATGATAGCTAATCTCTTTTGGCCAGATGACTTCGCTACCTCAAAGGGACGCAACTATCATCAAGGCCCGGAATGGATTTGGCCTACTGGCTACTTTCTGAGGGCGATGCTGAAATTTGATCTGCAGCGAAAGAAGACGAAGGAAGAAAAACTTGAGACACTTCTTCAGATCAATTTAAGGATGGACGGCTGTCGCAAGGCTCTCTATGAAAATCCTTGGGCTGGTTTGGCTGAGTTGACGAATAAGAACGGAGAGTTCTGTTATGACTCGGTAAGCCTTCCCGCTATTCATCTCATAATTATTTACAAAGATTGCTGATTATATTTCTCCTATAACAGAGCCCTACACAGGCGTGGTCAGCTTCATGCTTAATCGATGTGTATCACGATGCTGCAAGGATCGACTTATCAAAGTAATCTTCTTTGCTCAAAATTATTTCTCTGTGTAGAATAGGAAGGGACAGATGCTGTGTGTATATTTTTGGGCGCTGGTGTGGATGTGGAAGATTTCTTTTTCTGGATTTATTCTTCCTTTTCATGTGCGTCTCACTACCTTCTTCGAAAGCTCAGGAAGGGATATTGTAAGCCGGTTCTTACGGTGATAGTAATAAGATAGTCACAATTCTTGATACTAGAAAGCGTCTGGGGTAAGGAGTGACCTGAAACTAAAGCCAAAATTCGAAAACGCTTAAATGTGGCTGTGTCCGAGTCAGGGTATGAGCAGATCCACCACCTTCTCTTGGCAAAATATTTAGATAATATAATTTCCACTTCGTCTAGGAGCATTCCCTTATAAAAATCCTATCGAGCTCTGCGGAACGCAGGTACATATGCTAATTCGTAGTTCTCTGGCCGTTTATCAACTCTTATTTCGTCAATTGATCCTTAGTATGGTATGGTGATTTGACAACTACATTTATACCTACTTGTATCTAAACCGTGGTTTTCGAGTTGGTGGTTTCGGTTACCGGAAGTTCTAGATTATTGATCAATTGCACAAACCAGGTCAAAAACTTTAGTTGTGAGGGCTGCCAGTTTGAATGTGTTTTAGTCCTAATTTCATAGTTTCAAAAAGAATCGTATCCTGTTGGAAATACGCCGCAGCATCCTTTCCATAGCTCTACTTTCCATAGCTCTGGTTGCTTGATCTTCTGGCTTTGATTGGCCAAGCCATTGAACCGGATTCGCCATTGACCGGGAAAGGACTGTACCTATACTAGAGAATTGGAGGTCCTAGGAGCACAAGCCACACACACCTTGCCACAAACATTAGGAGGGGCTCTTTGTGTAACGGATTTCTGGACCGCACTTCTTGGTAGTGGGGCAATCAGAAAGTTTTACTCATAGTTGAACCACTCCCACTACAACTAAAGCGCCACCTCCTAAAGTTCAGTTCTTTCATACGAGCTTTATTATTACACTCCCCTTCCTAGCCCGGTTCTTCAGATAATCTATTTTCTCACTTTAGTAATGGCAGTAAGTCCCATCCATTCTACATCTGCAGCTGTGAAGAGGGAGAACCATCTTACAAAGGATTTTAGAAGTCCTGAGATAGGATTTTGTAGAACATATTTGATTCTGGGCTAACACATTTCTCTGGCAATTTATAGACCTATTATATTGAGAATAAGGCCGTTGGTGACAGGACAAGTTCTGAAGATTGGAGAGGTACTGGCTCCTACCAATTCTTTTTGGCTGATTTTTGTGCCAAAGCCATTGCTCACCATCTTTTTAGTTCGCGGCTGTGAGTAGCTATTATTATACGACATTCCTCCTGAGTTCTTTAACTCAGAAATGTCATGTAACTTACTTTGCCCGTCCCGATTAGACAACCCATTGACTCCCCCTGATCTACTTCAGCATGAGGTCAAGCAGGTATGATAATGATTTTCCATAAATCTTCATACTCCGAAATAACAAAGCTAATAAGAACTGTTCTGTAGACGCTGAAATCGAAAGAAACAGTCGTCAAGGCCCGGGAGGAGGCTGCCGCAATTCTCCAATCCCGCGACCCTCTCAACCGCCTGCTTGTCGTGGTTGGTCCTTGTTCGATTCATGACCCAGCTGCCGCCATTGAATACTGCAAGCGCCTCCTTGTCCTTAAAGAGAAGTACTCTTCAGAACTTTTGATTGTTATGCGAGCGTACCTTGAGAAGCCGCGTACCACTGTCGGCTGGAAGGGCCTTATCAACGATCCTGACATTGATGGTTCCTTCAATATCAACAAGGGACTGAAGATTTCAAGACAACTATTCGTGGATCTTACCACCATGGGTATGCCATTGGCGAGCGAGATGTTGGATACCATTTCGCCCCAGTTCTTGGCCGATCTGTTGAGTGTTGGCGCGATTGGTGCCAGAACAACAGAGAGTCAGCTCCATCGAGAGTTAGCGTCTGGGTTGTCGTTCCCGGTTGGTTTCAAGAATGGAACTGATGGAAGCTTGGATGTCGCAATTGATGCAATCGGGGCGTAAGTGTCTCCTACCTTTTGTAACTGCAAAGTAGATATAACATGACCTCATGTACTGATACGATCTATCTACAAATAAAGTGCTAAAGGCGCTCACCACTTCTTGTCAGTAACGAAGCCTGGTGTTGTGGCAATTGTCGGTACTACAGGGAATGATGACTGCTTTATCATTCTTCGTGGTGGTAAAAAGGGCACGAACTATGATGCCGAGAGTATCAAGGAGGCAAAGGAAAAGCTTCGCAAGGCAAACACCCAAGACAAGATGATGGTGGATTGTTCACACGGTAGATAAAATTCCCCGACATGATCTTCCTTTTACCATAGATGTTGATACTCATGTTTACCAGGAAACTCGTCTAAGAACCATAATAACCAGCCAAAGGTCGCAGCCTCAATCGCTGAGCAGCTCCGTAACGGCGAAGACTGTATCATGGGTGTTATGATTGAATCTCATATCAACGAGGGCAACCAGAAAGTTCCTGCCGAGGGTAAATCTGGTTTGAAATATGGTGTCTCTATCACTGATGCTTGCATCAACTTTGAGGTTACAGAAAAGGTGCTCGAGGAGCTCGCTGAGGCAGTTAAGGCTCGGAGAGAGCTTGCTACTGGTGCTGCGTCTTCTTGATTGAGATTCGCAGGTCAATTCACAAAAGTTATATCGTTTTCAAAGTTATTTTGAAATAATCTCCCTAAATGTTCAAATCAGAATCGCTAGCGGTAAATATCAGTCAATAAAGTTTCGGACAAGTTCCAAGAACTAAGTAAGATTGAGTTTCGTTTTGCAGATCGATTGACTATCAGTTGTGTGATGGGTTGCCACGAGTGACAGGTTGTGAACGCCCAGAGACGCTTTTTGCCGAGAATATGCCGGGTGCGAGGACGAATGGGGACAACGCCTGGGCGAATTCAATCATACTCGAGAATACTGTAATAAATTCGCCGTAATTGAAGGGGAATATTCTCAATATATCAAGAATGTCGTTAACTAAAAAAATACAGCTATTTTGCCATAATGATGATTAACATACATGTGCCTGGATGCTTGCCCTAAGTTCCGAAGGTCCCCCTCCCACCCGAGTTGCGCCGCGACCCCCGCTGGATGAAAAGAAAAAAGCCCCTCTCAAAATACCAAACAATCCCTTTGTCAAAAGGATCCTCCGCCAATCAAATCCTTCCCATATCCTGATTAAGCAAGAACTAGAAGAAACATCTGTTCATCAATTGATCTTTGCCCTGATCTCATCCTCCCTTCCATCTTTCGTCCCTTCCGCTCTCACGAGGCCTCTCCCCTCCCTCCAGTCTACTCACCCGCCACTTTGCCCACCGGAATATTCAACCACCCGGGCACCCACCATGCTTGCGCGATCTATTCTTCGTCCCACCACCGGCGCTGCTCTGCTCAAGACGGCTGTCCGTAACTCGACAAGGGTGAGTGGAAACCAGCGCTTCATTCTAATTCATATCTACATATCAAAAATCCGGGTCAATTGGCGATTGGGAATAGGGTTAGCTACAGAGAAGCTGATGCAAATTTTTGGAATAACTTAGCGAACCGCCACATCCTCCGCCACATCTTCAAATGCCGAATCGCCGAGAAACTTGAACATTGCAGGAACAGTTTCGACTTTGACGGCTGTTGGATCTATTGCCTGGTATTATCAGCAATATGGATTCGGGCTTGGTGAAGTATATGCTGCGACTCCAGCGGAGGAGGGGTACGTTTGTCCGAGACTTGGCGGGGTTACGTTTTCATGACTGGAGTTCTCTTTATTAACGTTAAGGTATTACGGTTTAAAGATTGCATGCCCCGAAGTACCCATGGGACCACCAGGGATGGTTGAGCACCTTCGATCACCAAGGGTGAGTTATCGGTTCCTCCCAACAATTCCCTCCCGGAGGCATGTTTTTCGACTCTTTATAGATGATCCCCTAACAATTCAATCCCCACTAGTCTCCGTCGTGGCTTCCAGGTCTACCGCGAAGTCTGCGCCTCATGCCACTCTCTTTCACGTGTTCCATGGCGTGCACTTGTCGGCGTGTCCCACACTGTCGACGAGGCCAAAGCTATGGCTGAGGAGAACGAGTACGATGATGAGCCAAATGATCAGGGCGAGATCACGAAGCGAGCTGGAAAGCTTTCCGATTACATCCCATCGCCTTACCCTAACGATGAAGCTGCCCGCGCTGCCAACCAGGGAGCCCTTCCACCAGACCTTTCTCTCATCATTAAGGGAAGGCACGGAGGTTGCGACTATGTCTATGCTTTGCTGACAGGATACCCCGACGAACCCCCAGCGGGTGCTAATATTGCTGAGGGCTTGAACTTCAACCCGTACTTCCCTGGAACTGGTGAGTTTATCTTTAGGGATTCTGGAGCGAGATGATCATGATTTATTTACTGGGTCCCGGATAAATAGGAATCGCTATGGCCCGTGTATTGTACGATGGCCTCGTAGAATACGAAGATGGAACTCCCGCGACCACATCCCAGATGGCCAAGGATGTTGTGCAGTTCCTTAACTGGGCTGCGGAGCCAGAAATGGACCAGAGGAAAAAGATGGGAATGAAAGTTATCATCATCTCCTCTGTCTTGGTTGGTCTCTCAATTTGGGTTAAGAGATACAAGTGGGCTCCTGTCAAGGCTAGAAAGATTGTGAGTTCTCGTGATTTCCTTCATTCGTCAAGTATCGGTTTGGTTTGCTGACTTGCGTCCTATTAGGTCTACAACCCACCCAAATAAAAATAAAACGAATTTCAACAGTGCGGTAGCGGCGTAGACGGAAAATGTTGAGGTCGTTAGAGGTGGTAAAGGAAGCTTTAGCTTGAGTCCTGGAGAAATGGTGGGGATTTCATGTTGATTTTAAGGTGTGGTTGGTTCCCAGCGCTGTGTTGTACCTTGGTCTATATAGAACAAAAGCGGAACACCGGGGGAATACATTTTGATGATTCATTAGGTGAATAGCAAAAACAACTACTGTATCCCCCGGATTCTTTTTTCTTTCTGTATTTGAACACTCATTAAATGCGGATGTTATTGTTTTTCTATACTTTTTACTTGCAATTGTAAATTTTTTTGTATATTCTGTTTTAGGTGATATACCGCGGCGACACCTCCTAAATCCCTGGTTATCACTTTTAGATTGTTCAAAATAGGAATTCTGAGGTCTGTACCTACACATGCCAGGAATTTAGAGGTTGCTTCTTTGTGGCATGTAACATCCTGATCAAAGGCAAGGTAATTTAGGTAGTGTGCTGGGGTGGATCGAGTACTCTACTTAGAGTAGAGGTACCTGAAGCGATCCGATTAGTGCCAGGCTGACCAGAGACATCGAGTCGCCCTTGCACACAAACTTGCTCTAAGGATCGCATGGAGCCTCCAACCCCAGCCTCTGCAGATAGGTACTGGAGAACATAGACATGTGCAAAGGGTATCTCCCATGCAATTCGTAGAGCAACTCACAGCTCCTGCCTTAAGCTCAGGAACCGCGGTTTCCTTTAAATTGTTGATATCTATAATTACGTGGTAACACATGCAATGTCATCGTGGCCGCGGAATTAAATGTGCATGTGCCAGGGGATTGGGAGGAAAAAAAACCTGATGCAACTAAAATTTCCGACGATTCCTGAAACCCCATCAAAACCAAAACTAGTGGGTGCGTAAGTAGAGGTAGCTCAATTACTTCCCAACATTTCAACCTTTATCTGGCTTTCACCCTCTATCCCTTACATGAGATAGCCTCAACCTCAACTCTTATCAATCGACTTTGCTCTTCTTTTTAGCACCTCTTATCCTAAGTTTCCTCTATTTCTTATGCCACTTCCCCCATCAGCCTCTTCGTTGCTGTTCGGTTCATCTGCTATCGTCACCGCTACTACTACAAGTACATCCACAGGCAGTGCCATTGCTTCAAGGAGACTCGCCCAGTTATCGCGAACCCTCACAAGTTCAGCAAGAATGACGACTACTCCTACTCAAAAACACAGGGTGACCGTTGTGGGGTCTGGGAACTGGTACGGGCTTTCTTGTATTTCTATCCTCATCCCAGAATGAGCACCTGGTCCAAGGCCACAAATACGATTAAAACAATGTCTCATTTGAACGAAAGCTGATTTAATCGAACATCGTGAAGGGGGAGTGCAATTGCTAAAATTGTAGCCGAAAATACCAAAGCTAACCCTGAGCTTTTCCATCCGGAGGTTAAGATGTTTGTATTTCCTTGCTATTCTGAAGTTTCCTTGGACTTAGACCTGACCCGGACTTTCTCGGAGGACAGGTGGGTGTATGAAGAGAAATACCAACTGCCCTCAACTCATTCTGCCTATGATCCAGCCAAACATGCTGAGCCCCAAAAGCTCACAGCTTTAATTAATTCCCTTCACGAAAACGTCAAATATCTTCCTTCAATTCCGCTACCCGATAACATTATCGCAACACCAGATATTTGTGATGCGGCCTCCGACGCAACTCTGTTGGTCTTCAACGTCCCTCATCAATTCGTATCAAGCATCTGTAACCAGCTTAATGGGACTTGCCTTCCATATGCCCGTGCGATTTCATGCATTAAAGGAGTAGATGTGAGCCCCGAAGGTATCTCACTATTCTCAGATACCATTGGTAGGCGACTCGGTATTTACTGTGGTGCGCTTTCCGGCGCAAACATTGCGAACGAGGTTGCTGCTGAGAAGTTTTCTGAGACTACCATCGCCTATAACCCCCCGACAGGTCCAACTAAAGACTATCCTAATGGCCTTGAAGAGGTCCCGAAGGAACTACCAACGGTCGACCATACACTCTTCAAGACCCTCTTCCATAGGCCCTACTTCCACGTGCGCGTTGTTTCCGATGTAGCTGGTGTCTCCCTCGGCGGCGCGTTGAAGAATATTGTCGCAATTGCTGCTGGCTTTGTTGACGGTCTCGGCTGGGGTGATAACGCTAAGGCTGCTGTAATGCGTGTTGGACTTCTTGAAATGCGTAAATTCGGCAAGATGTTCTTTTCTGAAAGCTGCAAATCGGCCACCTTTACTGAAGAATCATGCGGTGTTGCGGATCTGATCACCTCGTGCAACGGTGGTCGAAACCACAAGTGTGCTAAACTCAGCATTCAAAAGAATAAACCTATCGAAGAAATCGAGGCCGAGGAACTGAATGGGCAGAAGTTGCAAGGGACCAGCACCGCAAGTGAGGTCAATGAGTATTTGAAACGTAGGGGACTTGAAGCTGAGTTCCCTCTGTTCACCGCTGTTCACCGTAAGTCTCTTCTATCCCTTTCCTTGTGGTGAGTTCGGTTGTAAAAGGCGAACAAGCTGGGCTGTTAATTGCTAACCGTTGTGACCTTTACCTAATGGAATAGAAATTCTCAAGGGTGAAAAGAAGGTAAGTTCCCTATTTTAACCGCCTGTCGGCTCTCCGGGTGATGGATGAACTGCAACTGATATGCGGCAACACAGGTCGAACACCTTCCTGAGCTAATTGAGAGAGTGTAAAGCAATTTTGGGGGTATAAATCCTGTAGAGCGGATAATTTCACATTAAGCTTGAGCTTTGGTTTCTTTTTGCGTGTTTAATTTTTGTACTTTTCAAAGTAGGGATTGCGGGGTTTTGAGCATAAAAAATAAAATACGGTGATACCCATGATGGATGATGGAGTATTTAAGATAGGGGTCTTGCTTATAGTATCTCAGCACACAAAAACAAGGACGTGACGGAAACGCTATGGTTACTACATGTATGTGGAAACCACAATACTACATTGCGCAGTGATATCGAAAAGAATCCTTACCAGGGAATATGTGACGTCGAGTAAGTAAACTGTAGTTACCAAACTGCAATCAAGCCAGTACTCAATTGCCATATCTCAATAATTCCCTGCTGATACTATGAACCTTCAAGGTTGGAATATAGCACGTTGCCAAGTCTACTAACTAGTAACATGTCAGAGGTGATGAAAAGGGCACTGGTCTCTCTAAGATTCTCAGGACTATTCTGTGTTTTATCAGGTGTTAGCTCTCGAGATCTCTATTCTGTGAGACGTTAATCCCATATTCTCTAAGGCTTCTTCACGACCTTCTCTCGCTGCCACTATGAAGGAATAAATCAAAAAGCGTATTAGACAACCTTCACCCCTTACTATCTTAAGTCTAAAAGCTTGAAATTGAAACGGGCTTCACTGACTATATATAGACAGTAAACAAGTCTCTGTTATTCTCGTTTTCGTGGGTGGCTCATCTAATATATATAAACCAAGAGTAATTTGGTGGAATATCGCGCCTAGCTAATCTATATCCTCTGTTGTCCAAACTCGTTCTATTGCTAGACTGCGTATTCAGTTTCATGAATCGACTCTCTCCCGATACTCTGAGTAATTCTTTGTCCGTCCTAACCGGTAATAAGAATTATTTCTTGTCACGTTGAAGAAGACTGTACATCTTGATATAGGTGAAACAATATGGGGAGCCTATGTACCGAAAGCTCCTGTTGTTCTAGACACCCCGGGACTAACATAGGTACACACATGTAGTAATACTCCTAATTCGGGCTTTATCTCATCCCATAGGCTGTACAGAATATGTGAGAATATAAGTGGGCACGAGACTACTACTCACAGTCCAGCCAACGTTAACAACGCTCTTGGTCATTAACACAGTATCGATGCCCTAGATCAGAAACGTCGGCACCAACAAGGAAAACTGTTTACATATTGATTACTACTGAGATATGGCGCCGATTTTCTTTTTAGCTCATACCTAGACTCAAATTTATAGCTAGCGGTTGGGTTTGAAAAGCCCTCAATGCCCAAACAGGAAGCCTTGCGAGTATTTTTTTGCTTTTAGGCCCTTCTGAAAGAGCCCATTTAAGGGGCTATGGAAATATCTGTTTCTTTAAAGGGTTTCGTTTCTCAAAGTTTTTCTGTTTATGGAGCGTGTGATTCTAATAAAGACCCTATTGAGAACTAGATGCGGTAAGTACCAAATAGTTGTCTGGTCTATCATTGGTTCTCTGATACAACCCTAACCCTGATAAATCCCTATAAGGTTCTCAATAAGACTAGCGTCCAACAGCCAAATAAAAGAAGCCTGAGGATTTTGACGGAGTGTGAGTTCTTTTCTGGGTTTAAGGAGTTATCATCCATATCAGCGTATAATCTAAGTATGTAGCTATGAGCCGAGGTTAAGGATTTGGTATGAAGTTCGTTGGGATAACTCGTTATAACAACAAAATCCTCTCCTTGTTAATATCCACATCACCAATCATTTGTGATCGGTTGTTTCTTAGCAGTCCAAGTTGTGCAATCTATATTGGTACTTTTGGACCTATCGAAAAATTTAATATAGACCTTTTAAGGGCGTTCTAATACTCACAAATCCCTTTTTTCGGGTCTATTGACGTGGATTTTAGAAACATATCTTACAATGAATCTCTAGTTGTTTTATGGCATTCTTTGATTGCATATATATATCTTTCATTCTCCCCAGTTCTCAACAACGGACAGTCTCTAGCTTGCCACCTGTAAAAATGTTCACGGGGTATTATCGGGTTTCTCTTTATCCAAACAACAAGAACCACAGACAACCTCTCACACTTCTCTAGATTTCAAATTCTCAATGAGTAGCAGTAGTGATACTTTTTCAAGCTAACAGTGCTACTCCTTTTACTAAAGCCCAAGATATGCTGGAATTATAACACTTATAAGAAACCTAGAGTCCCAGCCTGTTTAAAATCCTCACTCACTCAGAGCATTCCGAGTTAGTCCATACTGAATACCCTTTGATCAGTATCGTCCAGTGTTCTAATTGTTATATTATTATCAAAAAAAAAAATGAAATTCACCAGTGTTTTTGTGGCTTCGGCCACGTTCGCAGTCCTTGCTGCGGCACTTCCCAGCCCCAATCAAGCGTATGAACTTTCTTTCTCTCCTTAAGGTGTCTGTTGTTATTTTAGGTATATTAAAGGCTGACTATTTGACCCTTCCTGGATATAGAACTGTGGCTCGCCGTAATGCAGAGCCAGAAGGCGTCACGATCTGGGGTCGTTCAATATTTCAAAGACGTCAACTTGCGGTCCGTATAGCTGAGGCCGATGCCGATCCAGGTTGTACCGGCCCAGTCTGCGTATGCAACAGACCCGGATCACCACCATGCTTCAAGAACAAGCGTGGGGAGCTTCAGTTCGTCCGTGACGCTATGCCAGAGCCCGTGGCTGAGGCCGATGCCGATCCAGGTTGTACCGGCCCAGTCTGCGTATGCAACAGACCCGGATCACCACCGTGCTTCAAAAACAAGCGTGGGGAGCTTCAGTTCGTCCGTGACGCTATGCCAGAGCCCGTGGCTGAGGCCGATGCCGATCCAGGTTGTACCGGCCCAGTCTGCGTATGCAACAGACCCGGATCACCACCGTGCTTCAAAAACAAGCGTGGGGAGCTTCAGTTCGTCCGTGACGCTATGCCAGAGCCCGTGGCTGAGGCCGATGCCGATCCAGGTTGTACCGGCCCAGTCTGCGTATGCAACAGACCCGGATCACCACCATGCTTCAAGAACAAGCGTGGGGAGCTTCAGTTCGTCCGTGACGCTATGCCAGAGCCCGTGGCTGAGGCCGATGCCGATCCAGGTTGTACCGGCCCAGTCTGCGTATGCAACAGACCCGGATCACCACCATGCTTCAAGAACAAGCGTGGGGAGCTTCAGTTCGTCCGTGACGCTATGCCAGAGCCCGTGGCTGAGGCCGATGCTGATCCAGGCTGTACCGGCCCAGTCTGCGTATGTAACAGACCCGGATCACCACCTTGCTTCAAGAACAAGCGTGGGGAGTTTGAATTCGTAAAACTTCTATAACAAGTTTGACGCTTCATCTTATTAGTCTCCTATTTGTTACGGACTTATCTCTGAGATATTAATTTCCTTGGTGTTGTTCTTCTATGAACTTATCTCTTCTTAATTATTAATTCCGGTTATTGTGGGTTCTTAATATCCTAGTCGGTATGTCACGGCATACCTTTCTTTTTTTCTTGACGGGACTTTCTCAGTCAATATCTCCTATTACCTCGAGGTTCATTCCATACCACGAGTATGCGAATCAACCTCTTGTACGATGGAGAGCCGCTTTACTCTTCTCTTTCTTTCTCCTGTTCCCATAAAGGGGCAGTGTTGGAACCGTCGGTACATCAAGTGTTGAGGGTTTGGAAACTGTAAATGTTGGATGTGCGAATCAAGGAGGGCTGCAAAAACAGCAGGGGGAGGAGGAGGTTTCTGAGCCTCTCCCTTTGTTGACTAGTTAGCTATTTTGTATAGGCGAAATTGAAACCCCTGCGGTTGTTTTTGGCCCTCGAGCGTTGTAGCATCGTTCACAATATGACACCGGCCAAAGTCCGTGGATAGGCGAGTGATTTCCTGTGACCAACGTGCACACGTAGTTAGCTGCTGTGTTTCATTATCGAGAAGCGATAAACGTTTGAACTTGAGAAAGTTGATAATTCTTCCCCCAAAGATTGAGATGGGGGGAGGGGTTGATGAATGTGAGATGATGAGGTTCAATTGGTGAAGGTTGGGAGATGTAAAGTGGGATGTGGTTGCGTGGGTCTTCTATGTATCTATGCGACGCGTGCATAGCCACACCAATGCGTCGTCCCTCTATCTCTGTCCTGTATTATCATTGACATTTATAGCAAAACCCTAATTTTAGATCCTGCAGCTCTGACTTTCCCAACAATTACAGCTTGACCACCAACCCATCAATTAACCCCAAAATGTCCTTCGACTACATCTGTCGTCCGATCGAAGTACCTCCTCTCTCCCATGGCCCAAACTTTGATAAAGATGCTATGTCTCTTTCAAGAAAACTGACGTGGATTAATGGCGAAATGTCGCGGATCTTATCGCTGCAGGAACAGGTTGGCGGGCGCAGAGATAGCGCGGAGTTGAGAGAGAGAATACAGCATAAGCTGAGAGAAACGGAGAAGAAGTTTGAGTGGACGGAGGCGGATGTGAAGCTGATACGACGATGGGAGGGAAGTGAGCTTTCTGTATGTATATATACCCAAAGCTACAACAAAAGCTCAAAGTACTACTACATTCAGCTCACCTCTACAATCTAGCCTTCACAACAATACACCGCTGAAAAACTCTCGGACACATTCTCAAAGCTCTTTACCCGTTTTCAGTCCTTCCAGCGAGTCTTGGCCGAAAATAACACGCAACCTCTTCCAGGTACTCCCTCAGTCTGTGGTTCTAGCGAGACGCCAGTCATAGGACCTCAGCTGCCTCCATGTGAATCGAGGATAGCCGATCAAAGAGAGGTTGAACTCCAGAAAGCAATAATTTTGCAAAGAGAGCAGGAGGTACTGGCGCTGCGAGATGGGGTAAAAGATATCAATAATATACTCAAGGCTTTGGCAGTTGCTGTTGGCGTGCGGGGCGATGAAATAGTGACGATTGAGGGAAACGTTGATGGGGCAGTGAGGGATATTATAGAAGCGTTGGTTTGCCCATTTATATACAAAATCAGATTATGAAAAGTAGCTAATCAGAAAAGCTCACACAGAGACGATGAACTACGGCACGCTATCAAGTTACATAAAAGGGCTAGGAATAGAGCATGCTGTCTACTCCTGGCCTGTACGATTGTATTTGCGGTTGTGTTGTTTGCGGCAGTACTCTTTCCTTACAATCTTTTAATTTGACTGATTTCCTAGTTAGATCATAGCTGAATAAACTTTGGCCGGAGGTTTCAACTATAGTAGGTAGTGGTTACGTTAGCAACTTATGAATTCAACCTTTCATGGAGCTAAGAGTTACTTTAAATACCGCGCAAGTGATTTAACCATAATGCAATGCTCAGAATCTAAGAGAAGCCTTTCAGTGTTTGAAACTAACAGATATACTACGAATGAAATTCCCTTAAACGGCCACTTCAACCAGTTTTTGCTTGATCCATTGATCAGGCACATGGAAATCGAGGCTCTCTATCTCCCCCTTTTCTGGCCCACTTATCCATTACCTTTTGAATATTTCATTTTCATTAATTATGAGAAAGAGTAAAAGTGAATCTTAAAATAGTTTTGTAAATATGGCGTGGTGATCTGTTTTATAATATTGGATTATCTGAATAAGTCTTTTATTAGTAGTTCTCTCTCTTTATTCAGCTACAACTCCTCTTTCATCCTTGATACCGTTGAGAGTAGAGTACATGCAGGTATTCTATATTTGCAAATATTATAAAAGACGAATAACAATCATGGATTATCACTCGCGCTAACCAACTATCCACGAATCATGGAAGATTTAAATTATAGACAAATATTTCAGAAAGCCCGAGGTGGTATCATATTATTGACTTCTAGCTAAGACCCAACTATTTCATACATGACACCCTCACATCAGTTTCCATTGAGTGAATGCAGCACCAACTTCTTGTATCCTTCCACCGCCTCCTCCAGATCCGAAACCATCACAAACTCATGATCGCTATGCGCAGTCGTAATGGATCCAGGCCCATAAAGGTACTTTTTATGGTCCCCCTTCAAATGCGGGATATCAGTGCCATACGACATTACCGCTGTCTCAAAACCTAACGTCATACCGCCGCATATCAGTCATTGTACACAATTTAATGTATGAACAGGGACATGGACCGTCTTACCCTCAACATCCGAATCCAAAACCACCGGATCATAAAAGAACCCCGAATAACTCCAATTCACCCCGCTAACACCCCCAAAATACCCATCAAGCTGCTCCTTGATCGTCTCTGCGTCCACCGCTAACCTCACCGCAATCGACGCATTCGCATACGGGCTCACCACATTCGCCGCCGTCCCACCCCTCACCAACCCATAATTCAGCGTCGAGTTCCCCAGCAGCGTGCTCGCGGGCAGCTCCACCCCCTCAAGCCCATACAGCGCCGTAATCAGCGCCTTATTCGCGTCCACCCCCAGCTGCGGATACCCGCTATGCGCGGCCTTGCCAAACGCCTCGAGCTTGACCGCTAGCGCACCCTTATGCCCCACCGCCAGATTCAGCTCCGTCGGCTCCCCAAAGACGATCGCCTCCCACGACAGGCCAAGGTCATTCGCAGCCTTCATGCCCGCGCCGTCGACCTCCTCCCCAACGACATACAGCAGCGCCACGTCCCCGTCGTCCACAGAGCCATCGGCAAGGAGCTGCTCCAACGCCACGACCTGCGCCGCAATGGAGCCCTTTGCGTCGTTGGAACCCCGCCCCGTGATGGTCCCGTTGGACGTGATCCCGTACGGGATGTACGGGCTCACGGTGTCCATGTGGGATGTGAGCAGCGTGCGGGCATTGCGGGAGCTGCCGGTGTAGGCGTAGATGTTGTGGCGGCCGTCCGCGACCTGCTGCAGCTCGACAGTGAAGTTTTTGGAGGAGAGGTAGGAGGCTAGGTAGGAGGTCGCGGCGGACTCGTTGCCGGTGAGGGAGGGGATCGAGACGAGGCCCTTGTGCAGGGAGAGGAGGCCGAGGGTGTCGTTTTGCGTGCAGCGGGATACGTGGGCGTGAGCGGCGGCTGCAATTGATGCGGTGGAAAGGAGGGCGGCGAGGGATATCTTCATTTTGGGCCTAATTGTCGTCCAATGCAGTGGATAGCGCTCGCTCTAGAAGAATGAAGAATGGGGGAGGAAAACTCAGAAGTGCAGCGGGATCAGACGATATATACCCTGGAGACTAACTACACTTATCTCCAGAGACATATAGTGACTAGGCTTCTAAACCCTCCAACCATCGTGGCAGGCCGGCATAGGACAGAAGAGCAATTGATATCCACATCTCCGTGCGAGTTGTTGGAGGTGCGCGCAGTAGCAGATCCCTGCTGGGAAGGTACATACATGTCTTCGGGGATCGGCATACATGTACAGCTACCTCAGGTACACGCATAGAGTGTCTTGGGCAATATATCGCCCAACCGCCTTGCCAATTAACGGACGGGAGGGAAGGAGAAGAAGAGTCGAGGTGTTCGAGATGTCGAATGTTTCTTTTTCTTTGTAAACCCCCAACTAACTATGAGATGATCCAAGGTCATCTCATGATGCTGTCGTGCAACGGTTCGTGCGTTCTGCGATGGAGTCTTCTTTTTTGTTTTACCTTTTAGCCTGCCTGCATTTGCGATATTTCGACAGCGGAAGAACAGCAGAGGCTCTGGTTACTCAGCGACCACAACTCAACTCTGCGCACCGAGACCACGGAACGGTTCCTGCGCTGCACCCTGAATGCCGAGCCAACGCGGATGTTTTCCAGGGCAAGGGGTAGCAGCTGTGTCTGCACTTGTCTGTGTCTGTGTGTGTCTGTCTGTCGTGGTCGATGCCAAACAACGTCATGGTGGAGCGCCCGTCTGTGCGAATGCTGCAGTACAGTTGCGCCGTTGTTTAAGTACCGGGAGCTACATGCTGTCCCCACCGACCGACCAGGAGGGCACGGACATGTCTGGAGGAACGTGTTGTTCTAGTCCTGTCCATGGTCATCGTGAGGTCATATTGGAGCAGGGTTCTGCGGTGCAAATTGTTCAACCTGCAAAGGGCATTTTAAACAACATTCCCAATATGCGATTCAGATACAGCAAATAACTAGTGGAATTCAGACATTTGAGAAAAGATTATGCCCTATATTACAACAGCAGGAAGAACAAATTCTTCAATCAGGACCCTTTCCTTCATGACTCATACAGTAGCAATTCCTTGCCTACGACTTATCCAGTGCCCCTGAGTTCCTAAATGCGCCGACCTAAAAAAAAAAATACAAAGTGATAAAGAACAAAGTGATAGTAAGCCCCCCAGTCCCGCGCCCAAACAATGAAAAAAATAACTCCCCAAAAGACCCCTGAATCCCTAAAGTACGTTTTTCCAGCCCTGACGAAAAAAGGAAAAAGAAAAAAGATCCCCGATATGACAATAAGAAAGTAGAAAAAAATGGCCCCGTAGCCGTTTCGTTTCGTTATATTTCGTTACGTAACGTTTAATTCGTATAGTAGTTTTCGGTAGTAGTTTTCGGTAGTAGTAATAGGATGTGCGTGAATATACACTCGTGAGATGTCCATCCGAAAGTACCGAGTAGAGAGAGTATTGTGTCTACGGTATTTCCGGACCGTGTTCGCGGCAGATCCCAATTAAACCATCAAACCCGCAACAATCACACTCATGCCTCCCACAAGGACAGCCACAAATCCAGGCGACATTCGGTGGTCGTGGGGCTCAGAGTGCATGTACATCTGTCGTAGCGATGGCGCCGACGAAGCTATTGACAAGCAGATGATAAGTCAGTTCCGGTGAAGCTTCAGGAATGCTGTTGGAAAGAGAAGCTTACTCAGATCCTTGTCGTTGTTCCTAGCTGGACTGCCGCCAGAGGAGGGCGTGCTGGCGGCGAGAGCTTGAAAGGGGTGACCGGCGATGACGCTGGCGATTGCGAGGAGGAGGAGCATGAAGGCGAGGGAGGTTCGCAGGGTGATGGTTCGTGGAGTGAACATTGTGGTGGTGGTTTGTAATGAGTTATTTGGGAGGTTTGGTTTGGTTGTGTGTGGTTAACTGTCAGCTGTTGGAGCAAAGTAGAAAGGTGGTCGAAGCTTTGTTCCTTTTTGTGTGAAGCAGTTTGAGGTGTAATAGGTAGATGAGATGAAGGGCCCCCCTTGGGTTTATATCTCCTAAGAACGTGGGAAATTGGACCCAGATAGGATAGGAAAGAAGAAAAAGAATATGTAATTAACCCAATTCCAAGACGCAGAGCCAAAGCAAGGTTAAGTTGTGTATGTTATGTGGTTGAGTTTTAACGCTGAGCTGTCCCGCCCTTGCTTGAGTTTCTTTCTTTCCTGCTTGCTTGCTTCAAGAGCGAACCCCCGGCACTTCAAGGGTCCGAGATCTGTCTGCAGGGTTCAACACACACCACACACGATACTTACATATGCAGCGAAGGAAGAAAAAAAAATTTATCTCTCAAATTGCTTGAAAATGGGGCCCGTGTGCAGCAGCAACAGTAGAGTAGCAGCAGTAGCCTTTCTCTCTTCCACTGCGGGGAAACGGTGGCTTTCGTTTCTATGCACTTGTCGCAGAATCAAGACAAGAGGTGCGACTGTACTTGCCTTGCTTTACCTCTAAAATTCACGATGATATCCGTTCAGTCACGTCACGCGCGCCCCCGACCCCGACCGTTGTATCAGTTTTTTGCACTTATGAGGCAAGCAAGCAAGCAAGCAAGCAAGATTGACCTGCGACTGCAAGTGCAGTATGTAAGGTTTGTTCGTGAAATCTCTCTTGGAGGTTATTATGGTGGTGGCGGTGAGGGTCATTCGACCATGGATCTTTACCTGTCTACTCTAGCTGGACGTCACCTGTCTCACTCCCACTGCTGCACACCCATCTTTGTCTTTATTACCCACTCTCTCGAGACGGTGCCCGGCCGTTGGAGTACGAAACGATCTAGATAGATTTCCAACCAGCACCTGCCGTCAAAAAAAAGTAACAGCCAGCAAGCGCTTTTCAGGGGCAGCAACTGAATTCGAAATCCTCAGGAACGTTTGATAAGGATGGCTCTACTAGCTGCACCTATTTTTACAGGACGGGGACGGGACAGGGGCTTGGGGTGGATGCTGTTGTTGTTTTTTTTCGCTTCCGAATGCACTTTATGGTGGTAACCTACCCCCCCTGTCGGCAGTGTTTGATCTGCTGCTTCGCAAAGGTTAAAAGCGCGGAAGGACCCGCAGGAAAGCTAGAGCCTCAGCAGCATCCACGCCCGACGGATTTACAATATCGACTTTGCGGTCTAGAATGGAGTTTTCTACATACCGAGGTAGGTCGCTCTAGCCAGGCCAGTATTGTGAATCTATCTGTAGGGAAGGTTCTGGCCTTGTAGACACGCGGTGGGAATGAAGAGAGTATTCATTCGCTCTGGCTGGCTGGCTGGCACTGAGATAGCAGCCGCCTCACAAGAGGTATCATTTCCAGTGTCCTCTCAAGGCCTCTCGATACAAAATCAGCTCAAGATGTAGTCTGAAGCCACATGTTTGGCCAAATTCCACAACCGTGGTTTCTCCACCACGCACCCCCAACGGAATTTGCATTTGTGCAAAAGGTCCACAATTGGGTGGTGGGATGGCGGTCCCTTGCTCGATGAGCAATAAAACTGCATGTCTCGGAAAAGATGCAGATTGTGTTGATATTCCCCCACTTATCAATATCGCGCGGGTTTTAATGGTGGTGACTACTTGAATATTGTCTAAGGCAACTGTTAAGATTTAAGAAAATCCCGGGGTACCTGCCTGTGTGTTCAGAGATCAACAAATAAATTATCTAGGACGTTGACTCGGTGGAATATATAACTAGGGTCGGGATAACCCAAGTGCATTGGTTTTTAAGCTTTGGGCGGTCTGGCATATGACAAGAACCTAAATGCATCGTCTAATTGTCCTACGGTTAGAGACTAGTTGGTCAAGGGTCCGAAACACTGGGAGAGAGCTTGTATTCCGAAGCATATTTGATCAATATTATTCAAACCTTTAGAGTTAGAGATTTGCGCCAAGACTAGACAAGCCTTGCTCTTAAATTGATCATTGGTTCTTGGCCTTTCTACTATTAACGCCTCGGGCAGCACCAGTTAATTATTAGTCACCCCATATTTGGACAAGCTTCGCAGCGCATAAAAAATGAGAGAGAGGAACGGGGGGGGCCGCCAGTTTTCACTTTATCCCATAGAAGAATTGGTAGTGAGACCAGTTAGATATCAACATCATTAGTCTTGAAAGGTTTCTATAGCGACACTAATATTCACGTCAACCTTATATATCTATTTCTTTCCTCAATTCCATTTATGTATCCTTCTTACGCCTATCCCTATACCCAACAACCATAATTAATTCTCCGCTTAAGCCTTAACCAACAAACTGTGACCGGTCATAGCCTCAGCCTGCTCAAGGCCCATGCAGGCCAGGACAGTTGGGGCAACATCACCAAGGACACCGTCCTGCTTCTTCAAGCTCCATCCCTTTGGCGCATTAGCCATGATGAATGGGACTTTGTTGGTGGTGTGGGAGGTCTTGGGGGTTCCCTCCTCAGTCAGCATCTCTTCAGCGTTACCGTGGTCCGCAGTGATGAAGAGAACATAGCCGTGCTTCTTGCAGGCCTCGTAGACGGTACCGATGGCAGCGTCAGTGGCGGCAACAGCTTTGACAGCAGCCTCGTAGACACCAGTGTGGCCAACCATGTCCTAGTATTATTAGTCACTGGGTTATTTCTGATCGTGTTCAAAGTGGCAATCTTACAGGAGGAGCAAAGTTGTTCATGAGGAACTCGAAACCATTCTCGGCGATACGCTCAGAAAGCTTGTCCGCAACAGCCTGCGCAGACATACTTGGCTGAAGATCGTATGTAGCGACACGAGGGGACGAGATCATGTCACGGACTTCGTTGTCGAACTGCTTCTCAACACCACCGTTGAAGAAGAAAGTAACGTGAGCGTATTTCTCGGTCTCAGCAACGTGGCACTGCTTTACACCCTTCTTTGCGAGCCATTCGGCGAGCACGTCGTCCATGCGCTGGGGAGGGAAAGCCACAAGGAAAGGATAGTCAGTCTTGTATTGGGTCATGGTGGTGATATAGATATCCTTGGGGAAGGGGAAGTCGGGGAGAGGTGAGCTGTCGACACCGAGGAGTTGAGTGATCTCGCGGACACGGTCAGAACGGTAGTTGAAGAAAAAGAGTGTGTCGTTGTCTGCAAGTGATACTTAGTGAGTGGTACTTGAAAAAATATTGGTATGTACACCATTGATGAGGAAAGCACATACCCTTGATTCTAGCAGACTCTCCGTTGACAATGATGGGCTTCAAGAACTCGTCATTTTCGCCCTTCTCGTATCTTTCCTTGATTGTGGCTACAACATCCTCAGAAGCTTCACCTTCGCCGGAAATAAGACCCTTGAGGGCAATCTCCACACGCTCCCATCTAAAAGGAAAGTCAGAATTTTCCTAGGTTCCGTTAATAGGAATAATTTCAATACCTCTTATCTCTGTCCATAGCATAGTATCGCCCAACTACTGTTGCTATTTTCGCAACCTTTTCCATACCAAGCTCCTTGATCTTAGCAAGGAGTGACTCCATGTATCCAACGGAGCTCTTGGGGTCTGTGTCACGCCCATCGCCGAAAAAGTGAATGTAGACCTCAGGGATCTCCATCTCTTTGGCAGTGGCTAGAAGAGCGTACAAGTGGTTCTGGTGAGAGTGAACACCACCATCGGAGACCAATCCGAGGAGATGAAGACGTCCATTACCATTCTTAGCGTGTGAGAAGGACTCCTTGATGTTCTCGACCTTAGGGAACTCTCCCCTCTTCATGGTCTGGTCGATACGGACAACCTATATACGTTTCCGTTAATAATCTGATTTGTTCTTAAGGTCATCGAAAACATACATCTTGCCAGACGACACGTCCAGCTCCGATGTTCAAATGTCCGACTTCGCTATTGCCCATCAAACCTTCGGGCAATCCGACAGCAAGAGAAGAGGCCTCGAGCTCAGTGTAGCCGTCGGCATTCGCCTTGAAAGCGTCCATGATCGGGGTTTCCGCATTTGCAATGGCGTCGCCCTTACCACCAACTCCACAACCCCAACCGTCAATGACGACTAGAATAATTCGTTCTTGTTAGTACTTATTACCTTGAGTAGATTTTTATAGTAAACAAAATCAAGCAAAGGAAGTAACTCACTCAAAACAGCCTTCTGGTCAATGTTTGCCATTTCTTCTATAGTTACTCTGTTCGCAAATCAATGGAACAATCAAAAACTCAAGGTGGGTATATCTGTCGCAATATAGAGGCGAAGAAGTAGAATCAAAAGAACAAGAAAAATTCTATAGAACTCTATCGGACGATTTCAGAGGTGAGGTGGGATGATGAGGAGAAAAATACAGAAAGACAAATAAGAGGGGCAATCAAACGTGGGATGTTTAGCGCGGGGTGTTTATCGGCCGCTTCCAAACCCTGCCAATTCTACTATGTACGTAAACAGGCCCCCTGTTTCGACGTCACCCCGTTCCGCAGCGGCCGGCCGACTCACTAAATACACTCTTTTCTGGATCAATGGCGAATCTGGTTCGATGGCGAATGCCCACTTATCGGTACAAATCGCAAAAAGTAGAGACTTTATAAAGATCACACGAAAAAAAAACTAGACTAGACAAAGAATAAATACTAAACAAGGAAAGTATCTAACCGTTCCGCATGAAGTAAAGAAAACAGATGAGTTAGTGCGGGTGAGAGAGCATGACCCTGCCCGGGCGAGGTTCATTCGCTATTGACCCAGAAAATACTGTACATACGTTACACAACCTCGTTTACTGATCCTCAAGCTCACGTCCTCCAAGAGCAAAGAGAGCTCCACGAAAACACCCGTATCACTCAACCTCGGTCCTATTCCCTCCTTAACTACACAGCCTCATTTGAAATGTCTACCGATGCCCCTGCTCCTGCGGCTTCCGAGTCTCCTGTCGCGCCGACATCTCTTCCGGCGAACGCCTTCGACTTCCTTCCCGACCTCCACGCGCTGCTACAACGCGTTTTCAACGATGAGCTTGACCCGAAGGATGTGGCCCACGAGTCTAGTCAAATCCGACTGAAGCTGGAGAGGGCAAGGGTCATGGTGGCCGAATTGCCTGACGTGGATAAGAGCTTGGATGAGCAGAAGAAAGAAATCAAGGAGCTTGAAGAGAAGATTGAGAGGCAGAAGAGCATCATGAGGGCCGTTTCACAGATGGACGTTGTGACTGAGATCGTGAAAAGGAGAGGGCAAGGGGAGAAAATGGAAATTGTTTCCTAAGCTAAAGCTTGAGGATATGAGCGCAAGGTGTGGTGATTCCTCGCCATACTTCGTATGAGGTTTGCAAATATCTAACAAAAAGCATTTGCTACCTACAAAATAGATAATTAATGAAACTTTCTCTTCAATATCTTCTATTCAAAGTAACCAATATCCAGGACATAAGACGTAATACACCAGTCTCTTCTGGGTACTCACGTCTCTCCTACCCAGTCCCTGTTTGATAAATTCTACACTTATGAAACTCATCGATTTTCATAATTGTGTAAAACCTCTATTGGATATTCGTGCACGGATGAGCTACCCAATAACAACCCGATCTACTACATTCTTCCGGGTCAATCTCTGCCCCGCTTTAAGGACCACCTGTATCATCTCCCAGACACTCACCGGTGGCATACTAATGAGTGATGTAATAACAAGTATTAGATCTACAGTTTTTCCATGTACCCTACAAACCGAGCATTCACATACAAATGTTTCTTAGCTGCTCGGGACGTAGGAAACGCTATATCCCGCTGAAAATCTATATTCTATCAAATGCAGTAGACTTTTCTGACACGGAACATTTAAGGATAAGCATAAAACATTATTTGAGGGCTGAAGTTGAGATATCGACGTTATCTAATCCATCATGTCAGGCTCCTACCATCTATTTCACGTGACTAAACTCTCAACAAGCTGGCCGGCCCTTTGCAGCACGGGGACTTCAGCCCTAGAGCACTCCAATTCCCCACATGCAAACAAGATTTCAGCAACAAATTGCCTCCCTTGGCGTCTCGCATGGCGATTTAAGTTGTAACCTGTGAGAATAAGCGATTCTTGGCATTGGTCATTACCGCCTCGTACCGAGCCATGTCATTACGTAGCTGCAATGCCATACCAAGTCCGAAGCTTGAGGAGCGGAGATCCGGGCGGGGGGGGAGATACCATTTTATATAGGAGCATTCTGAAAACCAATTTCTCCCAGCTTTCATCAAGACATCCTCTCTATCTTCCCATTGTAACCCTTGATATTATCATTCACAATGAGCGAAATCAAAGTCCTTGCGTTCGACCTTTATGGTACAATTCTAGATACCTCTTCCACCGACAAGAAGCTCAAAGAAATCTTCCCCTCGTCCGAGAGTTCGAAAGTTCACCATGTGGTTCAACAATGGCGTAGATACCAGCTTGAGTACACCTGGAGACTCAACTCCATGGGTATAACATCTCTCTTGTTCTCTCCGTCAGACCAGTAGCTTATTCCAAGCAAAGGCACCTACAAATCTTTCGACGAGGTGACCCACTCTTCGCTCTCCCATGCGGTCAAAGAGAGCGGTATCTCTCTGTCCAAAGAGCAGCTTGAGGAGGTGGTGGCTTCATACAATACGCTCTCCCCATACCCAGATGCGGTGAAGCTGTTCCAGGAGCTTCCTGGGCATATTAAAGCATTAGTCTTCTCCAATGGGTCTCCACGTATGCTCTCCGATACCTTTTCGGCTTCCGAATTCCTAAAGAATGTCAACTACTTGTCTGTGGACTCTGCAAAATGCTTCAAACCGGACCCTAGGACATACCAGCTTCTGGTGCAGCATCATAACATGCAGGGAGAGGCAATTGATGCAAGTGAAGTGTATCTTGTGAGCGGGAATCCGTTTGACATTGTTGGTGCTGCTGCGGCAGGGTTGGGGACGATCTGGATCGATCGTGCTGGAAAGGGATGGCAAGATGGGTTGGGAGTACCGGCACATTCGGTCATGAGTTTAGAAGAAGTGAAGGGTGTTGTGGAGAAGTGTAAAGGAAAATCAGCAGGCGCGGGTGGAGACCCTTGTTGCGGTAGAGGGTAAAGGTATTTTTCCTCCTCTCCCTCTTATCTCTTCTATAAATACTCAATGTTCGTGGGTTGACTAGATATCGGTTACAAAATTGAGATCCCAAAATTTCTTTACCTTGTCTTATCAAAACCTAAGTTGATTTAACCTCATGTACAAGTAGTCGAGCCAGAAATCTCTCTATGTTGAATCTGAAACCCTCCGTTTTATTGCGAAATATGACTTTATACCTCCTATTTTCGACCCACTGAAGTTGACAGCCAGGTCCAAGTATTAAACGACCCGCTCTAGGTTAGTCCCAAGAAGGACAAAAACCATAAACGCTATTCCCTCTAAATGAACCCTGTAGAAAGGGGGAGGACAATGATTATCTAAAAGTTGTAAACGAAGGTGTTGTTATTATTATCAAGCTGACAGTTGAGAGAAATACACATCTAGCCATATTCCATACCCTTCTCAAGGCCCATCGGTGATAGCCAGATAACGGTGTTTAGTGACGAGGGAGACAACTTGATTTCTATGACACCAAGCCCCTTAAGTTTGCGGGGGGTTTTAATCACACATTATCACTCGCCCCTACTATCCCTCATCCCACACCAAAGATCGAGATTAGAAAAATATAGATACATGTATGTACCCATATGTACGTATAGCAAATTGAAGTGCAGTTTTTGAAACCACATGCTGGAAGTTTTATAGCTATAGGCAGAGTGTCGATCATGATATATCACTCGGTCTAGATATAACGGTCTTTTGTGGGCTTAGGACTAGCGATACTACAGTGCTGTGGTAGTAAAGGATATTTCAGGCCAGTGAGATGCTGATCATTTCTATCTCAAAAACCCGGGACTAGCCCCTGTTTATAATTGAGTACCCTATTTTTAACCGCTCCTACATAACGTGTGTTCGTCAAAATATAGAACGCAGCCACGTATCATACCAGGGATTCACGACAGTAGCTCAGTTGGATATGAAACCTTTTAGAATTGGAAAGTTTTCTACAATAAGACTAGAAAAGAAGTAATTGCGGCCAGTACATAGGTTACCATATTAACGAAAAATATGCCACTGGAAACAAGAGCAGAAGCAAGAAAAAAAGTGCAAAATAAATAAGCAAATAAGTGGATGTGTAGTTGATAACTCCCGCGTCTATTTCCGGTATGACCTCAGATAACTTTTTTTGTTCCTTCTCATCATTCCTCGCTCTCATGCAGTCATGGAATCGTGTAATTGGGTTGTTTGTTTACATGAAGTCGTCGCTGTAGCCACAATCAGTATCAAATTTTGAATCACGGGAAATGACAGAAGACTTACTCATCATACGCGTTATCTGCATGGTAGTCTGTTGTGTCAAACTTATCCATCTCCTTTCCGGCCGCCGCCAACGCAGTCTTTTTAACAGTCTTCTTTTTACCGCCCTTCTCTGCCGCCTTCTCCTCCTTCTGCCTCTCGTTGGCCAAGGTTGTCAGACCACTGGCCACCTTCCTGATCTGTTCACTGGGCATATCCTTTGACAACTGCCTGGCAAACTCCTGCAAAAACAGCGGGTAATGCGCCTTCTTAGTGTTAGCAGTGAGCAGTGGCACAAGCACCTCCCTCAGCTTCAAAAACGAATCCTTTGTCGTTGGGTTGAAAATTGGCAGCGATCCCAGGTCAATGTTCTTGGTGGGATCACTGGGGTCCGTAAGACTGATCTTCTTCTCACGGTTCCCAATGCCCGACCCAGCACCGATACCAACAGCGCCAAAGAGGTCGACAGCGTGAGCCATATCCGACTCCTCCTGTCTACGGCGCTCGCGCTCCCTCTTCTGTGCAGGGGTCTCGTTCTCAAGTTCCTCGAGCTCGCGGGCGGCCTGCTCGGCAGCAGCAGCCTTCTCGGCTTGTCGCTCGGCGATGCGCTCGGCCTTTGATTTGTGGTTCGCAGCAGCTTCGGCAGCGGCCTTCTCGGCGGCGGCCTTTTTGGCGGTCTCCTTCTTGCGCTCCTCCTCGGAATCTTCGGCGGCGTCCCAGGAGTCGAGGACCTATAAGGGGAAGGGGAGTGAGTCAGTTTTGGGAAGCTCGAGAAGGGTGGGCGGAGCTAGGTACATCATCATCGTCCTCTTCGTCGTCCCACTTCTTCTTTGGCGCGATACGGGGGACAGTGCCGACTTCTTCCTCGCCGCTCTCGGCCTCATCGTCTGTGATGGCGCGCCGTTAGTTTGAGGGTCAGAGAAGCTTTAGGTGATCGGTCAGTCAGATATACATACCCCATTTGTCCTTTGGTGGAGCCATGATTGTGGTTTTTGTGTGTTTGTATGAGTGTGCGCAAAGAAAGGCTGTTAGGAAAAAAAATGAAAAAAAGTGAAGCACAAGCAAATGAGTGAGATGAGGTTGGTAGGTGTAGCGAGACTGAAGAAGAAAGGAGGATCCCTTTTTTTCTTTGAGGCTGGAGATGCCAGTGAGGGGCAAGGTGGGGTGGGTGTGGCGTGTGGCTAGAGTTAGAGTCAGATTAGCAGGTAGGGTAACGGCAAACAGAATCAGAGGTTCTCACTCGGCCACTCCCACTGGCTGGATTGGGGTGGGGGCAGGTACAATGGCACAAGCGAGCTGTCTCGTTCTTTCATTGGCTCCGGGAGAACTAATAAACAACCTATAATTAATAGCCGCCTCGCGCTACCAACTGACACAGATCTGCTGTACAACGTCACGTGCTTGAGGCATCACAAACGATCACTCGGGTATGTCGTGCTTTCATCTGTTGTTTGACCGAGAAGCAGCAGCACGGCCGGCCGGTTGGCTGCCTGAATTATTTTTAAGACAAGTCACACTTATTACGGGAGTTTGCGGAAGAAAATTGAATGGATAATATTTTATTTTTATTTCTCATTCCATTGCCAGTAAAAACAGAAAGCCAACCGTTCCCAGAACTAACTATAGATAGGTTTTTTTTTAATTTTTTTATTCCTTCCCGAAATATCAGTCACAACATCCCAATAAATTAATGGGACCCGCAGCGACAAACATTTACAAGTTGACAGCTAGTGACCCAACGTTAGCATCAAATAATGGAAAGTAAGGTAAAGAAGACTAACCGGTTCTGAAGTTCTTGCCAGCGTAGACGGCCTTGTCACCCAACTCCTCCTCAATACGGAGGATCTGGTTGAGCTTAGCAAGACGCTCGGATCTGGCAGGAGCACCAGTCTTGATCTGACCAGCCCTCAATCCAACGACGATGTCGGCAATGGTGACATCCTCGGTCTCACCAGAACGGTGAGAGACCATGACTCCCCACCCAGCGGCGTAGGAGTCATTGGCAGCCTGGATAGACTCGGTAAGGGTACCGATCTGGTTGACCTTGAGAAGAAGAGCGTTGCAGCTCTTCTCCTCGATGGCCCTCTTGATACGGATGGGGTTGGTGACAGTCAAGTCATCACTAAGATTTAAGATTAATGAATGATATAATGATGTTTGATAACTCAAGAAGCTTACCCGACAATCTGGAAGTCGCTGTTCTTGAAGAAGTAGCTCCATGCCTCCCAGTCATCCTCGGCGAAGGGGTCCTCGATGGAGACAATGGGGTACTTCTCAGCAAGGCTCTTGTAGAGGTCAGCAAGCTGCTGGTAGGTGAGCCACTTGCTCTTGTCGGAGTCAGGGTTCTGTAGATAAGATGTTAGCATACGAATCCCGGCATAAACAACTGCATGCAATCACTTACCTTGAAGTCCAAGTCGTATTTCTTAGCATCCTCCTTGTAGAACTCGGAAGAGGCAACATCCATGGCAATCTTCATCTGCCCGGTGTATCCCGCCTGTTCAATAGCATCGGTAATGAGGTCAAGGGCCTCCTCGGCAGTCTGAATATCAGGAGCGACACCACCCTCGTCTCCGACGTTACCCGCAGACTGTCCGTACCTCTTCTTGGCAAGAGACTTAAGCTTCTGGTAGACCTCAGCTCCCTGTCTCATGGCCTCGGTGAAGCTCGGTGCATCACAGGGGACGATCATGAACTCCTGGAAAGCAAGACGACCTAGAAATCACATCGGTAAGTTGCGGAAGATCAAGGGAGTGCAGAATACAACTCAGATGTGCCATACCTCCAGCGTGGGAACCTATATTTCGGAATACCGGTTAGTATATTGACGAATTATGGCCGGGATTTTTAGGAATAGTAACTCACCTCCGTTAAGGACGTTCTGGAAGGGAACGGGAAGGACATACGGCTGCTTGGTACCGGCAAGCTCCGCAATGTGGGCGTAGAGCGGGATTTTCTGTTAATTCTCGGTTGTCTGTTAATCCGGCGGATCCCGATTTCGTTGAGGTTACACAATAAGATCCTCGGGAGTAAGATCCACGCCCAGAAAAAACAAAAAAGTACTTGGTAGTAGTAGCATGGGGAAAGGTGGGGTGGGGTGCTAAGTTGTGTCATACAACTATCAAATGCGGAACGTGGGGTAGCTCTTTCAGATCCATACAACGGTCTGGAGCAATGACACAACCCCCAGGAAACCGGCGATGGCAACGACGGCGAGTGATATTTCATCAAAAAGACAAAGAAATAAGAGAATACTGTAAAATACGAACCTTTTCCGCGGCACCGGCCTTAGCAACAGCCAAAGAAACACCGAGAACGGCGTTGGCACCAAGTTTGCCCTTGTTGGGGGTTCCGTCAAGCTTGATCAAGAACTCGTCGATGGCAGACTGGTTCTTAACATCAATGTTCTCGGCAATCAAGGCAGGAGCAATGATGTCGTTGACGTTGGAAACGGCCTTGAGGACACCCTTTCCGCCCCACTTGGACTTGTCACCGTCACGGAGCTCGACGGCCTCGTGCTGACCTGTATAGTTGAGAGAAGATGGTAAGTAACTAAACCGGTGTATGCTACCATACTAAACATCTAGAAACGAGAAGAGTGTTATATACCAGTTGAAGCACCAGAGGGGACGATGGCCCTGTGGAGGCCGGTCTCAGTGTGGACATCGACCTCGACGGTGGGGTTACCTAGAAGTAACAAACAAATATCAGTATCATATTTCAATAGAAATGTACAATGGTTTTTTTTATCATAGCAAGCACGGAAATCTATCTCTCAAGAAGATGGGGACAATAGCTACATACCACGAGAGTCGTAGACAGAGCGAGCGTGAATTTTGGTAATGGCCATGTTTGATGATGAGTCTGATGATGATGAGTCTGATGGGTCAAACGAGATGTTCTTCGCAAGGGAGTTTATAAAGAAATCGAGACAAGGTTCTCGGGGAATAGGGTAATAGCAAACTAAAACAGCTGAGGGGAAGAGGTCAAAAAAAAACGAACTGGGACTGCTGCGCCAATGGGAGTAGCAAGGGTACCAAACGTGCTTTATGCGTCTAGACTATAATGACAGAGATAAGGCCCGTTATTTTACGTAGGGTAGTAGGGTACCTAGACACGATTGACGATGGAGGGGCGAGGAACCAATAGAGATATTTAAATGGGAATTACGTTTTCTACATCTTACCACTCACAGATAAGGGAAAACGTGAGACATTTTTCAAGAGAAAATCACCAGACTTATGGTGATTATATTTATTTACAGATTCGGGCCGATAGTCAATATTTCCTTTTTATCATCCCCTGTGTTCCTGATGGCGATGGCGTTTTTCGATGGAGGAAGAATCGATGAGGTAATGGGGAGGAGGGGGCCAACTTAGTTGGGGGGATTTCGTTGAGGTTTCAACCTCATCTTCTGCAGCCTGCCCCTCCTTCTTGTCACGCCAAGAGGTTTTCACGTGATATGGCTACAGAAATCACTCCAGCAGGGTTGTTGGGCATGACACCGGCTGCTGTATGCGTGTTTGTTACCAAAGAGCCGGGTTTTTTGATCCGCAAATAATAATCAACCCAGGATAATCCCAATCGTAAGAATACACGGCCGCGGGAGAGCTTGAACACAGATCATCCAATGTGAATTATTTCATTCAAATGCTAACGGGAAGAAAAAAAAAAAAGCAAGGTTTGCTAAATAGAAAAGAAAAACAAATACAAAAAATAAAAAATTCGTCTATCAATCAATACAGTAATAATATTTATGGTTTTTCGATATTGCAAATCAGGTCCTGCCCATCGACCGAATCACCCTCCTTAACCTCCACATGCTTCACCTTTCCTGAGTGCGGCGCACTGATAACCATCTCCTGTTATATGTATTAGCGATCGTGATTTCGTAGATATGAGTGAGGAAGGAGTTTTCATACCATCTTCATTGCACTGAGAACGGCAACTGGGTCACCCTTCTTGACATCAGAGCCCATATGGACACGAAGCTCCACAACAACACCAGCCATTGGCGCACCAATTTGGCCAGGGTCACTGGGGTTAGCCTTGGGACGGCTCAAGTTCTCGACAGCTGCATTTACTGTTAGTGATGTTTATAGTAGTTTATATATCTGGGTGACACTCACCAGCTCTCTTGTCATCGACGGTGACCTGTCTGACTTCACCGTTCATCTCGAAGAAAACCTCTCTCTGTCCGGTCTGCTCGGACAAAGGACCAACAGCAAGAAGCTTCAAGATCAAGGTCTTACCCTTCTCAATCTCGACGTGGAACTCCTCGTTGATGACCGGGCTAGCCAAGAAGTACCTGGTAGGAAGGACACTCAAATCACCATACTTCTGTGTGAACTCCTTGTAGTCCGCAAAGACCTTGGGGTACATGTTGTGACTGGCAACATCGCACTCTGAAGCGAATCCCCACTTAGCCTCGAGATCTTGCTTGACCTTGGCAAGTTCGACTGGTGGTAGTGACTTTCCAGGGCGCTCGGTGAGCTTCTTGCGTTGGTTACGGAGCGCATTGGTGCGAAGAGGTTCCGGGAAACCACCGTACGGCTGTCCCATAAGTCCCTCAAAGAAATCAAGAACAGATCCGGGGAAGTCAAGGGTCTCAGCCTTCTCAATAACTTGCTCGTAGTTGAGCTTGTTGGAAACCATGAATTGAGCAAGATCACCAACGACCTTTGATGTAGGAGTGACCTTTACAATATCTCCAAGAAGAGCGTTTGCCTGGGTGTATGCCTTCTTGGTCTCAGCCCACAATGTTCCCAATCCAAGCTGGCTTGCCTGGAAGATAAGGTTGGTCAATTGACCACCAGGGATTTCGTGTACGTAGACCTCGGGATCCGGTCCAGTCAACCCAGCCTCGAAGCAAGAGTAGAGAAGACGGAGTTGAGCCCAGTATCCATCAATGGCACGGATATGCTCAATGTTAAGGCGTGGGTCTTCCTCTGATGCCTCCAGGGACGCAAGCAAAGCACCAACGCTGGGCTGCGAGGTCATACCAGACAAGGAGTCAGTGGCACAATCCACAGCATCGGCACCAGCCTTAGCACAAGCAGCCATAGAGGCAACACCAGTACCGGCTGAGTCGTGAGTGTGGACATGGATAGGAAGGTCAGGGTACTTCTTGCGGATGCTCCCGATCAAGAGAGTAGCAGCTGCGGGCTTCATGACACCAGCCATATCCTTGATACCAAGGATGTGAGTACCCATAGCAACAATCTTGTCTGCGAGACTCATGTAGTACTCGAGGTTGTACTTCTTCTTGGGGTTAAGCATGTCTCCACTGTAACAGATGGTAGCTTCAACGACACCACCAGCCTTCTTGACAGCTTTCACACCAACCTCAAGCTGGTCAAGGTCGTTAAGGGCGTCAAAGACACGGAAAATATCGACACCGTTTCTCTTTGCTTGCTCACAGAAGTGATCAATTGCGTTATCGGGGAGCCTTGGAGCTATCAGTATTTATATCAATAAGTAATCATGATTTGGGACTTACGAAGAGTATGCAACACCGTTGGCACCACGCAACAACATCTGGAAGGGAATGTTGGGCACAAGCTTCCTCAATTTCCTAAGTCTGTCCCATGGGTCTTCGTACAAAAACCTCATGGCCACATCAAAGGTGGCGCCTCCCCAACATTCCAGAGCAAAGGCATTGGAGTAGGCATAGCTGGTGTGCTTGGCAATGTTCACCAAATCAGTAGTCCTGACTCTGGTAGCCAAGAGAGACTGATGGGCATCACGCCATGTAGTGTCCATGATCAAGGTTCCCTTGTTCTGGCGAACCGCCTTCGCGAAAGCAGCTGGACCATCCTTGACCAAGATGTTACGCCAACCAGCCTGGCAAGGGTAGGTAACATCGATGGTCTTTCCGGCATCGTCGAGAAGAGTGGGCAAGACAATTTCTCCCTTGAATTTGGGCTCGCCAACTTGTCCCTTGATGCTGCTGCCGTTGACGGCAACGTCTCCGAGGTATGCCAAAAGCTTCTGAGCACGGTTCTGAGAGGTCATGAGAGCAAATAGCTCTGGAGTGTCATCGATGAAAGTGGTCCAGCAGTTTCCGGAAATGAAGGTATCGTGTGTAAGCAATGAAGCCAGGAAGGGGATGTTGGTCTTGACACCACGGATTCTGAACTCGACAAGGGCACGCAACATCTTTCTTCTGGCGATTTCATATGTGGAACCATGGCAGGTACATTTGACCAACATGGAGTCGTAGTGGGGAGTAATAATGGCACCAGAGAAACCGTTACCACCATCGAGACGAACACCGTTACCACCAGCTGAGCGGTAAACTTCAATCTTACCAGTGTCAGGCTGGAAACCCTTAGCAGGGTCTTCAGTAGTGACACGGCACTGAATGGCATAACCACGAGTAGAGATACGGTCCTGTGTGAGGCCGAGCTGCTCCAATGAGGCACCAGCGGCGATCTGGATCTGAGCGGCAACAATGTCGATACCAGTAATTTCTTCGGTGATTGTGTGCTCGACTTGACTGTTCAAAAGTGTTAGAACTTGTAAGGTAGCTACCGAGATAGTTTCCTGGGTCTTACATTCTAGGGTTGATCTCAATGAAGTAGTATCTGTTCTGCTGGTCGACAAGGAACTCCGCGGTACCGGCATTACGGTAGTTTACTGACTTCGCCAAACGGACAGCATCGTTCAAGATAGCCTCTCTAACTTCCTGAGGTAAGTCCTTCGCAGGAGCAATTTCGACGACCTTTTGGTGTCTTCTTTGGACACTGCAGTCACGCTCGTACAAGTGAACAACATTTCCGAAGTTGTCTCCAAGCAATTGGACTTCAATGTGCTTGGGGCGGTCGAGGAATCGCTCAATGAAGACTGTTCCGTTACCAAAAGCGGACAGTGCTCTTGATAGTTTAGGGTTAGTAACAAATATTCACTAGATGTAGATCCGCCACTAGAACTTACTCGGATGATGCTCTGGTGAAAGCATCCTTAATGCTGTCACCCTCCCTCACAACTCTCATACCTCTTCCACCACCACCAAATGCCGCCTTGATGATAACCGGGTATCCGTACTTCTCAACGAATGCTACTGCTTCCTCGACCTTATCAACCGGTCCTGGGGTTCCTGGAACAACAGGAACATTGCATTTCATTGCAAGAGTACGAGCAGAGACCTTGTCACCCAGCCCATCAATGACTTCGGGGGTAGGTCCAATGAACTTGAAGTCTCATGTTAGGGCTTGAACTCCAGCTATATGGGCTATAATTACTTACGATCATACCGGCCTTCTCGACCTTGCGAGCAAACTCGGCGTTCTCAGAAAGGAAACCATAACCGGGATGGATCATGTTCACTCCATGGGTAACAGCAATCTTAATAATCTCATCGATCGCCAGATATGCCTGTACGGGGGTGTACTGTCCCCTCGCACCAATAGCATAAGCTTCATCCGCCTCTGGAATTCGGGTAAACGCCCTGATTAGCCTTTATCTTTGTGTAACCACGGATCTTGAAGACTTTACTTTGACGGTGCATGCTAAGACGATCCTCATGGCTGTAGACAGCAACAGTAAGAAGTGACAACTCGTGGGCCTGCACAATATCACATTAGTACTTGTATCACTTTGGGTAAATCGCAAGATAACAATGCAGACTTACAGTTCTGAAAATCTATATATCAAGCACACAACAACGTCAGTAAACCAGATCTAACCAATAAACGTCCCACGTGCTCAAAGATGTTGCAGTATATACCCGAATAGCTATCAAATTAACAAGTCAGTATCCACTATTACAGATAAGAACCCAATAGTAAGAAAGGTGACTCATACGAATTTCACCACGGTTTGCAACTTATTACCACGAAACCATTCTGTCAGCATCTCTGGTTGCTTCCTATCAAAAGAGCGAGTCAAACAAACCCAAAATCTTGTTCACTTGCATAATTGTTGAGTTCGCACGGAGACGGTGAACTGTCCTCACCGTCGACGAGTCCGCCGAATCCTCAAAGACCGCATTGTAATCGGGGGAAGATTGCTGTTCCATCTTGCGCTGCTATCCCTAGTAACTAGGCGCTTTGAAAATGGCAGTAACAAAGATCAAGAAGAACTCGGCGTAGGAGAGAGATGGATTACTGTTTCTAACCTACGAAGATGGGGTGAAGGAGGGTGTATGAAGAGGAGGAGAGGGAAGAAGTGGGGATGAAAAACAAGGTGGAGGTGGGGCTCTCGGCGATATGTACTATGTAATGGCTTTTTTTTTCTCACTGTATTTTCCCGCGTAAGTCTATGGAGGGGGCGGTGAATTCAAACAAGCTGGGGTTCATGGAACTACAATTGTGCCGCTCCTTTCTCTTTCTTACCTGGCGGGGTGAGATTCTTGGAGGGGGGTTGGAGGGGTAAATCGATGATGTCGCTAATGCGGCGGCGGTGCCCCCAAAAACGACCCGAGTCCTTATCAGTTGAGACTACTACTCTTTGCAATTACAATCATCCTTCTAGCCTAGCCCCACCCTCGTGTGCTCTGTGTCTTGTCCCTCCAGGCACGTCTTCTCATCGTAGGATCATGATCCATATGGCTTTTTCCTGTGCTACCAGGAAGGAGCTCTATCTCACGGCACCAACAGTTCCCCGGCAAATCATAATGCAATGCACATGTCGCGCGTACGGTAGCCGTATTGTGGAAGCAGATGTTTCATCTGCCTATCGACTGTAGAAAGGACATCCCAGATCCCATAATCTTTACGCACTCCGCTTTCGATCTTGTTACCGCGAACTGGGACAGAGTTAAACATGGGTATTACCCAGTAACCTCGGGCGGACATCGGGCTCAGGTCGGTCTATTCGAATTAATAACCGAATAAAGACCTCTCTTTATCTCGTGAATAGGCACTCGTGAAGATGAGCTCTACCGGAAACTCTCCGGGACCCTTTTGATAGGGGCTTGTTTCTGGTTAGAGCAGAGCGAATTGTCGTTTCCCCACGTCCTCCCGCGCAAATCGCAGATTCTTCGCGGGAGATGGATGTAAATATGAGATGGATGGGGTCACCGTGCTATGTAGGTGTTTCAGACGGTACCTAGTGCGGGGGGAAAAGCAACTCTTCTGATCATGCAAGTGCCGCTCAAAAAAAAAAAAATTGGACCAAGCGATTTTGGTATCGACACACCGTGTTTATGTCGTTTATGACTTAGGATGCCGTTCATACTTTGTGGCTTTACCACTATCGACGATCGTGAGGAGATAACTCTCCGTAATAGTAACTACTACTTAGCTTGCCAATGACATTTACCTTTTGTATAACCCCGATGTTTAGTGATCATCGTGTTCAAATTTACTTCGTTACAGACATACGGGCATAAATAAGATTCATCGAGTGGGGGGAAGCGCTGAAGACGAACGAATAGAAACAAGATCGCGCAAAACTAGTACTACAGGTGAAAAAAATTATGAGCAACCCACACTTAGCTATAGGTGACGAAAAATGAAAACCCTTAGAAGACCAAAAAAAGGAAATTTGACATTGAATACCCTTCCTTCCTCTTTCCCTTGCATCTCCCCCCCCCCCTTTTTAAAAAAAAAAAAAACACTTCCTTTTGTCCCAGAAGCCTTCCCCCCCAAATACTAGAGAGGGATATACAGAGAAGAATAAAACAACATCTCTGACTTTCTAATATTGCTTCATAAGGCATGTAATCTAAAAACCCGAGTATCCAGTAGCCTGCGGCGCGATCCCATTAGAGTACTGCATCGGACCCCCAGGACCGGCTGTCAACATCAACCGGTTGCCCAGAAGAATGGGGGTATTGTCTTCATCTCGTTGTTGGGTAACCTCCTTGGCTTTACGCTCTTCGTTATCTTTTTCCAAGGTAGAAATCTTCACGGATTGCTGCCTCATGGCGTTGATCATGAAGGGCTGTGAAGTTAGCATCGTGGCTTATATCCTGAGCTAAAGGTATTTTACCATAGTGTAATCATTAAGGCCATGGCGCCATGAAATTTCCATAACAACGTCGAGCTGGATAAGATCGTAACAGGCATAAAGCATTCCAACGTAACACTCGCGACTACCAATATCAACGAACTAGTAGACACCCAAATTAGTAACTGCAGGCGAGCGCCAAGGTAAATTTATTGCTTACGTAACGAAGCAGCTCCTCAACAACATCCTCCTTGCCTGATACAGCAGCTGTCTCGATGGCATCCTTGAATAGTCTGTCTTGCTTGGACAAGGCAATTGACTGGCTCCATCGCTTTTGTTTACGATAGATACTGGCAGCAATCTGTCTGAAAAAGACAAGTCTAATCGAAGTTAGTACTCGGGTCCTCAAACAATGTATGACCAAAACTTACTCATGTGTCTCGAGGCGTTTGGCAAGTTCTAAGGGATCATAGTTGTCATAGTTTTCAACAGAGTCTCTAAGAGTCTTGTAATCCTCCTCCTCGATAAGAAGGTCGTTAATGGCGTTGTTGACGATTTTGTTATTCTGTGACTGTACGCTGATGAGGAATGGCTTAATGAGTGGGATGTTGTCCGACTTTTCGAACATGCGGACAACACTGGTAATTTGTTAGCTTAATGACAATCGCGATTTCACCGAATAAGCCATACCGAGTAACATCAATGCGCTGTGTAAGCACAGCCAAAAGATCTGTAAGCAAAGAAGGCTGCTCCTGGAGGTAAAAGTTTAGAGCGCGGTAGTAAATCTCCAAATTGGCAACCTTGACAACGATGTCTTTGAAAGACTGATGTTCCCAGGAATCAGCTGCCCTCTCCATCATCGCCAATGCAGCGTTATCCCACTCATCGTAGCTAGCAATTATTAGTCAAAGAAGCTAGACAAAGGCTTAAGAGAAGACATACTGGCAATACAAGAAGATGAGCTCAGGCCAAAGGTGAGCTTGTTCGCACGCGCGGATCATCTTAGGAATATTGATACGGCCCCAGAAGAGCTTCAAGTGCTCCATGACACGATCAGGGTGGTATTTTGACAGAGCAATGCCAAGTTCGGTGAACATTCCCTTCAAAAAAGTCAGACAAAAAACGCATTACTAAATTTGTGTTCGGATTGATATGTACCATGTGTGCACGTTCAAGTCCTAGCCCAGCCTCGAGGAGATTGATCAATTCATCGAAGTAGCCGTTACGCTCATACTGCTTAACAAGGTCTTGCAATTCCTCTGCGTGAACAATCAAGTTCAAACCACAGATTTGCGCCAAACGGAACTCTTTCTTTGCCACACATGCTTCGTTGACCTGTTTCCATACTTTGGTGCTGTTGGCCTTACGAGCACATTCGACAGCATTCTGGTACTCTTCCAGGAATACGAGTGTAGTCTAAAATTATCAGTGGAAATCACTAAGAAGATAAAAAGGACTACTGACCGCCAACTTGGCCCAATTTGAGATGCTAGAGAAGAAGATCTTGGCTGCTTGATGAAGACCCTCCTCATATGCTCGGTCACCAGCTTCTTCAACATTGGCAACATTGGGCCCATTCAAGAAATCTTCTAAATCAGAAAGCTTGTCAACACGGGCAAGGGACAGCGCCAAACTACTGTCAACCTCTGGCTCTCTCAAAGTTTTACGGCACATGTGAAGATATTTGATGAGTTCTTCGTTCTTGCCAGCATGGCCGGCAATTTCGATTACTTCTGAGTGATTTCCGGGATCGTTGGCACGGATATAAGACTCAATGGAGTCTGAAACACGCAGTCCATCAAGTTGTGCTTTACCAAGACGGCTCCAAACCTCGGGAAGATCGACTTTGTCGGCGTATGCATAAGCGCGGTCAATGCTGACAATGTATTCGATAAGGACATTAACCGCTTCACTGTGTGCATCAACCTTCTTGAAGACTTCGAACGCCTCCTCATACAGGTTGTTTTGGATACAAATCTGAGCAACATCAGGCCCATCATAATTGGTAAGACGGTGGATGTAGTCCATGACTCTAGCCTTGTCAGCCTTGACAGCAGTAAGAATCAAGAGGTTTTGAAGACTGCTATTATCGCTGAATGGTGAGGGTTCAAGAATGATCTTCTCCAAAAGCTCGATAAGCTCTGTTGGTAAGTCGAATTTCAAGAAACATTGCACTGCAACGGAAACGTCTTCAGGATCAGTAGACTCTGGTACAGCAGTTGCAACCACTTGATCCACGAGTGACCGGCGGTGGATGTTATTCTGACTCAAGACGAAACCCCACAACTCAGCATCACGTCGCTTGACAAGGTAACGAGCTTGCTGTTTGAACATGGAGTTCTCGTTGGTGATTTTAACTAACTCCACATCATTCGACCCTTTCTGGTATGCGATGAATGCTAGGTACGGATCCCTTTTCTCGCAGTATTTACCAACCACGAGCGTATCATAAAAGTCGTTTTCCTTCAAGAATTTCTCGGGGTTGTTATTACTATCGATGTAAATCTTGGCCAACGCATTGAAAACGGCAGGCTGTTGGTTTCCGCTGTTCAATGATTCTTCGAGGAAAGGCAGTAGAAGTTTGAGACGATTTCTTCGTTCAACCTCGGCAACAAGCTCATCAATAGGGATTGCCGAGCTCTGAACAGAGCCCAACAGACTCTTAATGATCGACTCATCACAGTCCACATCCAACAGTCCACCGACGACTGCAGGTGTCCTTGCAGGGTTGACCCTCTGCACGTAAACTTCAATCGACTTGAACTGCTGGTTCTGGTAAAGATACAAAACCAACTCATGGATGAAGTTGTATCGGTCACAAACAATGATCAAAGGCAGCTGTTCAGCCAATTTTGCCTCCTTCAGGAAGTTCTTGACCTTCTCGGGGTTATAAAACCGACTGTCACGACAAATGCGCTCCACCTCGCTGAATTGCCCACATCTAGTAGCGGCTTGGATGTACTTGAAGTGGACATCGGCGTCTTCGCTGAGGTTCACAATACTTCCAAGATAATAGTAGAGACCCTCAAATGTCTTGAAGCTTTCAAACAAATCGATCAAGCGGTGGGGTCCAAGCAAATCGGAATATTTGGTAGCCACTTGAATGACAACTTGGAGATTTTGACGGATGTTTGCCCGCAACATCTCACTCAAGCAATCCAGGGATTGCTCCAGAGACATGCGCCCAAAGTACTCAACAATGAACTCGGGTGGGATTCCGTTGTTGTCACGAAGAACCCGCTTGACGGCGGCGGGATCTTCATAATGCTCCAAAGCCTACAGTCTATCGTGTTAGAAATCAAAAACGATAAATAAATATTATAACAAATAAAATAGCACCGTACCCTTTGGAAGAGCCCGGCGTTCTCGCAAAGTTGAGCAATCTTTTGGCGATCATAGTGACTGAACATGTTGTTCAAGAGGATAGCATCAGCTACTTGAGGCGCATGCATCAAGTTCATTTCAAGAAGGCGTGTCTGTTGAGCAGCATGTTCCGGTTTGTTTCCATCCAAGGCAGATAACAGGAAAGCCGTGGCCTGTTGGATCATGTTCTGGGAAAGGAAAATATCAACAACACGGTCAATATCAACTAAGGAACCACCCTGGTGACTGGCGAGCTGAGTTGCAAAATCAGCTCCCTTCTCTGGGTTGATGCGGACCATGTTCTCAAGAAGAGACATGTAGTTAGGGGTGTATCCAACACTCTGCGCATAGGGCAGGATTTTGTCGAACTGACCGGTTTCAGCAAGGCACGCAATAACCTTCTGCGGAGCGTTAGAGCGTTGGTATACGCTCAGCGCCAAGTTAAGATCATGCAACTTGACAATATCTCCCAACTCCTCCGTGCACTCCAGCTTATTCTCCTTCAGCCATTTCTCTAACAAATGTTTCCTGTTTTGTGCCAAGACTGGCTTGACCAACTCGATTGTCTCATATTTATTCAAAGTGGTCTTGTCTAGCAACATACCGAAATACTGGAGAATAACAGATAGTTGGCCAGGAGGTGCTGGGACTTTTTTAAACTGTTCAATTGTTTGGGGGGTACGAAGGAATCCTCGGGGTGAATTCGCCGCAACCTTCGCCGCCTCAATGAAATTCTGCTGGTCCATGAGGGTCTGGAATTGCTTCTGGTAAAGGTCATCAGCGCCCTTGAGACCAGCCCGGGAAGCAAGCTTAATGGCCAGGGCCGAGTTTGCGGGGTTCTCAAGTAGATAGTCAATGATATGGTTTTCGTCCACACTGACAGACAAGACCTGTCCCTTCCTGTTGACACCGATGATACCGGATGTGGCATCGTGAGGGGCTGTGATAAAGATCGTGTCGCTGGAGATTCGGTTCATGAAGATACATGTTCCTGTCTCTAGGTCGTAAAGATGGATAAATCCATACTTGGTGACAAGGTAAATGATTGAAAACCTTGGCGAAACCTGCATTGCAACTGGGAAATCATTCACAGCTTCAGCAGGGAAGTATACGTCGACCGCCTTCTTCTGGAATACCGGGTTGTTGGGCGGGTGATCGACTTCGACGACATGTAGCTTGGCTCCCTGAGCTGTTCTAACCGCGAAGGTGAAAAGTTTTGTGTCGGCCGGAGCTCCCTCAAGACGAAGCTCAGCAAATACGGCGGCGTGACCCTCAATAGCCTGACTGATACCTCTATCCCGCGAGTAAAGCTGCATATTTCCAACCACGCGGCCTTGCTGCTGAGAGATACCAACGACAACCATCCATTTCTCATCCGAATTGACACGATAGTTGATAATTTGACAGCTCTAACGCAGATCATAAGCTCTCGAGCCTTACAAAGCTTCAATTACGGGGAACAACTTACGTTCAAGTTTGAGTGTCGCTCGAACACCTTTACCGGGGTTGCCTGTGTAGGGTCCATTACATCCCAGTGATAGACAGCACCATCAGTAACAAGACCCAAGCTCTTCTCGCTGATCCACTTCCAAAACACGACATCTTCGTTCATAGTGTGTGACTTGATTTTCTCCTTAGCTTCCAGGTTGAAGATCTGGAGTGTCCGTTGGGCCTTAAGAGCGATGATCTTATTGGTCCAGTGCATAATGGCACTGTCGGCCTTAATAGTCCGCCTAATCACTTCGTTACCATTGTGAAGATCGACTATCACCACTTGAGCGGCGGCTTCGTCGCTTTTCTCGCGGACACAGATAAAGTGATCGCTCTCTAAGGTCTACACCTCGCGATAACAAAATTAGCTACTTAACCAATGCCAGATAGAGGTATTTAAGAAAAAAACGAGAAGAAAAAAAAAAAAGGGAAAGTGGAAAAGTCTCACAGTTGTACTAAAACTTATCGACGCTTGCTGATAAATTTATCATGTTAGTGTAATGCCATCTAAAAATGCATAAGGTATGAAGTTGCGTACTTGGATATCGAGCTGTGTGAGCTGTTGTAGCGAAGATTGATTAGCATTTGACCCCGCAATCAGAAAATGATCAAACTTACAGAAAGGAGCTCTGTGAAGGAAATGGGTAGAGGCGCCATGATTTCTTAGAATCTAGAGCGCCGGGGCTCATCCACGAACGGTGAAAAGGAGGTTGAGTAAATTATCGAGCAATAAAAGAGCAAGCAAGAGAAGATATGAATGCAAATCAAATTAGATGCAAGGTGGTGGAAAGAGTGAGGGAGGCTGTGGGGAGATGGAATGAAGGGTTGGGTATTAACCGGAGATGGATGAATATAGTTGTCGATGGTGGAGATGCCGTTCGGTAGTGTTGGCCTTGCTGATCCGGAGAGGTGTCGTTTGGTTTGGGCTCAGAGGTGAAGTCCGAAGTCTACGCCTATGTGCGAAACCCAGGGCACAAGAAATCTCCACGTGTTCTGCAGAACCACCAACTCCACCAATTGAAATTGGCTACTGCGGCGTTTCGAATAACTGTTAAGTCCTTTACTTCAGATGAAAACGACCTCGAATATTCAATCAATCGCAGAGTTTTGTGGAATTTCAATATAACCCTAACCCATCATCATAGCTAAAATAGCTCATCGATTGAAACAGATATAAATAAGTAGGTAGATAAAGTTGATACGTCTTCGATCAATCTTGAACTCAAATAACCTTTTTACAACTTTCGATAATATTTTGACAAACCCTACAGCTACCATGATTTGATTAGCACAGTTCTATCGAGAAAGGTGAAACTTGCAGAGCTCAAAGTAAGGGGATAGGTACCAAGAATCCAATTCCTTGGCCTGAGTCGCTTAATCGCATAAAAACCGATCAACCTAGGTATCATGGCATCAAAGCAATCTATCTCAGACCTTGCAATGAGTGAGGGTCAACCAACTTAGATCTTCCCAAGTCCAATCGAGCAGGATCAATTGAACGCATCATCACACCCTTCCGAACATATAGGTAAAGTCTAGGGCTAAGTTACCCCAGCGCGGCCCGCGACTAATGATGGGCACGAAACCGGACACCTCCATACCTAACGAGACGAGCCCGAGCCTAGGATGAGACGAGACATCTCGAGACCTGCGAGTGATGGTAAATGATGCAAACCATTAAAATAAGCTTGGCGCGGTCCTCAATTGGCCAAAAACTTTTGTTCCAGATCTCACAGAAAATAAAGCGCAAATTCCTAACTTAATTAGATCAAGTTCTGTCTATCTAGGTCTGGAAACTTATCTCAGGTCTCGAGGCTTTCAAGATTGTGATACGACGAGCCTAGGTCCAAATGGGTCTCGCCTTGTCCCACGCCCACCATTACCCAAGAGGCAGAGGCTCCGGTGAATGCCTCGGGCCAGTCCGAGTTTTACCCTCTCACAAGACCGATAAAACTCGATACAGCACGCCCTCCTCGTCTAGAAGCACGTATATACTATATATAGCTATATAGCTTAAGAGCTCACCACCCAGAAAACCGAAAAACACCGAAAGCAATGCAAAGCTATCTTAATAGCTAGTACATATTATCATACAGGACAGCTCCCTTTGGACGAATATTCCTATCATATCCTTTGCCCGATCGGGTTTTTCAAAAGGTTCTCAAAACATCGAGACCTCGAGGCAGCCCCCACGAGGCAGATCAAGGCAGCTCGATACACATCCTTTTACTCAACTTGAGGTTACTCGAGGAACCACCGAAATTAGTTTAAAGACATTTTTATATCTACAATCGTCGTATAGCTAATACATCCACTGTCTTGCTGGGTCCAGTAATTCAGAACTTTATTCTTTGACACACCTTACACCTACCTCAATGGCTACTAAACACAATTAATCTGGTACATCAACTAGCCATATCTATGGCGGACATGAAAAATCGAACCCCAACAAAGAACAGGGAACACATTCTTAGCTATAGCTAGTTAGCCCCGGGCCGACAATCGTGGTAAAGTTGCTAGGTATCACGTTCAAGAGACCACCGCTAGCCCTCACGCTCTGCATATTGATGCTTTGAGATATTTATGGATCTAGTGGATACAATTTCCGTCTCTTGAAGGGAATTGAACCGTCAATTACACGGTCCTCCTCATCGCCACTAAAGACTCGATCTGATACGGACAGTCTTCTCTAGATTTTACCCCTCGTGGCACGAAACTAAGCTCAAGTTTTGAGAGCTTTTATCCTACGAAGCTTTAGGTCTCAGCAGCCATGTCTCAATATCTGTCGCAGTTCCGTGGTCACGAGCCCACAGCACAAATACAGGCTTCAGTTTATACATCCCAAAATCTCTACGAAGCTCTATAAGCAAATTTACTATGGTGCAGACACACCATATAATAAAAATTACAGTTTAGGAAATGCTCATAGTTTGAAACATGGTTGAGACACAGTCCGAGCTGCGTTTACTAACATTAGTAGATGATCCGGATCCACGGCAATTATTATGGTACGTCTCGTGTCTTCAATGCCTTCTACCTTCAATTCATCAATCAATAACTACATAATTCAATTCAAATTATACGGCCGGCCCTATTCGCGATCCCTGTTCGCCAAGTCTCACCCAAACCCCACGAGACCATGACTCTTATATTATCAATATATACACGACGCCCCCTTTACCTTGAGGTCGCGGACCATCAACTACCCCGCTAGAATTTCGAGAATAGCAGCTGTCTGGACAAGATTCCGCACGAAGATCGCGGCAGATGATGTCACCGCGGAGAACATCAAAACATTTTTCAAAACGCCATAGACGGCACAGATGCTTATGAGGATGCGCGAGAACGCACAGTGAACGGCGCGCCTATCTTCACTAACAATTCTAGGAGAATCTAATGGTGGTGGTATGAGTATCCGCGACATGATAAATTGAATTATGACGTGAGACACTCTTGGCGGGGAGTGGGGGGGCCGTAGGGTGCAACAACTAATATAATAACGCGTTAAGGTCAAAATGAGGACAGAATATGTGAAGAATATCACCAAACAAAGCATATAGATACGATTCTCTGTATCAAATAAAGACTTCTGCTGTCTTGACTTTCTTAATTTCGTCGATTCCTTCTCGCAATCAAGGAAAGCACCATACCCCGTGAAGGCCTCTATGTGGTATGTTCTCGTGTTGTAATATTATGAAGAAAAGGAGTAAAGTTCAGTACTACTAAATCTGGAATCTAGATCTAGATACCCGCCCACGGCCCACCGATTGGCTAATCGCCCAACCTATCGTTTTCAATTTGCAAAGTTACCCGTTCAGCTACCGCGGGGTTCTCCTACATGAATAGGGCACGCTGCGGCCCGCTACGTCTCTCATAAACCGCTGACACGCAAAGCTTCATCACAGCTATATATAAGCTGGCTACCTAACGATATTTGAAATATATCCTATAGTTAGTTGGGGAGAGCCTGGCTATCATACACAAACAGGACCATCGATCACGGTCGCAGTGAGCCAGTTATGGACGTTCCGAATTCGTTTGGGGGGGGGGGGATAAGCTTATATAGGTATAGAATGTTTATTGTTGGGCCAGAGTAAAGTCGAGTGATAATTGATGACACTGGCCATTCCAGACATTCCAGAAAATATTTTTTTGTTTAATTCATTAATTGCATGCCCAAGAAGAAATCAACTTAGTCGGAACTTTCTGAACCCCCCCGCGAGTGGGAGAGAATACTATCTCTACTATACTACCTTATCTATGTAGTTTTCTAATCATAATACTACATCATACTCTCCTTGTATATATCACCAATTCATGAGAGATGAATCACCGTTACTTATAGACTATAGCTTTGATTGGAACGAAACGAGTCAATGCCTAGCCTAGCTAACGAATCTTTCCTGTCTCGTCTTATAGGTACTCATCGTTGCTTCTATATTAATGTAGCCTATTTTACCACAGCTCCTCCTTGTTTATCCAAGCTCATTGCAATAAGCTCAAAATTTCTTTGAAGGTACCCTTCAAACGTATTGTGGGCACCACAAGTAAGCGGGCATTCACATTACAACCAAAATTTGTATGGGAATACCACTTAAAACACTAATTACTCCATAACCACGCGGGTCTAGAACAGGAGAATGTTAGATATAGATTCCCCGGTATTGGTGGTATCTGCAGCTCAAATGTTTTTTTGAGAGTGCTACTTTGAAATTTTGGCCTTGGTAGGTGGTTTGTGTGGTTACTATATATTTCCATGTTCGGCTACTTGGGGTAACGTGCAATACCCCCTCCGTCTTGATAAAAACACTTATATCGGGTGTCGGGGTGTGTGTGGCTGGCGGTGGGTGTTCGTGGCTGCAGCAGCTGGAATGCAGCCATTTGTTTCTATTATTTTAATTTCAGATGCACTGGCCTATTCACAAGCGCTACTTATCTAGCCGATACCTTAGAATTAGTTTTATCAACTCCTCGATGCCAGAGGGAAATCTACCCATCTTAGTTCTCGTTTGTAGCTATAGGCTAGGTGGAGGTGATATATCTACACGCATTACCTACTCCATTTAAAACAAGCAATAGAATGAATTGTTGCATTGGACTAGAGATAAAATACATCTGAATTGAGATTTGTGAAGTAACTTCTCATATCCGGGGCCCTTTGTCAGTTTGTAGTTCAAGTACAAGTAAGGATTAGCTTTTAACTCTAGTTAGATCAGAACACTGTATGATACATGTAAGCTAGACGTAGGAACACAGTATGAAGTAGCTAATGAAGACAACGTGTCAATAACTAGGACTGTATATATAGTAGGGAAGGGATATAATATAGAGCACCATCATTACTTCACTTATAATTACACCTGAGGTCTTTAGACTGTGCATATTTATCTGTCCTCACAGGTAACAGTAATATATGCCACAGTCAGTAGGATGATACATATATAGCAATGTCAATTAATGGTAATACATCTCTTCCGAATACCAAAGACACAGTAGCTCAGCGAACGGCTTGGCCCGTTGGGAGGTGCAGATGAGTCGAAATAGCTGTCCCCCCCCCCCCCCCCCCACCCAAACCGGCGCGCCCTCGAAAACAAGAAAAGAAGAAAAACTGGCATTAACTGACAACAAATCATAAGATTTTTAGATATTAGATGGCATCGCAATTACGACCTAAGAGATTGATGCAATCAGGCCAGTGCGGGATCGAGTGATCCCCCATGACTCCAATTGCTTCCCAACATCACCGCGCGTCGCGGGGGAAACTACCGTACAAGTACTCTAGTCACTCACTTCTGCGCCTACCTAAATACTAACACCGAAAACTTTCTCTGACCCCGGGTGCAAAGGAAAAAAGAAAAAAGAATGGAGGTTTACGTTATGACATGTTCTGCTCACCTTGTCCACCGCCAACGACAAGACATTAACTAACGTTTCGGCCGAGCTCGACAATTCGGCCGGAGAGTCTGCACTTGTTTGTACTGCGTGACAAAGTTTATATCGCCACGGCCGAGCATTTAGGTTTTATTGAGTTACTCTACTCCCATGACGAATCCTGACCGTGAGGTCGGCGCCCGCTTTCAATCAATGGCTACATACACGTAGGATGAATGCAGTTCTACATACGCGGCCTTGAGAAGTTGATCAGGACCTTAACTTAAATCTCGAAACGCGCGTATGTGCCTGGAGTCTACATAGAGCACACAACACGAAAACAGCCACCCAAGAAGCCCAAGAAGCCCAAGAAGAAGAAGAAGAAGAAGAAGAAGAAAGAAGCCCAACGCCGCAAGCAAAAACAGCCACCCCAAGAAGGACCTTCCCAAGCGCTCACCCACAAGTTACAACCAACCCACGCACACAGCACCCCACAAAAGCTAACTCACGATAGCACGGGTGTCCCAACGCGACCCAGAACCAGAGAACACTTATCGTGACACATGCCAAGGGGGTTGGCGCACCATGCCAATCCGGCTAGTCTCGCTCTCCAGGTGTGCGGAGGAGGGTCCGAAGTTAAGGGTGTTTGTTATTTTTGGATTCAGCCGCGGTTGTTGCCAGTTGGTGTGGGTGGGTGGCCAGTCATGCACGAAGGATGGTTTGGGTCCAGGGTGGATTGATCCGGGCCGCTGCTGCAGGAGAGCCTTGGAAGGGGTAAAGTGCTGATCGCGGAATAACTTCACTTCACTAAGAGAGAAGACAAAAAATAGAGGTAATTAGGGCATTGTATTTCTAAGAAGTATTACACCCGACATCAAGACCATTAAACCCATCCATCCACATCCACATCCAATCCGATGCTATTTTCCCCATTACAGTACGCAGGCCAAAGTAGCTGTAAAAAAAAAACCGAACCCAGAAAAAAATTATAAAAAAAGAAGAAAAAACCCCCTTTAAAATTGAACACGAAGGAATTTTTATTTCACAAAAAAAGACGCCAGCAGTGACAAACGGACCCACGGATCTCCTCCCCAGCTTTTCTCGTCAGATTGGTGTTAGGTTGATTTACAAGACCTATGATAATGATAATGATAAGCTTTTGCTCCTTCTTGGCTACTAAGACGATAGAGGGAATTTCTTACCAAGACAAGACCAGCGGCGACAACGGCTCCCAACATACCGCCGGAGACGGCGTTGTTGAAGGCAGAACCAGTCTCTGGGTTAGCGGTGGGGGTGGCAGAGGTTGTAGCGTTGGTAGAGCTGTATTGATGTTAGAAAATCTGATACTCTCGAGACGATGTTTTTCTCTAGAAGAAAACTTACTTTGAACCACCAGTGACGGTAGCGTTCTGGGCAGCAGCAGAGGCCACGAGAGCGGCAAGGGCAACGGCGACGATGTTGAACTGCATTTTGATTTGTGTTTGGGTTTTTGGGTTGGTCTTTTAGGGTGGTAGTGTTGAGGTGAGGTGAAGGTGAGTGGTAGTTAGGTGAGTGGGTAGTAACGAAAGTGGGTGATGAACGATTGTGGTGGTTCGAGATGATAAAGCGAATGTAGGATGGTGAAGGAAGAGGCAGAGAATGTGGAAAAAGGGCCAGTATTTATGAGGCAGATGGTCGGTCCCGTTTGGGGCAAATAAAGAGTTTATCAGGGCTGCCTGTCCCCCCCCTCCCCCCCCATGCACACTCTACCAACCTTGCCTTACAGTATCTGGAAACCTCGAACAGCCAAACACACACACGCGGCAGCACCGGGAAAGTGGAGTGCCCTCCCTTCCCGATGGAGAGGGATGGGGAACCCCCACTGAATTGAAGATGGACAATTGCCTGCCTGTAGCTGTGGCTGCAGGGAAGTCCCCGGCCAGTGGATATGGGCTGGGATAGGATCATGGAAGCTCGTGGTTGGTTGCCGCACACTCTCATACATGCAACTGCAACCTGAAATTCAGGCGAAGGGTGGCATCTCATCTCTCTGGTTCTGTCTTCTCCTGTCCTGTCGCTTACAGGTAGGCAGGTAGAGTAGGCAGATTGTAGGTGCTGTGCAACCTCGTGGAGTACTCTACTGGGTAAAATTCAAAAGGCTTACTTTTACTATATGGATTACTCGGTGCTTGATCTGGACCTCGCTGCATACTATCGATATATCACCATCCAGCTCTAAAGTGCGAAATTCAAATCTCTACTGTTCAGTGTTACCTACTGCTAAGGCAACCCGGTTTATGAGCCGAAAAGTAGAGTAGGGTACTTAAAATAGAATATATAGATACTCTACTTTATCGAGAAAAAGACAGGTGGTGGTGGTGGGTGGCCGCGTTTGATGGAGCCGGCAACACCGCAGATCGAGAGACAGAAATGAAAAGAAAAAGACTTGTTACTCTAACTTAGTAGTGGCACACCCACCATCACGAATTTTGAAGCTTTCCTTTGTTAGCAAGCAAGCAAGCAAAAGTCTTGAAGGCTGGCGGTGGTGGTGGTTGTGGCTGCTCCTTCTGCTACGGCAGGAAGGCAACGAAAACGCTCCGCCGGCTGAATCGAATCGAAACCAGCCAGTTGGAACCTGAAAGAACACAACAAGCAAAAAACAGAAAAAAGTAAATCCATGTTCTCGAAGAAGACGACGACCCCATCCATGCAAAACCCGGCGTTCCCTGTCCCTGTCCTTCCTGCCAATATTCAAAGTGGAAGGCTGGGCACTCCAGGCTAAAGGCCCTGATTGGCTTAAACGGCCTTATTGGTGCAAGTGCGCTTCCGTCGGCTTATCAATATCGCGGCAGGTCCGCATCGCTGTGATGAGATGCGAAGTGGAAAAACAACTGGTTGGTTGAACGAACGAGGGAAACTATCCCCTAACCCTTCGTTTCCCCCTTGAGCGGTTTTTTTTAATAATTTGCATGCAAATGCATGTGGAGGGTAGGGTAGGGACCCCCTTTTGGGGATGCAGGGAGAGACTGGCTGGACTTGTTTGCAATAATTGTTGCCCTTTTGGCGGCGGCGCTGATCGGTCGTGCAATTTGGAGGAGGTTTGATATCACCGCATGAATGATGAATAGATCTCACATCTCAGTAAGCCCGGCTGGCTATCGTGAAATAAAAGATTATTACTATGAGCGAAGCGAGCGCGTACGGTAATACGGCATTATCCCTCTTTCCATCTTCCCTCTCTCCGAGCTGTCCAGACAGGCTGTTGTTTATCGTGTGCTACGCTACAATCTGGACTTGGGGAAAAAACAAGCTCGTATCGACTTTTGTTTATCCTTCCCATGTAGCTGCTACTCTAGTCGATGGTCGATGGAGCAATCAATATTACTCTAGAGTAGAGTGCCCTGCTGGCTGGGCCCAATTTCGCTTACGACGCAAGCCCATTCACAAGAGTTTGGTGACGGCGGCATGCGTGTTGATCTTTGCGGGAGAGTTGGGACCTTTCGACCACTGAAAAACCCGCATGCACGATAGTTGGGGGGGAAGGCTAGATTCTAGTGAGATTCCATACTGCCGTTATTCTTCTTGGACAGGTATGGATATTACAGGAGTCACTATGGATCTACCCTCCAGACAGGAACCTTCGAAACGGCACTGTGCGCCAAGGCTGGGACGAGACAAATAAGGCTGAAGAAATGAAAATCGGCTCTGTTTATTTAAGGGGGGTTGTTCGATTTGGCCGCCAAGAATGCGGAATTATTATTTTTAAAACGCTGCTCCTGTTGATCATGACGGTCATGACGGTGGAAGATCTTCATGAGCGGCCGTGTCCGGCTCAACAACCATATACTGGGTAACTGACAGACAACTGTCAATATGAAATAAGGATGGCTGGACGATCGCGGAGAGAAGGGAGGAGGTGAGGGAAGGAAGGATGTTGGTTGGCCAATTGGCCGGTCAACCATGCGGTCAATATCCGGCCGAAAACGAACTGTGGAATTAAAGGAGAGAGATATGATCTAGAGTATGTGAGTAGAGGGAGAAACATACTCAGATACTCGCTTTACCTACCTCTGCTCTCTGCCCCGAATGACGACGAGTACAGCTTACGCGTTTCACTAGAGGAGCAGAGAAAGGATCGCTATGTTCTGCGAGCTCTGCCTTACTGTTAAAGATCATACACGCGTTTTCGAATGTCATGCCTATCGATGACTAATATAATTGGCGGCTGCGCGTATCTGGCATGAGCGGGCATGGGACACATGGGTAGAGCGGGCACAAGACTACATGTGTCTTAGATTCTTCTATTCTAGTCATCATCATTCATCCTTCTGTAGCAACGCCCCGTCCCGTTATCGAGCAGTCGATCGCCTCTACTCGTAAACTATCTACTCAAGTGGATACAACAAATTGCCAACAGCGTGGATTGGAAGGCTACCTAATTACCTGTCGACGTATGCGTTCGTCCGGAATCTCGTGTTTTCGCTCTATTCTAGGTACGGGAAATAGCTCTTGAAGGAGCCTAGAACATACGATATGTTGCGTGTCCCCATGATACCTAGGGATCATGTTTAATTATGTGAGAGTTCATATCGGAAATGATTTAATCGAGAGTAAATAATCTACTTACTCTACGACTAGATAGCAATTAGCTGAGTTGGGGATGAACCTGCAATCTTGGACCGGGATCGCTAAAGACTCTACTACTACCTATTGGTCGGTTAACGGCTGTCCCACCCGAGTGAGGGACTGTGATCCAGCTGGACTTCCTTCACTTGCACTTGCAAGGCTAGATTGTTTATTTTTATCTTTTATTACAACTGGCTAGAGTAGGTAGCCTACATGATGACACAATATCTACAGTATCATCTGTATTCCGATTTTTGCCGCCAACTCATCAATCAAGCCACAAAAAGAAAAGAACGCAGCAGCAGTGTGCCTTTGCCTTAGAGCTGTCCAGATGATGAATGGATGGAACTCTTACACGAGCGAATTGATATAATTCTCGATATTCGTGTATCCATTCCCAAACTTGTAGCCAGCAGCATCATTGATTGCCGGGTTCAGGCCATTCGCAGATTCCCACGCATCGGGCATGCCGTCCTAAAAATACACAAAACCACAATCAATATCTTCATTACCATCGCAGCCTCGCAACAATACTTATCCGCCCAATAGTCGAAAAATAATAACTTCGCAATAACTAGGAAGATTTACTCACCCCATCAGTATCCACTGGCGCCGTCCCCGCTGCAACAGTCCCGGCCCCCGAAAACGGCGAGGTGTTCTCATTCGTCAGGATCTGCCCCAACGTGCCCAAGCTTTTGAGCTCCGTGATGTACCGCTCGTCCACGCTGTCGCGCACCTTGCTCGCTCCCGCGCCCGCAACAATTGCATTGAAGAGGTCGGCGGTGGGCGTCAGCACAGTGGCGACGGTGGGGTAGTTGTATCTGCTGGTCACAAAGTCGACAGTCGTGTACTCGCTCTCTGGGATGAGCGTCGGGTTGAGGACACCGTCGGCGTTGAGGTCCTGGTAGTTGTTGGCCGCATAGACGTGGAAGTTGAGGTTTCCGCGTGTGAACGGGGCAATGGTCGTCGATGGCCCGGAGATGAAGAGGTTGTTGATGATGTTTGCGTCTGCGGAAGACTAGGTTAGTATGGACTTTGCGGACCGGCTGGCGGGTATGAGAAGGACTTACAAGATGCGCCGTCGGAATCACCGAGGATGTATCCGCCTCCGCCTCCCCAGTTGTAGACGACATTGTTGATGAACTTTACACACCATTCATCAGCTCGTTTGGCCTTCCATCCGCACATGGAGAGGAAATCCTACCTCGTTCACACCTTTCACCTTCGGGTTCCGGGTGTGGTTATCCACATACAGCGTCCTGATGATACTCACCCCACCGTCCGTCTGTATCAAACCACCGCACGAATGGGTCTGCAGTCCCATGGCGATCATCGAGTTCTGGATCGTGATATTGATTGCCTCGTTCCCGCTAATACTGAAATTCTCATCGCGGCCCCAGCTCACCGACACATGGTCAAAGATCATATCATGCCCCTCCGCAATCCCCACCGCATCCTTCCCGCTGGTGCCCCCGCTCCCCATGCGGAACCGGATGTACCGCACAATCACGTGGTCCGCATTTGAGAAGCTCACGCCATCTCCGTAGACGGTGATACCACCGCCGGGCGCTGTCTGCCCGGCGATTGTCTGCCGGCTGAGGAATACGAGGCGGCTGCTGATGTTGATCACGCCGCCGACGGCGAAGACGATGGTTCGGTTGGAGAGACTGATTGCGTCGCGGAGGGAGCCCGTGCCGCTATCGTTGAGGTTGGTAACGACGTAGACGGGGCCGCCGCGGCCGCCGGTGGAGAGTGCGCCGAAGCCTTCGGCGCCGGGGAAGGCGACGAGAGAGAGCGCTGTGGGAATGAGCGCGGCGAGCGCGAGGAGGGCGGTGGGGAACTTCATGATATGATAGGTTCCGTAGGTTGATTTACTAACTAACCTACTATCTGAGGTATCTGTGGGAAAGCTGGCACACTAACGGGTTTTATAATAAACCTAAAGCTCATTATAGAAGATATATCTGAGAGCTTCTCCAATCATTGAGTCACTTTTTGGTTGTGAAAAAAACTCCATTCCATTGCCCCATGGAGGGAGATCATGAGTGAGTTCTATGTACAAACGGTTCCGACGCACCGCTACTCCGATTCAGCAACGGCTTCTTTGTAGCAGCTGGGGGCGGCGGGGGAGTGTTTCGAAAGCTTGATCGACGATGTCGGGTTGATGGGTACCGAAAACCACTGGCACGGTCCGATTACAGAAGGATCAGATGGGTTTGCGCTTGATTGCACTACATGAAGTCAATAATTATCGCGCGCGCATGTGTGTGTGAGGTCGGAGACAAATAGTGGGTTGATTATTACTGAGCTCAGGAGAGCTCGGCGTTGTCAGCTAGCTATTGGTAGCTGTTTGGTATATAGCAATAGTTACATATAGATTGGGATATTCTATCCTTCAAGGCAATAATTAAGACAGAGAAATTAATGTTGCTATGATATTTTATCCTACTCATCTTACGAAATAAACACAAAGTAAACACCGAGAATTAAAACCCAACCAGGCAGGGCAGACGGGAACTAAAGCTATCCCTCCAGTTTCACTCCTTCTCTCTTAACACATACCCACCACGACTCCCACATGCATCATATACCTACATCTATGCTGACATGTCAATCCAACCCTAATACTACATATTATACTACAAGTTCTCCAAAGCAAGGAAAACCTCCGTCAAAAAGGGCCATTCCCCAACCCCGAATATGTACTCTACAGCACCTAGGTACTCTACCTGCCACGGTCCGTCATCCCTAAACCCTGGCCGTGCCGGGGTCCTCGGAACTCCCGCGCGAGAGAAATAGGCAGGAGCTTCTGGCAGGGTTAGGGTTGGGATGTCGGAGGGAGGGAGGGTAAATGAGATGAGGAAGGAGATGGAATGGATTATAAATGGTAGTGAGCAGGGTTTTGGATAGGAGGGAGGTAGGTGATAGGAGGTGGAGAGAGTAAGTGGAGAGTGCTGGGAAAGTGCTGGGGACCCTAACCCTGGTGTGTGGTGGGTGCGAGTGATGGGTTGTGATGGGTTGTAGTGGTGTTAGCGGCTTTAGCTAGCTAGGGCTTCAACACATCACGAATGTTCCTTTGGACGTAAACGTGTATGAGACATGGCCGTAATATTTTGATTCATATACTTATACTGCGTTGCGCAGCAGTGCATAAATTAACAATTTCTGTCCGTTTCTGTTTCCATTTCCACTTCCACCCTCTTATCCTTTGAATATCCTTCAAGCTTCCTCCATAAACACAACCGATCGCGGATTCCATTATCGTCTCACATTAAGTTTCTTCCTCCCCTTCCCGGCACGGACCACACCTCCTCTGTGTTTGTGCAGACAGACCAGAGCAGACCAGAGCAGACCTTAAAACAGCGGCAAGAGTGAAGACACAGCGGGGAGGGGTGTAATGCCCACTCCGATCTTCCTCCTCCATAGGTAAGGTAAAAGAAAAGCGGGGTGGAAGTCGGGGAGGTAAGGAAGAAGGAAGAAGAAAAAAAGTAGAAATCGAAAAAAATAGAAAAATAAAAAATACCAACAATCCAAGAATAATACACACATAAAAGTTATTGACTAGACTAGCTACCACAAGAATGTATAAAAATGTATCCCGACTCTGATAGGATTTTCAAGTTGCATATAAGCAAGCAACAACAACGGTTTCCCAATGGCCTCTTCCCCCCCGTCTTCCTCCTAGCTTTAGGCTCCATCCGCATCCGTTGTTCGTGTCCGTAGTCCGTGTATTTACCGGCCTCTGATCATGTCCCGTCAACCACATATCCTACCTACCCCGACAACTAAAAAAGACATCCCGACAAGAAAAGAAAAAATAATACTTGATACAAAAAAAGCACACAAAAAACAAACCCCTGATACAATGTGTCATAACCCTAATTAATTCATGTATTCCCGACCTCTCTCGAGCCGAAAAAAAACCATGTAGAAGCAGAAAAAAAAAAGAGAAAAAAAGATAAACATCTCAGACACTTAATAAAGAAAGAGAAAAAGTTTCAAATAAATCATCCATCAGCTACTCCATAGGTCCCAAAGTCCATTCTTTCTTTTCCGCAGGCCCAATGCAAATCATCCTACCGGTCCAACTGTGGCGCTCTATGCAGCCTAGCCCCCGTCGAAACCCTCTTCTGCAGCCTCTCCTTCTCCTTCTGCTGGCGCTCCCGCATGCTGGATGTCCCGCTGCCCATGCTCAGGCTCGTGTTGCTCTCGTACTTCTCCGTGTTCAGTCTTGACGCATCGCTGTTGCTCTGAGTCACCGGGGCCCGCTTGGCGGTCTTCACGGCTAGGTAGTTCTTGGCTGCCATGCTTAGGCCGCCCGCTGGCAGGGGGAAGGGGATCTCGCCACCGTTCTGCAAGAGCAGCTCGGCGACGGGGAATGTTACCGGGTTGAGAGGGGGGCTGGAGGGGCCTGGTGATAGCTCGTTGCTCGAGGTAGACTGCGGGTCGGCCGCAAAGAGGGCGAGGAATATCGCATGGATCGATGTGGCAGGGTCAACAGTATTTGGGCTCCCATGAAGAGCAAGTGCATAGAGACAGCCCATAATATCATTCCTCTTGACGGCATCAAGAACAGATTCGTCTGGCGACGCAAACTGCGACAGTGTTGGCGAAAGAGGCTGTACCCACGCACGATCAACGTATTTCGAGGTGATGAACTTGAGACGTGTCTCTCTGGACGATCTAGGGTCGGGTCGCTGGTTTGGATCCAGCTTGGCCTCCCAGACGGAGTTTGAGACCTTGTTTCCGATCTGGCAGAGCAGCTCAATTAAGTCCGGGGTAAACGACGTGACATCGAGTGTGAGTGAGCGAACTTTCGAGATGTGGGTTCCGAGGGAGCGATGAAGACCACTGCATTCTACACACACGCAAAAAAAAAAAAAAAAAGGTAAGATAAGACGAATGCACATACGCAACACACTCTGGGAACACATACCTATACACAAGACTATGCCCAAATTGATGGAAACCCACTCCGTCTTTACCTGACTACCACAATCCGCACAGCTGCTATTTCCCGGGTCCGCCTCCCGCACCATCTGCAACAGCTTCTCCGGGTCCTCTCCAAAATTACTACTATTACGCCTCGGGTTAATGGGCCTTGCACCAACGGTGGTGCGTCTATAAACACTATTATTCGCAGAATTCGAGTACGACATCGGGTTGGTGCCGTGCACCGAGTGGTGGTAATGCGGCGCCTTCCCGGTAAGTGCAGTTTGAATATTCTTGAGCTTATCAGGGCCGTCGTTGCTTTCGACGTGGGAGGTGTCGAAATTCCGTACAGACCCGCTACCCTCAATAGTACTCTTTACTGCGTTATTAACAGCTCCTATCCAGGTGTTCATATCATCCTCCGAAGTTGCCTGGTAAACACGCTTATACTGTGGTGTGACGACTTCGAAGCAAAAGCGTCTATCGGAATTTCGTGCTTCGCGTACTGATGCCATCTTTAGATTTATGGGGTCGTTGTGAAGATCCAACTTCTGCTTCCAGTTTGAATATTCATATAGCTGTCCTCCAGCCAGAACCACCCAATACCTTGGATTGTGGTCAGTTATTGCCGGCAATGGGTTGAGTTGGTATACATACTTATGCCATGCTTGTTTGTTTAGGCCTTTGGGGTCCGCATGACTCCCGGGCCTACTGAGGGCCCAGAGTAGACCCTCCTTACGGCGCTCAGATTCACCGTTGGTAACTCCAAGACCAGTATACTCCTTCTCCTGCAAATCTCGTATACCCTTGAACTTGCTGCTTTGGCTTGGAGAGCTCAGTAGTGAAGACGTGGAGTTCGCTGTAAGTCCATGGCCATGCCCTGGTTGTGGTGGAGACATGCTGCCCTCTGGCCCTGTCTCGCTACCGGAGGACACCGCCCTAACACTGCTGGTACCTACACCCAATTTCTCAAATCCCTTGTTGTGGCCGAGTATATCACCCGGAGTCGATCCGTAATAAAGCGAGTTAGAAGTAGTCATCACCGGAGGTGGAATAAACGGGGGAACGCTGTCAGGCTCAGTATAATTCTTATCACTCTTCTCCAAAACCCGTCTCCGCTCCTCGCGCTCCGTCCGCTGAACCTGAAACTCCTTCTCTGACTCCTTCACCTCGAAGCTCAACGCTTCCAGCTGTGGCATGAGCTCCTGTACTCTCTTGGCGGTGGCTAGATAGCTCTTTGCCTGCGCATCCGCAAATTTAGTAAGCTGCGAAAGGACCTCCTGTTCCTTCCTCCCGCCATGTAGATCTTGCATGAACGTGCAATAGTCGAATCTCTTCAACTCAAAGTTCTTGCGTTTACTCTGGTACTTTGTCTCGCTGTCGAGCTTCTTCTTCTCCTTTGCCGAGTCGTTTCTAATACCCAGGTACCTGCTGACGTAGTTGTAATAATCCCTACTCTCCTCCTCAAAGTCCTTCTTCTTGGCTTCTGCCTGCTTGATATCGATGTTATACAGCCTTGTTAGAGGGTCGATAATTAATTTCTGAAGACTTGCTTCGTTCTGTCGCTCAAACAGCAGGATCTCCCGATACGTGCGCTCGAAGTAATGATCCAACGCCGGCTGAATACCAGAAGCATTCCCAGAGCTAGCTGCGTCCCGCAAAGCATCCATGAACCCGCTGACAGCCTCATTGCAGAACGTCTGTGCTTGACGAGCTTGCTCTGCCCTCTTCAACACTTTCTTCATCTTTGTCCGCAGCGTCCCGGTTTTCTGCTCGAGACTCTTGATCGTAGCCCTAAATAGCGGCCCATCCTCTGCCATCGCGCTGTCTACCGGTCGCGGGCAATTGTCCACCTTGACCGAAGGCGCAGGCGTAAGTGAGCCTAGTGTTGAGCCATCGAATGTATCTATTAGC